CGCAATACAATTCGCCCCCTCCCTCTTGTATTGCATCACTAAGCAAGCAAACAACACCCCCCAATTAAAAGGCTAAGACAAAATTAGACAAGAATACATTCATGAGGTCCTTTACTTACACAGTTTTTAAATAGACTAGTCCAGATTTTCAACCTCTTAAGAAATAAATCAGCCCTTGAACACCTTCGGAAGAGAAACAAACTAAACCTTGAAAAGCAAACAGGTCCAAGGGCCCAAAAATCTTCTCTAATAAATATTTTGGCAACCGCTTGCCATTATATTTGTATTACACTGGAAACAAGCTAGCTACTACTACATATCTAATGGCATTAAAAAATGAACAAGAAATAGTATCATATGCAAACACAAATCTCAGTAAGAATATTTACCTCAAGAGTGATTGTGTGGCCAGAAACATCAACAGCCTTGGCCCTAAAAATGTTGGCGATGTCGAGGACATCTCGTCGAGCAGCACCATTCACAGCAATCTTTATCAACATCAATTCTCGTTCAGCAAATGGCAAGTAGGTAAGGTCCCGTACCTGAGAAGTAAACAACTGTCAGCCAATGGTTCACTTGAGATATCATAGCAAAGAAACCATAATCATAAGACTGGCAAAGCGATATCTGCCTACAACCCAACGGATAATGTTGTCTCTATCAGATATCTAAAGCAAAAGATCAAGAATCTAGAGCACTGCATCATTCACAAGCAGCTAAAGGAAATGATCCAAAACCTATATGAATTTACCCTTCCTATCATAATTATATCAAAAAGAAAAAGAAAACCTTAAAGTGGCAACACGTGCACAGAAATCATCAGGAATGGGTGGAACAGCTTACTTCATGCCTCATCTACCATAAATATATTTTAATATGACCAGAAGCAAGCCACTCCATTTAAAAATGCTACCAGAAGTAAGTCACTCCATTTTTTTCTTTTGAAAGGCAATTGTAATGGTTTTATTACTCAAACTAAATATACAAAAAACTACCCTTGCGTGGTAGTGAATTTTAATTTAATTTTAAAATTTAATATATTAATTTTTTTATTATTTATAATTAAAATTTTAATATAATTTTTAATTGAATTTTTAAAATTAAAATGTTAATTTTTTATAATTTATAACTAGAATTTTAATTTAATTTTTAAAATTAAAAAGTTAATATTTTATAATTTAAAACTAGAATTTTAATTTAATTTTTAAATTTAAAATATTAATTTTCATTACTTATATTAAAATTTTAATTTAAGTTTTTAAATTCAAAATGTTTTTATAATTTATATTTCAAAATTTAAAATTTTTTATTTTAAATTCATTTTAGTTTTTTTCTTATCGATGCACCCTTGAAGATATTGACAATGTTAAAAGAGTGCCAACCTGGCACTTTCAACATCTGACTGTGGGGTGCCAAATCCGATTGCAGAGATCTGATCAAGGAGTGCCAAATACAATGTTTCTATAACCAAATACGACATAAGACGTCAAATCTGATGCATCTACAATCAAATTTGGCCAAAGAGCATCAGATCGACACTTTCAATGACCAAATCCAACCGTAGAGGCACTGATATCGCCGATGCCAGAGGAAATTTACTAAGAGAAGGAAAGAGGCAGATGGGTAGAAAGAGAAAGAAAATGGGATGGTAATTTTTCAAATTGATGAAAGGCAATTTTGTCCAATAATTTTTTTTTGTCTAATTCCTCCCCACATTAAATAGCTATTACCAAAATCCCTGATGATAATGGCTATTCAAGTTTATCATGAAATGATCATTCCATAAAGCAAACAGCTTCTTAAAGGAAGCTTAGTCATAGAGGGGGAATGGTTATTCTATTCCTACAACCATACGGGTACGTTTGGTCGATGAAATAGACAAAAATGAAATAAAATAATTATTACATAGGAATAGAATAAAATAGTTATTATGAATAACTATTATGACTTATTACAGTGTTTGGTTAGTAACAATAACTTTGAAATAAAAAATAAAAATATCCTTTATTATATATACAATTATTTATTTTATATATTAATATTTAATTTAATTTAAATATTATTATGATCAATTATTTTATTTTATTTTTAAATATTAATAATTGATCATTTATTTATAATATTAATAATTTATCATTTAAATATTAATATTTTATTTATAATTAAATGTTATTATGATTATTTATTTTTATTTTATTTATTGTTTAAATGTGAATAATTTATTTAAAACATTAATAATAGATAATTTAAATATTAATATTTTATTAATAATTTAATCATTTTATAAAATGCTAATATTTTATTTATAATTTAAATGTTAATCTGATTATTTATTTATATTTTATTTTTTAAATAGCAATAATTTATAATTTATTTTAAATATTAATAAGTAATAATTTAAATGTTAATATTTTATTTATAATTTAAATATTATTACTATTGTTTATTTTTATATTATTTTTTCCAAAGATTTATAATTTATTGAAAATAATAATAATTTAGTACTTAAATATTAATATTTTATTTACAAATATTAATATAAGTATGATCGTAAATTTCTAAATTTATGAGAGGTAATTTAATCTTAACATGTTTTGAAGCTATTCCATCAAACATGGAATAGCTAATATAAAGGTTTAAGGTGGGTTTAGTTAAACTGAATTTTTAATTTATTCTAAACCTTAAACGTTAAAGCTTAAACCTTAAAGAATAGCTATTCCTTGATCCAATTGTCAACCAAATATAAGAGAAAATATCACCTGGGAATAGAGGAGCTATTCCCCATACCAAACATGCAGTACATACCTTTCTAAGGTTATTCATTCATTACCCAACAAAACAATTTGCCAAAACCCATACAACAATTTACAAGTAATTCCACTAGCAAATTATAGTCAATGATCTTTCCAAATAATATTCTCACCTCATGCAGATCTACGAGCTTATAGAGTTGCTGCACCAACTTGCTAATTGATTCATCTGTACCTGGGACAACAGTTGTAATGCGGGAGAGCCCCTCAGCTTCTGCATGCCCAACAGCCAAACTCTGATGATAGGAAAGACATATCAGAAGATAAGAAACCCTGAAAAGAGAAGAGGAAGAGAGAGAGAAATAATAACAGCAAATTCACCTGAATATTATACCCTCTTCGAGCAAAAACCCCTGTAACAATGTTTAGAACTCCGGGAGAGTCATTTACCAGCATGGATAAAGTATGAGATTGGAATCCACTTGTCTGAAAAATATTTGCACAAATATTAATTTTTATACTAAAATACACTACCCTATCACAATGATATTTTTTAGTTAAGGAGAAGAAATTGTGACTCAAGTATAAAAGCGGACTCAGCAACAATAAGCTCAGACTTTGGAACTTGTAAAGTTTACTAAAGTTCAATTTCACATAAACTTATATCTGGTCATATTTTTTACTGAATCCAGAAACCTTTAAAGCTCTTATAAATTATTTTCTTGTTTTACCGGATCAGTGTTGTCCATTAAGATATCAAGCGAAACTGTTGAGTTTCCTACTGGAATAAATTAACTCAACTAAGCTCAGAGTAGAACAACTAAGAGTGATAACCACGTCGGAGACTTGTATTTCTTTAAAAGTAAGGTTCCTCGCAAGCACAAAGCATATTAAAATTAAGCAGCAGTAAGACTACGTATGCTTTTATTTAAAACATTGCCAACAAGCATTATTATTATCACTCAGGAGACATCAGAATTTCCAGGAGATGACTCATCTTCTGCATGAAGGATGAGGTAGCGTACAAACTTCATACTTAACAAGCATGAACTATATTTTCTTAGTGCCTGCTATCAAGTCTCAAGAATTAACTTACCAAATGGAACATGATTATGCATTTAGAGGAAGCTCAAAAGCCACAAAGAAGCTGCATACCAGGTCATTTACAAGGATAGGACTTCCATAACTCCTAGATAGGTCACTTCCTACTACACTAGCTCCTTTTCCACTATAATGCCCCTCGGAACAAGGACCCAATCATGCTCTAGAACAAGAAATATAATTTTGAAAGCCAAACAGTCAAAACTGACACTCAACAAAACTCCAATACACACTGCAACACTGTCAGAAGTAATGAATCTGGTGGCTTGCTCATGTATAATTAACAGCAAGCAAAAACTAAGGACCATGACTCTGTGTGTGTGTGTGTGATAGAGAGAGACGGAGAGACATTCAACCACAAATAAGCATTCTTACATCTTCATCATTGAGAACACCCCAATGAGCATCAAGAACTTGATTGATCATGAAACCATCAGACGGCTCCACCGGATAAACATCACCCTGCATGAGCAGACAAACGCATAAACTATAGATATTAGAGCAGAAATTGTACACAATTGAAGTGGTATATAAGGATAGAGAACACAAGGACAAAGTTGGAAGCATCAATAAACAAGTGAAGAAGATGTTAAAAAAGAAAGATACAGTGTTAAACAAGGGTGTAAGACAAGGCAAACAAGACAAGAAGTACACACACACATTACTAGAGACTCTGCTGCTGTAGCCTGTAACAAGCAACAATTACTATAAACATTTGAGTAGCCATGTGAATCCAACACCACGCAATGATAAAATAGTTCATAATGGCAAATGAACAACAGTCAAGAAAAACCCAAAACACAAAAATACAAGGTACAAAAATATGAGCATAGCAATGTCTGATCAAGACATAAAAGTGTCAATAGGTGATAACTGGTAACACATCCTTAGAAGTCCAAGTACCAAAATGAATTCAGTAAAACAAGTGTATGATAAACGCACGTACCTGTATAGCATTCCTTCTGAACCGGCAAGCAAGTAAGCTAATTAAATTCATACCTTTCCACCACAATTTATTTTTATGTGCTTATTTTTTCAATCAATATTTTCCCAAGCACTTTGCAGGTTCAAGAGCAAACTTTAATAACATATTAAAAATTTTTTGGAACATGACTAGGTGCACCAAGTCTCAACATGCTAGTCAGCTAGGCTTAATAGAAAAACAGCAAGGTAGTATTTAGCAAAAACTACTGTATAAAGGCCATCCTGTAAGATCCTCACAACATAATAGAGCATGTCACAAGATATACATCATTTTAACATGAGTTTTTAACCAAAGGTGAAATCCAATGACCTCAGCTTCAAATGTTTCAATCAGGAAAAAGAATCCCAAAAGCAAAAGCAAAAGAGTTACTTCTGAGTTTTGTGTACATGCATATCATGCGCATGTTGTATGCATGTGTGAAAAAGTAAGTAAATGCTTTAAAGTTTCTTTATACTCCATTTTTGGGTGCATTGACTCTTTTGGTTATTCATCAACCCTATTTTGCAGGACAGAAACTTGGATGTACATAAGCTGCAAGTAAAATTGTCTAGCAGATAAGACATATCATATAGAGCAAAGAAACATCAATCATTAATTTATTGTAACCCATGAGTAAAAAAAAAAAAAAATCAAGGATTTCATAATGTACATAACCAACTGAATGATTATAATGGCATTATCAATAAATAAGGATGTCCATTTCTACTATAATCCTATATGGTGCAATCTACAAGCCCTAGTTTGATTTTATACCTGTCTTTAAAACTTAAAGTCACAAAAGGATGATGGATAAACACTATTACTAATACACTAACCACAGATACAGCATCTTCCACATACAAAGAAATTAAAATATATACTTTGCAAGGAAAAATTGAACTGAAAGCTGAGAGAAATGCTTACCCCTCCAGAAACATCAGCCTCACTGAATACTGGTCTATCTCTGGCCCCAGCAAGAGCATTAACAGCCGCAGTTTCTTGAAGATCTGGATATGAAGCAGCTGAAAATCTCCAGAATGGAGCAGACGCACCCATCTTTTCCCTTCTCAGGGCAATCTACTAGGAAAAAGAGGACAAAACGTTTACACATAAATAGCCTTCAACTAACAAATGAAGTTGATTGGTGGAAAGTTAAAGGAGCTATCCAAACCACACACCAATTACATACTGATTAAGATTGGTAACAAGACAAGCATGCTTAAAAGCTTTTAAAGACTAGTGAAAAATAGTAACAATTAGAAAATTGTCATCAAGTAATTTAAAGGAAAGATCATTACCTTTCCTGTTCTAGCAATTTCTTTGATCCCAAACTTGCTTAAATTTCTTCGCACAGCAACCATTTTCCCCGGATCTCCTGTTACCTGGTCCACATAATAAGTTACTTATGTTATAACATTCAAGAAGACATCAGTATCCCTTAAGCCCTGCCCCAGAAAAAACAAAAACTAAAAACAAAAAAGAACAATGCTCAATCATAAGGTTCCATAAGTAGGGTCTAGGAATCCTCACTTCAAATGAATAACAAGGACAGCTTAGCTCAACAGGTTGAAGAATGAAAGACATTTCTTTTACTCTCTGATGTAATACGTTTATTATAACTTTTCAGTTTTCAGTATTTAAACTTGTTAGAAAATTAGCACTTTAATTCATTCACCATCTTATAATTTTCTGTTTGATATAATTTAGTTCAGCTCAATGACCTCAGCACTTTCAACAAGTTCAACAATCTCCATTTGACTGTATCTCTTGATAGAAATGTTCAGACATAAATCCAAGAGGAATGGCAACAAAGTTTCAAGGACTCAAGTGCTGATACAGATGACTCACCTTTTGCTGAAAAATCTGGAGTTGCAAAGCAGGCTAAAAAGAGTTCAGAAGTAGAATAATGATACATGGATATGTCTAGTAAATATGTCAGGAAAAGTTTATAAGTACAATACCTTGTATAAATAAGGCTTCTTTACTTTTTCCTTTGGTTAAAGAAATGAAAATCTTCTTCTTTTACGGTCTTTTATTTATCAAAAAAAATTTTAACTAGTTTATTAATTCTAGGTTTCATCCAAAAATGATTAAAAACCTTTTTCTTGACAACCTCAAACCCATAATTGAAGTTGGAATGTGCATAATCACCAACTCCGCAGGTGCCAAATATATAAATAAGCCCAAGACACAATCCTTTTCCATTTTTGGCCAGACTAAGTAATAATCATTTGTTAAACCCAATTTGAAAATATAAAACTCATGTGAAAAGGATTCTGGACCTGAAGATCAACTCCCTTTTCAAGCCTAAGTTGGAATAGAAAGGAAAACCATAATCCATTTGGCATATAAAACTAGGTCATAAAAAAGAAAACCATAATTCATTTGGCATATAAAACTAAGTCACAACTTAGTCCATGTTGCTCAGACTGGCTGGAAATTCAGGAGTACCCTCATCAGCACAACACTATCGGTTTTATATCTGACACAGGAAAATACCAACAGACACATCTTTGCTTATTTTGTTGGCCCAATATACATTTCTCATTTCCAACCATCTTCCTTCCCTCTTGTCCTACCAAACAAAGGACAAAGTAGAAGAAAAAGCCATTTTCCTTCCAACCCCTTTCTTTCCTAGCTCTTTCCCTCAAACCAAACACAAGCTTGACTTCTATGCAATAACTGCCCCACCAACAATAAAAAAAGCAAGCTGCCTTCTCTTGTTGCATGCATCAATCCTTGGCACCATCACCTCAAACTTTTCTTGCATAGCACATTAGAAAAACCAAAAATTTGAAAGTTGTTTGCAAATGTGAATGATATTTCTTTCCTTGACAGAAAATCAAACTAATGGCAAGCAACAATAGTTTCAGTTTCTCAAACACCACCTTGAAATGCTCCAGGGCAAAATAGCTGAATTTACATAGCAGTATGCCTTAACATTGCCTCAATCCTCAAGCTAGCCAAATAAGTAGCCAGTTGACTACCTCCCAATAAATTCTGTAAATACTTTCTAGTTTCCAAAGGTATCACATTCCCAATAATGTTGTATACCCTGTTCCAAAAAGTTTTTTTGTATTCTTATTTCTAAATATATCTTTTTGTCAAAATCAGTAAAAACTCAAAGAAATGTCTCAAATGTTTAATGTCTTGCTTTTTAACTCTAACACAACATTTCCAATATTGATAATTGTTTAAAAAAAATATTATGTAATGGACTTAAAATCAACCTCAGAACAAAAAGTTTTACTCAGTAGAAACAATTATTTACTCCATAAAAAATGCTTCTACATTGCCTGAAAGATAAGCTTAAAACTCCAAATAGAAATAGGATGGGGAGGTTTCTTTAACTAGATTCAAAAACCATTGACCATTATCTGCTATAATTTAGATACTATTACTTCCAACACAGGAGCTACTAAAAATTGTTCATTCTCAGTCAAGATGCATTTGCACAGAAACTCATCTTTAAGCAAGTATCAAAAACTGAAGCAACAATAGTATAATCTAGTCACTCTCACAATCATATAATCCCTACCGGACTTCATAATAACAAATTAGACTTTTCAAATTCATCTTCTCCTAGACAATGCATATTTGAGTTTCATAGCAACAAGAGGAGAAGCAAGGGAAAAGAAGGGGCGTGTACAAGTTTATGTCTGCCATTCATTACCTCAATTGTGAGTGACTGCTCTGAGATATCCACAATCTTTGCCCTGAAGATGTCCACTAACCACTTGATCTGGTAAGCAAGAAAAGATTAGCAAACCAAAAGAAGAAAAGGACAAAAACAGAATTCAGAGGGTTTCTTAACATTCTAAAAATCGCAGCAAGATCTACCTCAGCTCCAAACTTAGGATCTGCATTCACTTTTATAAGCATTAGCTCACGTTCAACCTGGGGCTCATTTGAGAGATCTTCAACCTGTTCATCAGATTAAAAGAAGCAATTTGAGGCAGACAGAAAGGGGAAAAGGAGGCAGACAGAACTAATTGGAAATAGAAAGGTACAGCCATCTAATAATAAATGGAAAAAAAATGAAACTATGGGGTACTACTTAAATTTGTCATCTACTCTTTTAAGAGATCTAATGCACAATCTTGAAATTGGATATTTAAAATTTTAAATCATTTTACCAGCAATATTAAGAGCTACCAGACATAAATACTGGAAAATTATTGAATAAAGAGGTTCACAGTCGAACAAAAAACTATCACCTCTCTCTCTCTAGAGATATATCATGCCTAATAAAGCCAAAAATTCATATCAAATGAAGAGTTCAGGTTGCTATTGTACCTTCCAAACATTCACAAGCTTTTGTAACTGCTCTACAACTTGTTGGAGCACTCTTTCAGTACCAGAGACAACTATGGTGAAGAGTGCCTTATCTTTGTTCAAACCAACTGCAAGGGACTCAATGTTGTATCCTCTCCTTGCAAAAACTCCAGCAATCCTATTAATCATTCCACTTTCATCACCAACAAACACTGAAATTGTGTGTCGTCTCACCCTTGATTCATCACAGAAAGCAATAGGAAGACATAAGTTATAAGCATATTGAAACAAAGCATACTAACGCAATGTTGATCCCAAAAGAATAACCAGTAAATCCAAATACTAACAAACAGTGGTCAAGTCGTTGAAAAGAACCTTCAACTAGTAACAGATAGAATACCATGAGAAATACATTGAAGTACATCCAGAATTCTACCCAGCAGCAGTTTAGTGCAGAAATGGACTTTCCGTGTTAAAGTCTTCATAATCATCCATAGAAGAAAAAAACAACAATACTCCTTTTAAATCATAAAATCAAAACTATAATCCAATACACAGAACATTACCACATGACTGGCAAAGCTTTGTGACCTACCCGCATCATCTACATAAATAAGGTACACAATCTAATACAAGAACAAGGACAACCTGTCCCTAAGAAAGAGTATACCCAAACACTTTTGAACACCTCACTGCCTTGACCGCCAACTTATAGCAAAATGTAAAATCTAAATGAACACTAAGGCTTCATCTGGTTGTTACTTTCTGCTTCCTCAAAGTTTGCAAAATAAAACAAAACCACAGCAAATGATAAAAATTAAATCATATTTGATTCACAATAAGCAAATAATTAAAATGTGACAAGTACTTTAGCATAGTTGTTCCATATGATAAGAAGTAAAATTATGCATTTTGATTAGCAAAATTTCAGTAGTTTTAAACTTTTAATAATTTCAAATATTGGTATTCCTTACTTATCCAAACCATACTTTTTGCTTGTTGCTTTTTGAAACAAAACGCATGTAGCAAAAGTAACAATCAGAACGAAAGAGGTGAAACCAAAGCCAGCAACTAATATAAATAGTAACTAGGAAAAAACAATAAATTGAAGACTGGTGGAGGAAACCAAGATTAACAATGAAATCAAAAGCCAATATAAAAAACAGTGGATTAGATAACAAACTTTGATCGAGTTGGAGTAGGAGGAACAGGGCCGTTGGCAGAGAAAGTACTGTTAGAGATCTTTTCGTCGACACTCCTCGGAGAGAGCACCAGTTTCCTTGGGGCATGGCTGATGGATATTCCTATCCTTGCTGGGAGAGAAATGGGTTTCCAAGCAGAGTCTAACTCAGGCTTTGAGCAGTGGATTGGAAAGTGGGGATTCGAGAGAGCCGCCATGAGAGAACAATGGAAACTATACAATATGAGGCTGTTGTCAGAGCAAAGCTCGTTAGGAAATACCAAAATGGAATGCTACCTACGGCTGCGTTTTGATTTTTTAGTTTTTTTCATATTTCCTTTTTTAGAACATGGACAAACCGTTACAAATGGGCAAAAAAGGAATGTACAATAAACAAAAAAAAATTTCGAAGAAACAATTATTTATTGGATCCTAAAATATTTATCTATATCTGTAATCAATAAAATATATAATAGTACGAATATTGAAAAATATTTTAATAGATAAAATAGTAATATTTATTCATTATATTTTTAAATTGTCACTTTTAAACATTTTTATTATTAATATAAATAAAATTTATCTAATTTTTAAATAGTACATATAATAGCATGGTTGGCTTAATTTTTTTTAATTTAAAAGCTATTATAAAGTTTTTATAAAAATAATAGTTTTTATAATTAAACTAAAATTATTTAGTAAATTTACCTTTTATAAATTTTTTTTATGGAACAACTTATATAAACTCTAACTTTAGTTAAAATTACCATAACGCGTATTTAATAAATAATTTTTTATTAATCACGAATTTATTTATTCAAAATAAAAAAATTAATTTTATTTTTTTATCTATTTAAAATAAATTTTTGAAAATATAAAAAAGACTTTTATATAACATAAATTTTATAATTAATAATAAATTATTAAAAAAATTTCAACAAATAATTTATAAGTAACACGTGATTCATAAATAATTTTTTATTGAATAATAATAAATAAATAAAATCAATAGAAAATTTGAATCAAATAAAAAAAATAAGAGATAGAAGAAAGTAATGAGTTGATTATTAAAACCCTTAATCTTAAAGAAAACTCATAAAAGAAGACGAGAAGTTTAAGGTGATAGTAATAATTCTGGAAAATCAAGTTTAGCTATTGATGTTATTACTAACAAAGTTTACTTCTATGAACAATATTATCTAAACAATCATAATCAATAAATATTATTTCAATTTTCATCTAATTTATCTCAATAATTATTGACTTATTTAATTAATTATTTCAATTATAAAGAAGTTAAGAATAAATAAATATCAAATAATTGTGATAAAGAATTAAGAATAAATAAATATCACATAATTGTGATATCAAATAATAAATTGAGAAATATCAATTAATAAAAAGAGTTTTTAAAATTTAAAAAAAAATTAAAAATAAAATAGAAAAGAAAATAATACCTGAATAAGTTTCAACTTTTGAATTTTTTTTTTCTTAATTTTTGTAAGAACAAAAAAAAAATCTTAGAATGATGATTTGTAAAAAAGAAGATAGCATAGGGATATTAATAGGAAGAGAGGAAAGACTATTTTTTGAGAGAAATGATCTGTTTAGGAAAAAATAGCTCTCTCAATAAGTTGGAGCTCTTTTTATATTTTATTTTTTAAAATTAATTATTTTTTAAAAGTTTTTTACAAAATCTTGTTTGATTCAGTTTCTGCTTTTAAGCAGTATATAAGCTAAATATAAACCAGATCAAATGGACACTAAAAATTTTAATTTATCAAATTATTTTCATTTATAAATTCTTTTTATAAACATCAACAACAAGTAACCCATTTTAAATAAAAATTTTAATTGTGTATTGAAAATTTTGGAGAAGTGGCTCCGTTCCGTCCATGCTCATATTTATATTTAGTCACGTGACCTAAGAAAATGTTTTAATTTTAAAATGTTGCAACATGTCTTGTTTCTGACTAAGCTAGTAGATTCCATTGCTTGTCCTAATTGTTTTCGTGTTTTACGAACAAGCTTTCTCGTGAACTTGGTAGGTCGGACATTTTCGTCTTAAATAAAAAAAAATATCTCTTTTTATAATAAGTTTTGTTTTGGTATAATAGTCAAATAAAATTTTAAATTATTTTAAAAAATTTAAATAAATTTTTACTTTTTTGTTATATTTAATTAAATTCTTATATTTTTTATTTTAAATCAAATAAACTCTTATGATTAATAATTGATTAATTATCATTCATCAAAATATCACTTATTATTATATATATATATAGTACTAATATGATGTTGATGTGAAAAGTAAAAAATATCATATGATAATATTATTATATTAAATTAGTATATTACGTCATCATTAATTATGATAAATTAACATATTATAATATTATAAATTATAATACGTTAATGTGTCACGTCAGTGTTATGTGATATAAAATAATAAATGTCATTTTGATTAAGTTACTTATTAATTATAAAATTTTATTTGATTCAAAATAAAAATCAAAATAAAAGTATAAAAGTTTATAATAGTTTTTATTTTTTATTCTGTATATAAATAAATTTTATTTGAAAAAAATGAATTTGTAATTATTTAATTGAAAATTTAAATTTAATTACATGTGTATCTACATTTTACGTATTTCAACCTGACCAAATTTGCACATAAATAAAACCTAAATCTTTAATTTTTTTAATTTCAGAAACAAAAAATTTTTAAAACTTGAACGAAGTATGGCACTAATTATAAACTTTCTTCACCGTCGGCTGGAGCTGGGCGAACCCCTTTTTCGTCCATCCCTTTGGCTTGAAAGTGCAATTTCCATTAAAGTCTTGGATATTTATCAGTTATAATTATGCCTCCCATTTAGGTAGATTGAGTCATTATTTTATATTTTAAATAATTATTTAAGATGTGTAAACAACTACTTTTGTAAAAGTTAATTTTAAAGATATACATTAAAAATTTAAAACGGATTCAAATTAGAAATTAAATAGTTAAATTCTCACTATATTATTTTTTAAAAAAAAATGCTATAAAATTTCATTTTAAATGCAAAACATTTACATAATTAAAGAAACAATTTTGTAATTCAAAAAAAATATGTAAATGAATATTTTGATAATTTGATACTCAGAAGTGTTTTTGGTAATATTAAAAATATGTTGGAACCAAAAATCACTTATTAACACTGCAAACGCAATCACATGAGCCCTAAATAGAACAGCCATCTCTATGCCAGTTTGCTATTAATGTTATTAGAATAGTTTAATCAAATTATAAAACATAATTAAATTTAGCTAATAACATTATAAAATGTTATTAGCTAATTAAAATTTGTGTAGATTCTGGTTTTGGATTGCTGTTCCGCTCAATCTTTGGACCCAAAAGGGTGATCCAAAATTAGAACCTAATTCCTAAAGCACTTTTGCTTTATGGCCTTATCCTTGTGCAGTCTCTTCTTGCCTTTCTATATTCAACAGTCACAAAAATTAAAAAATTAAAAAAATTAAAAAAACAAAAAAACAAAACAAAACAAAACATTTCGTTGGATGAGTTCAATTCGGCAGACAAAAAGCAGCTGAGCTGAGCTGAGCTGGATTTCACTCAAACTTCGCTTCAATTTGCCAACCAAAACTTTAGACCACTGCACGTGATTGTTTCTCCTTTTGCTCATTTGTCTACATTTCAATTTCTGCTGGGTTCAAGAAAATGAAAATAGAACCCTTGGATTTCACTGAATTTAATCCTATTTGATATTTGATATTCGTCCAGTCAATCAAGATAGTTTTTGTCTTTCAACTTAATTTAATCGTATCTGTTTATAATAATTCATATAAAATTTTTTATTAAACATTATTATCCTTAAATATTTTATTTTATAATAAACACATATTTTTTATTCAAATTATTAAGTCTCAAATGTTTTTCTTTAAAAAAAAAACTAACATTAAACAGATGATATAATGTATAATGAGTTTGACCACATTTATATGTATTTTACTCTCAAATTTTACATTCCCATTAATGACATTCAATAGGATTGAGCATTTGGGCGGTTGAAACTATCCAACTAATGATTTTTAGTGATTTCGATTGAAAACTGTTTGATTGATTGACTCCAATTGAAAAGTCCATTGATCGTGGTAATTTGGAAGGTTAATCGATCTGATCATTAATGGGAAATCCTTATTCCAAATACCAATAAAAATATTGACCCTTATAAAGTGAAAGGCTAAACTCTATCCTCTTTTTAAGATTCTCTTTTTTATCATCATGTTACTCTTTGCTTTGAGAACTATTCACGATGCTCGTAAGGGTTTCAGCTAAGCTTCTTTCATGAAACCCATTGCAAGGATATGAAATTGAAAGTGAATTGTAAATGTTCTCTGCTATTAAAAGGTTTTTTTCTTTTTTTCTGTTGAAAGTGTTAACAAATAATGAGCGTCATTAAAAGTGATGCTATGACAACAATTAAGAAGGGGATTAAGGTTGTTGTTTTTGAAGTTATTTAGTGATGTTTATTATTTAGTAATGAAATCAAAAGTTTAGAAAGGAAAAGATCAAAGTTTACAAACACAACTGTAACATATCAAGATTCAAGTGAAAGTCCATTACCACTGTATTTGTTATGTCAAATTTATTTTTACAATTGTTAAAATCGACCGACCATGAGCGGTCATGGTTTAATCAGCTTCTTCTTTAGCTCAGCCAGTGGCAATAGATTCCATCACGTTGGTAAACTTGATCGGTTGTGCTCTCCTCCACAGCTGACGTAGACGGAATCGCCCCATGCTCCCCGATGCATTCAAGGCTAGAAGAGTAGCACTGCCAATGGTACTTTTACCATTATAGGAACCCTTCAAAGGAGTCAATATTTGGAGTTAGCTGTTGAAGTGATAGGTTCCCATATTTTCATCACAAGTTGTCATATTGACAATAAATATCACTTGCCCTAATCACACTCTACTCTAACTTAAACCCCAAATTAGTGCAACACCATATCCGTAACAACTTGGTTGACCTAGTCAAGTCAATCATACTTCACAAGAAGTTAATGATGGTAGTGTGGATAAAGAAGTTAATCTCCCTGAATCAAGCTATTTCTTTTTTAAGTATTAGCAGTGACATTTTCTTAATTAAACAAATCTGAGAGTAAACTGATTTAGATTATAAGTATACTTTTTTTATAATAAAAAAAAAATAAATTTTATTTTTTAAATAAAAAAATAATACATCAGTCAAATTTTCAAGTGCATATTATAAGCATAATTAAAGGATAAGATTCTCATTATTTTGTTGGGTATCAAATACAGGGATGGTCCCAAGGCTTGGAAGGCAAAAGGTAAAATCCACATGTTGGTTCCAATCTCCACGAATCTGACAGCAGCCAATGGATTTTTGCGCAAGTCAACTATCGGTGGTTCCCTTGCCTTGTCATATGGGGCCCACCATTCCCCTCAAGTTTCCACTTGGCAACAAAATGAAGCAGACAAAATGAAGCCCACTTTGTCAGCATGTAAAACAAAGTTAATTAACAAGCAAAAGGGTTTGAGGTCGGCAAAAAAGAAAAGCTAAACTTTTACGATTTTATTGCGTAAATGAGATGTTACGAATTTATATTTATAATTTAAAAAAATACTTATTAAATGAAGTAAATTTTTTATTAAAATACACATTTCACCTATAAAAGAGAATTAATCTGTATTTATTTCAATTCAATCCATTTTTAATGATAAGAGATTCATGATAAAGATACCTAGTAAATTCTTCAAACTTTACCATCTATCTAACAAAATTACAAAAGCTTGGTACCGATTTATTTAGGATCGAAAGTTAAAAGGACAAGATTAAATATGGGAAAAAGAGTAAAGCGGAATGGAAAATTGAAAAAGGAAAAGTATAATTAAATTGGTAATTAGTAAAGTAGGGTCTAGGGTGTAGGGTCGAGTCTAGGGTGTGGGCTGTGGCATGTTTTGTACGTCCAAATTGCAGTATAAATTTATTTCCTCATGAACGCCATTTTCGCTGCATTCGGTTGAAACAGAGCGAAGAGTTAAAAAAAGGGCTTCGCTGTCAAAAAGCCAAATTCTACCATTTTTCCTCATTTTTCTCCATTCCCATGCGCTTCGCTCGGATCTCAAATCCTTTCTCCTCCTTCGCCTTCACTTCATCATCATCATCATCTCTTTCCTCTTCCTTCCGCGGTTCGATATCGAGAGCCTGAGCTTAACCTTCTCCTCCCTTCCCATTTTGCTCTCGATCTTTCGAAGCCAAAACCTTACATTTCATAGTTCCTTGATGATTATGTAATCCTGCGATTCCAATTTGTTTCACCTGATTTGCCGGATTTCCCTTTTGCTTGTACTACAAGGAACCACCATGGAAAACTTAGCAGCGCAGCTAAAACGGGGAATATCCCGCCAATTCTCAACTGGGTCGTTAAAACGGACTTTCAGCCGCCAATTCACGCGGCAATCGTCGCTGGACCCGCGGAAGAACAATCTGCGGTTCGGCTTCGGTCGGCAGTCGTCGCTTGACCCCATTAGGAGGAGTCCCGTCAGGGATGAGCTGACGGTGCCGGAGAATCTGGACTCGACCATGCAGCTGCTGTTCATGGCGTGTAGAGGGGATGTGAAAGGGGTGGAGGATTTGTTGAATGAACGCATTGATGTTAATAGCATTGATTTGGATGGCCGTACTGCTTTGCATATTGCTGCTTGTGAAGGTCATGTTGAGGTTGTTAAGCTTCTTCTTACCAGGAAGGCTAACATTGATGCCCGTGACCGTTGGGGTAGCACGGTACATTTCTTTTTTCTTTTTTCTTTTTCAAATCTTTTTACTTCTTTGTTTTGTTAATTTTTAATCCTTCAATTGTTTGAATTCTTGGGAAAGGTGGGATGTGATTGCAGATGTCATATTAAACTAATTGTTATGATTTTGATTAATGGTCTTTATTAGTTGGTTTGTTGAATTGGGATAATTCTATTGTATTGATTTTGAACAATGAGATTTAAAAATGTGTAATTAGATTTCGTTTTGATATTTTAACTATTTAGCTTTAAATGATTTGTGGTATTCTGGTATATGAAATTGGGATCTTGTGGAGGTTGGTACATTATCTGGTGCTTGGATTTGGCAAATTAAGACAAAAAATTGAGGAGAAAAGGAGGTAGATAAATGTGCATTGTTATAAGCGTTGCTAATGGCCCCAAATTGAATTTTAATCTGCTCCGTAACACTTCATATGGCAGAATACTTATCAAAAGTAGTTTAATTCATGATGATATGGATGCATGTTTAGCAATGCTAATGAAGTTCTTTTTGTATGGGCAGGCAGCTGCTGATGCAAAGTATTATGGAAATGTAGATGTGTATAATATTTTAAAGGCTCGTGGAGCCAAAGTTCCTGTAAGATATTAACTTTTCTTCTTTTTTCTTCTTCCATCTATGCATCATCTCTGTTTGTGAATGATGATTTATACCTGAATGAAGATTGATATTTACATGTGTGCCATGATATTAGAAAACCAGGAAAACGCCAATGACAGTTGCTAACCCTCGAGAGGTTCCAGAGTATGAGCTTAATCCATTGGAGCTTCAAGTTCGGAAGTCCGATGGTATAACAAAGGTTTGGTTCTCTTCACTTCCTTTTATTGGATTGATGTTTTTGGAAGCTCATGTATCGTCCAGTCTGAAAGGTGATTAGGTTGATTTGCAGATAGTATTCTGCATTTCATTTATTCCGCTGTGAAATGATTAGTCTAGGCTTCTTTTACTAGATCTGGTTCCATTTTCAGTCCAGTTCCGCTTTCAAGAGTCATGATGCTTCTTGTGGGCAATTGTTACAATTGATGAAAGATTACTGGGCATGTTACAATTTTTATAAAAGCATTAAAGTGTTGACAGATTAGTAGGCATTTTTAATGGCTTTTTAGGTGTTAATACTGGCTTATTTGGCATTAGTTTGGATGCCATATGCATCCAACCTTTTCTTTTGGTCTTTGCATGGTCACTTATTTGTTAAAACAATCTGTTGTCTTATATTTGTGGTGGTAACACTTTTTAGATTTCTGAGAAAGAAATGTTTCTTAAACTTGTTTAAGAATGTCCTCCCAAATATCAATGATGACATGTTGTTTTAAAGGTTAAAGGTTTTCTATGCTTTTGCTGCACAAGGTGGAACTTTGTCAATGATATTATGAAATGGTGAATCTCCTTCATATTTTTCCAAGAAGAAATAAATTAACTCTGCATAATCTTCCTCAAGTATTGACAAAACTGTTGCTTCTTTGAGCAAACTTTTGGTATACCCTTGACAGTGTTTTAGGCAATCACAGTCATTGCCTTTGTGGTTGATGCACAGATGTGCATCTTTATGAATTTATATTTATTGTCTTATGTTTGAAAGAGTAGAAGGCCTACATGATTCTCTTTCTTCTTTTCTCTTCTTTCTTGTTTTGTGCTTTTTATGGATGGATTCTTAACATTTCATAAATCACTTGCCAGGGATCATATCAAGTGGCAAAATGGAATGGCACAAAGGTTGCTGTAAAGATACTAGATAAGGACAGCTATTCAGACCCTGAGACCATGTATGCACTTACCTTGTTTTCTTTTAGATATGTGCTTGACTCATGTCAATGAAAACAGACATATTTACTTTCCTGTCTGACATCATTCATTTACACTTATGATCTTACTTTGCACATTGCTTGACTTCTTACGGTTGCTTGGAATTCAAAGTTTCTCTCATGCCATATGCTGATTCTCATCTAGATGTTCATACAGCAATACAATTTGTTTGTTTCATATCATTTTGATGTCTATTACTACTCATATCCATTTTTCGCCACTGCTATATCTGCTTTTGTGGCCTATGCTAATAAGTTTGTACATAAATTTTTTAAAAATGTTGACCCTCTCCGCGCCAGCTGTTCTTCTTCTTTTTCTGTTGTACTTCCTTTTCTGATTTGCTTTTGACACACACGAATGGCTGGTGACTGCATTTAACAAGAGTGTTCATTCTTGTGCATACTCTAAGAACAGGGAAAGAAACAGAGTATAGTTTGCTAATTTCTTATTATCAGCAGATATGAGTTCTGCAGTCTAAGTTTCAAACAAGAAGAAACCAAGGGATATATATGAGAGCAAAAATGGCAAGGGTATAACTCTAGTCTTGATAATTAGTACTGCACAAAGCTGGTACAAAGCAACTTTCTAAGAGGCCTTGTACTGCACTGGACACTAGAATGATTGATATGTAAAATTTTGGTTTAGTTTTTAACGAGTTTGCACTTACATCATTCATATCAGCATGTTCTGTTAGTTTGATTAGGGAATGCCTCTGAGTTCCTTAAATCATTTGTTATCTGGTGTAATGGCACCAAATGATGTATTGAATTGCATTTGATACAAATTTTGAGGTTACATGGCTAAGTAAGTGATTTTATCGTCTCAACTTTTACAGAGTGTAGCTCACATGGTTACCATATATTTCTTGTTTCATAATAGCTGTATGGTTTATTGCAATTCTTGTTAAAGGGATGATGGGATGTTATTGTTTGCTAACTTTGTTGCAGAGCTCTAACACAAAACTATATTCATATCTCTTCCCTTAACAGAAATGCTTTCAAGCATGAGCTAACTTTACTAGAAAAAGTCCGACATCCTAATGTGGTTCAATTTGTTGGAGCTGTTACACAAAATATTCCCATGATGATTGTTTCAGAGTATCATCCAAAAGTAAGCATATCTCTCTCCCTGTGTCTCCCTGCCTGCCCCTTGACTATCCTGTCTGTGTTTCGTTCTTTCAATTTGTCTATTTTATAAGTATAGGCATGCTTCTATATTTAATTATGATAGAAGATAAACAAATTTTTTGTTCATTTTGAGAGAAAAGTAGAAAAGTGGGATGACTAGAGAATGAAGATTTCCCCATAGGGCCTAATAATTTTTTTCCTATATGCATGAGCCGAACAATTGACACTAGGTAGGAGAATTAGCATGCCTGAAGTGGTGTTTCCTAATTAATGGACTTAACCCCACAACCATCTTCAGTCATTTATGAATACAACTTCGATTTCTTTCTCCTGCATATCAATATTAGAGCTTCTGATCTTTCAAATTTATTGCACGTGGTTTTCATTCAGTTTAGTTTTAGATGTTCTTGAGATGGGATGTACTCATAAGTTTTTCTGGCATGGTTCCTGTATTTGGTGTTTTACACCAAGGAACTGTTCTAGCAGCGTAATTTGCTTTGTCTAGAGAAAGTCTTTAGTGTTTTACTCACCACTTTAACATTACTATTGTGATGATCCTTATTTCAGGGTGACTTGGGAAGCTACCTTCAAAAGAAAGGGCGTCTATCTCCATCCAAAGTTTTAAGATTTGCTCTTGACATTGCCAGGCATGTGTTTTTTTCCTTTTGCATCACACTTAAAGAATATTTGTCTGTATTATCACTTTAATTATCATAAGTCCTATTTTCACCTATGCAAAATTCAAATGTTAATGTGCTGAATATGCTTCTTGTTCTTCTGTTCTACATTATTCTCTATTTAGTAATGCATGGAACTGCTTCAAGTCATTTATTTCTCCTGGTTCTTCACTTAATGACTATCATTTTCTTGATATCAGGGGAATGAATTACCTTCATGAATGTAAACCAGATCCAATCATTCACTGCGATTTAAAGCCAAAGTAAGGCAACCACTGTAGAAGTTGATATAATGGTTGCAGAAATTACTAGTTGGATTTTTTATTTACTCATTGTCATGTACTGTTCTTTAATGTTTGAAATTTTGGTAAGGTGCCAGAAATGTTTTGCTGGATAATGGAGGTCACTTGAAGGTAGCTGGATTTGGTTTGTTAAGATTGTCAAAAATATCACCAGACAAGGCAAAATTAGCACAGCCAAATGCTGATGTTGATCCATCAAGTGAGTTTGAGACCAAAAATCTTTTATTTGGATGTTTATTATAAGTATGATACTTGTATTCTTTCTGCTATGGTAAAACTGTGACTAATGATTTGGTTTTTCTGATTGTAGATATATATATGGCACCTGAGATTTATAAAAATGTGATTTTTGATCGAAGCGTTGATGCATATTCTTTCGGTATCATGCTATACGAGGTACATCGTCCTCTCAAAAACTTGTTATCGACTGACACAAATGTTACAAGGCTAAAGGCAATTTAATTGCTTTTGTAACTCCTTGTTTTTTCTTGCTGACATCTTTCAGATAGTGAATATGTTGTGTTTTTTAGAAAAACAGATGCTCACCTGTGTCCTACACTGTGCTCATTCCTCTTTTAGTTTGCTGTGTGTGTATGAGAGTATGTGAGTGAGAATGAGAAGTCAGTGTGAGGATTTTTTTAGGATGGGGTTGAGGCAAGTAATTGTTCAGGCAAATCAAAGCTGCATTTTAGTCTGAAACTAGGTATTAACCACTTTTTTCTTTGTTCTTGTATTGGTTCAGATGATTGAAGGAGTAGTGCCTTTTCATCCCAAGCCTGCTGAAGAGGCTGTAAAATTGATGTGTTTAGAAGGAAAGAGACCACCATTCAAGACCAAATCAAGAAGTTATCCTCCAGACTTAAGAGAGTAAGTTTGGGATTTGAGATAAAAAGTAGACTTACCTTGGTTTATAGCTTTAAGGTTATTGAATTAATAACAGGGTCAGATTTGTGTGTGTGGGTTTGTTTGGTGTTTTGTGTTCCTTTGAAATTTATTTATTTATTTTTTTTTTGCAAAAGGAAAAACCCAGGTCTGTTTTTTTTTTTTGTCTTTCTTCTCAGGAGAAAAAAGTGCAGTACATTTTAAAAGTTATCTTGATTAACTATCACCCGTACAAGTATTCTAATCTTTACTGCCATTGTAATATATAAACAGGCTGATTGAAAACTGCTGGGATCAAGAACCTGTTGTCAGGCCGATTTTTGCAGAGATTATTGTACGATTAGACAAAATAATTGCCAACTGCTCAAAACAAGGGTGGTGGAAAGACACTTTCAAGCTTCCTTGGTATGCTTCTATCATCAATCTTTTTTGTTAACAGGTAGTTTGCATATGCTACAGATGAACAAAATGTCATTGGAGGTCCTTGTATATCATGATTATACCCAAAGGTTTTCGATAAGTCTTTTAATTTGAGCTTGAGTTTTATCTTTTGCCCCTTAAAAAGTTCTAGGCTGTTCTACATTGAATTTCTGATTAGATGCCTTGTGATTTAATAAATAATTTAGAAATATAATACTAGAAATGTTATGCTGTCCATTCCTTGTTAGTAAGGTGTCATCGATTATTTACTCAGGCAGCAAGTTTTATGTTAAAGGATAAAAAATCTTGTGCTGAGAAAAACGGATTCAGTCAAGTGAAGGAGTGACGGTTTAATGTGATCAATTTCTGAGAGCATTTAAATAAAAATAGTGAAACAAAGTACCATGAGTAATTGGTGCCTTGCTATAGGTAACATGTTGTGCTGAAATATAATGGAATCTTGTTTTAAAGCATTGTATCCATAGTTAAATAGGGATTTTACATGGATAGAACGTACTACTGTATAAGTTAGAGATTCCTTGGTGGAGTTATCCCTGCAAATCTCGGGACTCCAAACTGTTGAAGTTTGTGAGGAAATCTAAAGCCTTACATGTGATTCTTTGCAGGAAATAAGGAAGGGGCTCAGTTCCTGCAAAAAAAGGGAAATAAGATGAAGATTTTGAAGGAGAGGTTTCAATCTCAAGTTTTTTGGAGCTTCATCTTAAATGTTGTATGTTATAATAATTGAGTTAACAGAGTGCAAAAATCATGTCGAAATTAAAAAGTGATGTTCCCTCAAGTCTTTCTTCTTTCATGGAGCTGTAACAGTTTCCTTGTTATGTACGGTGTGTGAAAGAGCTTACGTTACGGACCGAGCACACTAATGGAAAAAAAAAATACAAATATATATATATATATATATATAATGAAAAGAATTAATGTAATTGTTAATGCATTTGGGAGTGAATTGAAATTGAAGGACGGACCACACTCTGGATAATGCTAATTGGATGGCCTTGGAGTTGATCTTGGCCTTGATTAAAACACTTGATGCTTGAGTATTTATGGAGTGGGTCATGACTCATTTGCAACGCTTGCTCAGTAAAATGGGAATAATATGTATCTTGGACTATAAATTTTTGGCATCTTAAGTATGCTAATGAAACCACATGTCGTACGTACAGCATTTCTTTCGTGGTTCTCTTTCGTTCATTGGATTTGATTTTGGATCACCTAGTTATTCCTCTCATCGCCTCTGTGGCTCTGTTACAAGATGGATTACTGCTTAAGTGCTACTGCTACTGATAACCCAAAAAAGCACAACCCTTTTCATGAGGTTAAATTTGGTGCAAATAAGCTAATTTTTAAGCATAAAAAAAATTATAGTGTCTTCGATAAATATTCAATTTTATGTCAATTCATAATATCGATAAATATTCCACAATTCATAATACAGTCAACGAGGCCAAATTGGAAACGTTTCATAATTGTCTTGCGGGATCAAGTGATATTCACAGGATCCACATAAGACTGACCACCAGAATCAACGATCACCACGTGTCAAAAACTTAGCACGCTAGTCAAAATCAAAATTCCGAAAATACACTCGCGCACCACAGTCACTTTCCCTAACCCCGTCCCCCTCTTAAACCCTCTCCCATTTCTCGCGTTCACCAACGACCCCCTATTTGCTGTTCCTTCTTTTATTTTTTACTGCAAATTTTTAATTTTTTGATCGATTCATAACATTCTATCTCAGCTCTCGCATAAACACTGTAAGTAATATGCGCTTTTCGTTATCAATTTATTTATGTTTTTTTGTTATCGTCGATTTTTGCTTCTTCTAATTTCATTGTAAAGTTCGTTTCAGTTATTCTTTTTTGTTAATCAAATCCGAATATGAGTTATGATTGCCGAATATATGTTTTTAATTTTTTTTCGCTTAGGAGTTTCGCAGTTTTTGGTTGCTAAGAATTTTTTTTTTGCTTGATACGAAATGAAAGTTGATATTTAGTATTGCTTGAAATGAAAAAGAAATTCCTTCCGTGAGGCGAATAGAGAATTGATATAAGAAAAAACGAGAATCGAAAAAATGCTCAACTACTGGCTATGATAATGTTTTTAGTATTTTTCTTTATCATTTATGCTTTTTTTTTCAAATATTAAACGTATCATAAAAATGCTTTTTTTTAGCTCTTCTGTTTTTTTGAGTAAATATTTATGAATAGGTTGTCATTTTTTTTTATAATCCTTTTAGCTGTGTTTTCGATTTTTTTATTATTTTATTTTTTATGAGTAATAGATGCTTTGGATTTTTACCCCTCTATTCTTTCTTTTGCTTCGTCTTTTTTAATTTTTAAAAATTTTTTAGTTTTTTTTCCTATTTTTTCATTTCACGTTATATGTTTATTGTCTCTGCCTTGAACTAAATAAAAAATTTAATTTCACATGACCAGCTCCTACGCTTGACTGATTTTCTGGTTCCTTGATTGATGTGACACAAATCAAGGGTTAAGTATAAAAAAAAGGAATTTGGGATATTGACAAGATTTGAATTATTATTTTTTATGAATTTGTTAGGTTTTGTATTTGATCACAACAAAATAATATTGTATAAGAATAATCAAAATTGCATTTAGTAATGTTCATTTTCTGAGTAGTTATTTTTGTTCTTTTTTTTTTTTTCTGAGATGTTATATCTACCAGGTTAATTGAGTGGTTGTTTGAGAAATGTGAATGTATTCCTCCCTTTGACAAGAAAAACGATTGATAATGGCTTCTAGAGCAATTTTAAGAAGGCAGAGATTTATTTCTGATTACCTGAATGCCTCATCACGATCAGTCCAGACCTTCCAGTGTCTTGGCCATCCTGCACAGAAGTTGGAATCACGTGGTTATGGATCTACTGTGGACCATCCATCTGAAGATTTTAATCGTGTAAAGAAACTGGATGTAAATTCAGTTGCGAAACAGGGTTTACTGGGTTTTTCAGGATTGGGATACTTTAGTTATAGATTTCAAGGAATATCAGTTTTAGGTCTTGGAAGTGCAAGATTCCAATTCAATTCTCCATTGAGTGTCAGATTGATGCCATATTCTGTTCGTCGTGCTTCAACAGCTACCGCTAAGCAAAGTGAACTGGGTAGTGATGATGAGGGCAATGAAGAATTGGTTGCTCAAAAGAGAAAGGAAGCATCTCCAGAAGAATGTGATCAAGCTGTTGAAGGTTTGAGTACTGCTAAAGCCAAAGTGAAGGCTAAACGGTTGCAAGATTCTCAGAAGGTTGCCAAATCCGTTTTGCAAAGAGTATGGGCCACAATTCTTGGGATTGGTCCTGCTTTAAGAGCTGTAGCTTCTATGAGCAGGTTGAATTTTATCCTTTAAGTCTTTAAGGGTTTTTAATAAATCAATTAACATGATTCTAATAGATTTTTAATGTACTGCATATTTGATATTCTATTGCTTCGTACAGGGAGGATTGGGCAAAGAAACTTGTTCATTGGAAACATGAAATTCGGTCAACTTTGCAACATTATTGGTTGGGTTTTAAGCTACTTTGGGCCGATGTTAGGATCAGCTCAAGATTGCTGCTAAAGCTGGCTGGTGGTAGAAGTCTATCTAGAAGGGAGAGGCAACAGTTGACTCGAACTACTGCCGATATTTTTAGGCTAGTTCCATTTGCAGTTTTTATCATAGTCCCATTCATGGAATTTCTTCTGCCTGTTTTCTTGAAACTGTTCCCTAATATGTTGCCATCGACCTTTCAAGACAAGATGAAAGAGCAGGTATGGTGGCATTCTTTCAAATTATTATTGCTGGCTAATTTGTTATATTCCAATGGTGTTCTAGCTTTATCCTTTATGTTTTTGTACCTCTTTTTAGAATCTCTCCTGTTAAAGCAGGAAGCATTCAAGTTAGGTTTGTCCTTTTGTACATGCATGAAGTTATAAAGTGGGTGAGAATGCGCCAGCATTTCGTTTAATGAATGGATTTTCTTTGTAACAGTTAAACTGACATCTTTTTTTATTTATTTTCTTTTCTTTCCAATTTCATTCTCCATAATTTTTACTGAGATTGCATATGTTAATAAAATACGCATTGAGAATTCCAAATTTTTTTAAAATAAAGAAGGGCTGGTAGACTCATTATTTGGTTGAGATCAGATATGTGAATAAAAGTTTTACTAAAATTTGTGTTCACCTTGATTTAAGCTTCTTATATGGATCAGGATATGAGTGATGAAAAAGTGGGATGTTAAAATACCTTGCTTAGGAGAAAATAAAGAAAAGAGAAAAGCATAGAGAAAAGAATCAATAACATAAACCATGGGTGGCTGCATGTGCCTGCTGTGGAATTTGCACCTGTTTGGAACATTCTTACTTACCTATTTGTCTGTTATGAGGAGGCAGGCTTGAGGTGCTAATTGTGCAAGTGTGTGTGTGGCTGTGGCATTTCCCTGGTTCCCCACTCTTTTCTTCTTGTTTTTTTCCAATGCATTTCTTCTCACTTTCTGAACATGTAGGAAGCACTGAAAAGGAGGCTCCATGCAAGAATAGAATATGCCAAGTTTCTTCAAGATACAGTCAAAGAAATGGCAAAGGAGGTTCAAAATTCAAGGAGTGGAGAAATTAAGAAGACTGCTGAAGATCTTGATGAATTTTTGAATAGGGTAAGATCCTATCTTACCTTTGATTTTTCTTGTTTTTTCCCCCTAGTTTCCGTTTTTTAACTTTGCAATTGCAATCTTGATATTTTGCAGGTCAGAAGGGGTGCTGGTGTATTAAATGAGGAGATTCTTGCCTTTGCCAAGCTGTTTAATGATGAACTCACTCTGGATAACATCAGCAGGTTGGTCTCCATTGCAAGTATTTTTGTATATAAAAGCTTTTGACTATTTAATTTAAATTGAATGGTTAATTAAGCAAAGTTGTTTTATTTTTGTTTCATGTTTGTTCTTCCGTTTTGTTTGCCAGGCCCCGATTGGTAAATATGTGCAAATATATGGGAATCAGCCCCTTTGGAACAGATGCATATTTGCGTTATATGCTTCGGAAGAGACTCCAGTGGTAAAACTTGTTTATTCAATCTGAATTAAAATAAACAGTTCTGTACCCTGTTTTGGCAGAACGTGTTAATGGGTTTAAATGTATTTGAGAGGAGTGAATGGAATCTTCCAGATTTACTGCATTGAACTTGCATTTTGCTGTGGTTGCTTGGGCTGGTTAAATTTACCTGATCTTATTTTACTTGCTCATTTATGAACTCATGATAACATCTTGGCTTTTGGAGGGGTATCTGCTTATTTGCATGATTTATGGTTCCCCTTTGCCACTTGTAAAGTTTAAATCTAATTAAATTTATTGCTTAAACCATTACTTCTCCTATTGCATTTTACAACCATGAGGTTTCATGGTATGGATATTCATTTATTATTTAGTTTTCTGGGTGGGAGGTCTTCATGTTGAGAACTTATTGATGCAGCTTTGCAATACAAAATGTAGAATCTCTATAAAAGTAGAACTTTAAATCCATAGGCATGTCTCCTTGAATTCTTTTGGTACATGGGAGTTATTGTACTGGAACCTGCCAGCTCATACTCAAACTTTAAATCTATAGGCATGTCTCCTTGAATGCCTTTATTGATATCTGGAATGTGCTGCAAAGTTTTTAGCACATATAGAGGACTGAGCTGGTATATTTGTATATTGTGGTATTGCTTAAACTGTTGTTCTGTCCTCAAGCATAATTTTATTTTCATATATCTGCTTGATCACAGAAACTATTTATTTCTATTGCCATACAGTTGTTTATTTCTATGGAAGAATAGGCTGCACGCTCTAAGCTCTCTTTTTTGCAAGATTTCTGCAAAGATGCATACTTGACTCTTTTTTTTTTGTTTAGATGATACAGTTCTTTTATGCTACTCTGGTTTTTCTGCGTTTGGTGGAATTATCTTAGGTTGGAAGTGTTAGAATAAGCAAAGGGAAGAAGCACATATGAAAATATAATGAGCGGAGTTACTGAGTCTTGTTGACATTTAGGGTTGATTCTCTTACTAAAAAATTGTTTAGAGATTGATCCATCATTTTGGGGATTTTAGTATTATAATGCACATATAAGATTCAGCAAACAGTATGTTATCCTTGGTATATGGTTTTGTTTTCTAATGGGTTTTGGTTGAAGTAAGTTTGTTTCTTTAGCTTCTACTTCACTTTCAGTTTAGGATCCAACTAAACTCTCTGTTTTAAATTCTTTTTCTATCTCTCTCCTTTTCCAGTACTTTGAGGTCATTGTGAATGGTCTTATTGTTACTATTTTCTTATAGTTATTATGTATGTTCTAGGATCAAGAATGATGACAAGCTGATTCAAGCTGAGGGTGTGGAGTCCCTATCAGAAGCTGAACTTCGTGAAGATTGTAGGGAGCGAGGCATGCTTGGAGTGTTCTCAGTAGATGAAATGCGTCAACAGGTGTTTTTTATTTTTTAATGTGCTTATTTCTTTTCTCTTTGCCAATTAAGTGCTTGAGACTCTACAATCTCTTTCTGAACCATGTTTGCAATGATAAGTGGTTTATGAGATATGCTAATGTCTCATTTATTGATACAATTTTGGATTTGCATAGTTTCACTTTGTTAAGACCATTATGTCTTGTTTTATGCTGTATATATGGTTCTGTTATGAAGATTGTACAAACATGCACCCCTCCAGAACCCTAGCATGGCAAAACCAGCCGCATGAAAGAAGATAAAAAATGAAAGTAGCTTCATATTCTTGTAACCATTTTGCTTTGTTGATTTAATTCTATTGGAACAATCTTTTTTTTTTTTTTCTAATTTGGCGTGCTCGGATGATTGGATGTACAGTACTATGTTTCCATTTTAGGTTTATCTTACTTTGAATTGGCTTGTGTTTATATGAAAGGCATTATTTTTGTAAGAATTGTTTTATCTTTATCTTTTAAACTATTATAGAGGAAGTTGTTAGGCCTTCTTTCTTCTATTTAGTGGTTATACAATTAATTGCGATAGCAAGTAGATTTTTATGTGACTCTTTAACATGGTTAACATCTGCCTGCAGCTTCGAGATTGGCTGGATTTGTCTCTAAATCACTCAGTCCCTTCTTCCCTTTTGATTCTTTCTAGGTGATTAAAAGTTTAGTCTTACGTTTTCTTTCTTCCCTTGCTTCATTGCGTTCTGTAGTTCATCAATTGATTACAATCTGCAGGGCCTTCACTGTATCAGGAAAGCTGAACCCAGAAGATGCTGTTCGAGCTACCCTTTCTTCTTTACCTGATGAAGTTGTGGATACTGTTGGTGTTACAGCTTTACCATCTGAAGATTCTGTTTCAGAAAGGAGAAGGAAGCTGGAGTACCTTGAGATGCAGGAAGAACTGATCAAGGTTAAAAAGGAAGATGTTTTCTTTATATTATTATCATACAAAAAGTCTCCTCTATTGTTTTAAGAATTTGACAAAATAGGCTGTGTACTATTGGAAGCATGCTATGGGGCTCAGTTCATTCTGTGTTTTGTGAAGTAGTTTGATAGAATCTTACTGCCAGTAAATAGAGGCCTCCAGTCTTGAAGTGTTCAGCGTAGGCTTTAGAAATGTGCCTAAAAGCAGCTTTTCAGGTTTTGAGCACTTCTTTTGAATTGCCTTGCCTGTTCTAAATTGGTATCTTTGTAGGAGGAGGAAGAGAACGAAGAAGAAGAGCTGGCTAGGATGAAAGAATCTAAAGCTAGTGAAGAGGATGTGGCACTTAAAGAGATGACTATCCCAACTGCTAGAGAAGCACAAGAACAGGCTGTAGCTAGAACATTGGAAAAACGAGAGCAGCTCTGTGAACTCAGTCGTGCATTGGCTGTTTTAGCTTCAGCATCTGTAAGGACTCTATTTTAAGATTTTCTTCAGTGACTGTCATTCTATTGATTCTGTTCTTCTATTGTATTATTCCTAGTATTGCCACTAGCAATCTAGATGTAACTTCATTTTCTTCGTAACATGCAGTCTGTAAGCAGAGAGCGTGAAGAGTTCCTGGGTCTTGTCAACAAGGAGGTGTGTTATAAACGTGGATATTTTGATTTGGTTGTGGTGAAGAACTGCATCTGCATGATGTCTACGTATTATTTTTAACTAGTTATGTCAGAAGCAAATTAAGCAAGTTTAATAAATAAAGCATATTATAAAGTCCTAATGGAATTCTTTTGGACTAGATGTCTTTAAGTTCTCCCTTTTCAGTAGTGACTTGCGAGGTTAGGGGAAACATAATTTGGTCTTTAGTTGCAACTTTTTAACTTGGAACAATGTTTAAGCAAATGATAAATTTTCTAATTCTGTTTCTGCCCTTTTTTTCTTTTCTGCTAATTTTGGGTCTTGCCAATGTTGCCAGATAGAACTTTATAATAGCATGGTAGAGAAAGAGGGCACAGATGGTGAAAAGGATGCCATTAAGGCATATAAAGCTGCACGGGAGGAAAGTGACCATTCTAGTGAAGTGTCTGAAAGTGATGAGATTTCTTCAGCGCTTATTGAAAAAGTAAGTCATTGGAACTCAGTTGTTATGGTTTCTCTTTTTCTTATCATGTGATAGAAAGTAAAGTATTTACCTTTCTTGTCCCTCACTAGGTTGATGCTATGCTCCAAAATCTTGAGAAGGAAATTGATGATGTAGATGCAAAAATAGGTGATCGCTGGCGATTACTTGACAGGTTTGAATATGTTTCTGGATTGTTTCCTTTTCTCCTATCTTGCCTTCATTCTATGTTGTTGTGCAAACAGAGTGATGTTTGTTATCCTGATTTTACATTCTGTTATTGAAAAGTATTTATAGAGTTTGGTGTTGTTATTCATATCAACTTTTATGGGCACAGTTACCAACATATTAATGATCGCAAGGGCATGGTTACCTTGAAATAAAGTTAGTGAAGTTGGTAATGTTTGTGTTATTAGGCTAACAGTAATTGTAAGGGTTAAAGTATTCAACATCAAAAAGTTGATGATTTATGTTTTCTCCACAACAAGGCCCATAGATAACTTAAATATCTTAGTGCTATTTCATAAGCCCTGAAAGTTACAGTGAATTATAAATTTTGATTTTGTCCAAACAAAGTTATTTGCACCCTCTAGATTCTGTATACGAAGGCACAAGTTGTGCAGCTGAAAGAGCTATTTACCTTTATAGACCTTTGCCCCTTGTATTAATAATCCTTATATTCCAGTTGATCTTGGTGCCAAAAACTAGTAGAAGATACTTTCAGTTTGATTACAACTTTTGAATCTGGGCTTCTTAATAAGTTCATTTTGTGAACTACATAAAATTGTTGTTATCCTTTAAATTTTGATGGGCAAAGAAGATGTTCATACTGGATCATTATTATTATTGTTTTATTTTTTGGTCCATGTGATCTTGGGCTACACAATAGGAGGTAGTCATCTCCCATCCCATAAATCCCACCCCACCCATCCTAGGATTGGAACCCGAGACCTCCAAGTTGGAGTCTCAAGTTCTAACTGCTAGGGTGTTCCTATTGGGGACCCCAGAGTTGATTAAATAATATTCTTTGAAGCCATCTTGCAATGCTCATGGACATAAATCATATGGAACAGTATCAGGCCCATTTTGCTGAACTTGGCATTTGGTCTATGTAGTCAAATATGTGAAATATGTTCTGTCTGCAGAGATCATGACGGTAAAGTCACGCCTGAGGAGGTGGCTGCTGCTGCTATATACTTGAAGGATACATTGGGCAAGGAGGGGGTACAAGAACTCATCAGCAGTCTTTCCAAAGATAGAGGTCAGCTAATTTTTTTTTTTTCCGCTGATATGTTTTTACTTTGTTTGTCCAAATAAATAAAAAAGCAGGAATATACTTTTAGGTACATGTTTTGATGTATGTGAGCATTTCTTTTTTGTTTGGCTTGTTAAAATGCGTATTGCTTTTCCTTCTATAATCGGAGAATTTATCTGACTTCTTGGAAACTATTGGTGTGAGAGCTTACTTATTCTGCTTTAAGGCTATAAAATCGTTGGAAGATGCATTTGTTCCATTTCTCCTTGGGGCATTATGAATAACCAGAAAATTACAATTTATGCTTCTGATATATAAGTTAATTATCATTTGATGAGACCGCATGTTTTGTCTTTAGACATTTATAAGAGAATAGTCTCTTAATGGTGGACAAGGTAAATTCATATTTTGAGATGATAAGGATGATTGAGAAAAGTGATAATTAGCTGAATCTGGTGGGGTTATTTGTCATCTGGTGTTATGTGTTTTCGTATAGTATGAATTTACTTTTTCCTTTTTCTTTTATTTTATAATTTTCTCCCCTAAATGGGCATGGGAAAAGGGTAATTTTATCAAACTGCAGTGTTCTTGTTGCATCATTGTTACTTTTAAGTTGTTGGGCAATCAATTGATTTATTTGTTCACAAGAGTGACTGCTATTCTCATCTTTTCAATGCAATAGATGGCAAAATTCTTGTGGAAGACATTGTCAAATTGGGCAGTCAGACAGAAGATGAAAATAGCGTTGAGGAGGGGAGAATGTAGAAATTATAGTCGAGATTACATTAGTCCTTTTTGGACTCCTTAAAACATTTTGTACTTAGCATTAGTTGGTCAAATTCATATCTTGGCACGGTTCTTTTTGGAAATGATGCTGGACCAAATCTTGATGGTTTGAGTTCCAATGGTCAGTTTTTGTAGACCTTGGCTTTATGCATAATAGTTCTTTAAGGTCAGTTATAAAGAAGCTGATTTTACTCTTCCCACATACCGATGAAACAGATGTATTTCTAATGCTGTAAAAATTATAAGTAATAGGAAGCAAATATATTCAAACAGTAGATTGCATAGAAGCCTTGTTGTTGGTGTAATAATCAAAATAGTTGTTATAGTTGATGTGGAAAAGAAGTGCTATATATGGCAGATTAAGAATGGTTTAATTTGCTTGATTATTTCATTTGGGTTAAGTACTTTTGTACTCTGTTTTTCAGAAATAAATAGGATGGAAAAACAGAGAGTGGGAAGTGGGGGTTTTGCTTGCACTTTCTTTTTCTTATTGTAGTGCTAAAGGGGAATGTGCATGGTGCACTTACTAACTTAAAAGTAATTGGCTGCTAATTGCATGTAAGTTTTGCGACGAATTCTTTTATGTTCTTGTCTGAGCTTCCACCGACATTAACTGCCTCCACGGCTAGTTTCTTCCATTTCTCTGCATTCCTTTTTATATCCTTGCTTTTATCTCCTTCCATGATTTCCCTTATACACCGTTGTATCTCTTCCTTGGTGATGATCCCTTTGTCATCCTTCCTAGCTCTGATTCCGGCCTGCCACACATCCGTAACATATTTTGCATTAGTTGTTTGGTCTGTCCATTGCGGCACGGCTACCATAGGCACCCCCAAGCTCAACGCCTCCAGTGTTGAATTCCAACCGCAGTGAGTCATGAAGCAGCCAACTGCCTCGTGAGCCAAAACTTCTAATTGAGGACTCCATGAAACTACCAGCCCCTTCTCTGAAGTCTCGGCTATGAAGCTGGCAGGAAGCTTTTTCTGTTCTGGTTCTCTAACTACCCACAGGAAGTAGCTGTTGCTGCTCTGTAGGCCTGATGCGAGCTCCTGCATTTGCTCTTCTCCTAAGGCCGCCAGGCTTCCAAATGATATGTAAACAACTGAGCCAGTTTCTTTTGAGTTTAACCAATTAATGCAAATGTCGATCTCCGGCTTGAAGAGGTGTAAGCCATACTCTTCGTCATCCTCCACTCGTTTATCTAGGTACTTTGATGGAATTGCAGGTCCAACAGCCTTGATCGGTCTCTGGCTGGCCATCCAGTTTAGTACCTAATCGAAATTATTAACAAATTTAGAATTAAAGAAGTACGACATTCTAACCAGAAAATTTCACTCATTCTTAAGTATTTGCATTTCAGAAAAATAAATAAATATTTTGGTAAGAATTGCCGGACATGTTCAAAGATATAGCATATCTTTCAAGTGGAAGGAAAATAATATTTCTTTCCTTCTCAATTTTTGATAAGCAGGAATAGGAAAGAGGAATGAAAATGGATGAATTTGTAGTTTTTCTTTTCCTCTAAATCTAATCCTTTCAAATTGAAAGGATTATACTCCTTTTACCTAAATTAATCATTCTATTTATAATTTGATCCCTAATCTCCTTTTTTCCCTCAATTTTTTATCCTTTGTACCAAACATAATTAGAAAAACATTTTTCCTACTTCTTCATTTTTAATTTCCTTCCCCACCTTTTCCCATTAATTCACTCTATTTATCTTAATTTCTACCAAACATACATAGTGCAAAGTTACGAAATTACCTTGTATAGTTAGTATTGAAAGCATTATTCCAAAATCAGGATGCACGTACCTCCTCTTCTATGCTGGTGAAAGTATTAATAAAGACCCAGTCAGCTTCCAGGAAATTTGAGAACTGATTAACAAGAATGTGTAAGAAGGCTGGATAGGATCCTATATCATAAACAAATGATGGCAGGTCGCATTCTTGAAGCAGTGGCAAGCCATCAATGGACAAAGAGGACTCGGCAAGTGGAAGCTTCACCAATCCTTCATGGACGTTGTAGTAGATGGTATCAACAGCACACGATTGAGTGAAGAATGCAGCTGCAGGGACGCCTAGCTTTTTGGCTATGTCGAGTGCCCAGGGGAAGTGTGCGTCGTAAACTAGGCAACTTATGCCTAGCTTCGCGATGATCTGTGGTAGTCTTAGGGTCACAACTGCCTTGAATTGTTCCAGATCGACTGTTTTTAGATCATTGTCTACTTGAAGGTCATCAGCAACTGGCTCAAGTTTTACAGGACCAACTTGGACAGGCATAGACTTATTAACAGAGGCGGTGCATACTGTGACTTCCAGCCCTTCATAACCCAGGCGTTTCGAGAACTGTAGTACGGGATTGATGTGGCCTTGGGCAGGCAATGGCAAAACCAGTACGTGTGTCTGAGAAACACTTTCTTGTTTCTTCATGTTTCCCTATCCGATCTGACAAGCCGCTGTTCCAATCTCTCTTAGTCTCTACACACATTAAAACATGTACAAATTTACGCGTTGAGGAAGCTAGCAGGCCTCAAAAAATTGGTGGGAAGAAATCCCAGGTATAAACCATCGTCATCTCCAGTATTAATTTCTAAGGTCGGTCACTGAATATGGTGCAGGCACGACCAGTTATTCGTCATTACCTTGGGTCCTTGAGAGTACATTTACATCACGCATAACCAGTGATTGGCCATTATCTTTGGGTCCTTTAGAGTTCATTTGCATAAAGCATTACCAATTATTGGCTATGTAGCTTTAATGTATCTGCAAATTCTGTGGCCATTATTTTTCCACAATTTTGTTCCACTGGCTCTGAATGCATTGACAATGACAATAGTGAAAGCATGCTTATGGCGGGGAAGATGTAAAATGACAATAACAAGTAGGGCGGACCCTAAACATTTTTTCAAGTAGTGTTATAAGATGATGTTCAAATTTTTTTTTTTAGATTCAATATTTGCTGGCTTAGAAAAATATTGTTAAGTACCATCATTAGTAAAATCTTGTTATTATTGCTCTAGATTTGTATCTTGTAAGATAATTTTTTTTCTTTTAAAATATATTTTTATGGTTTATTTATCTAAATTTATAAAACTTAATTAAAAATTATATTCATTAGTATTAATTAAAATACTAAAATTAAATAAAATTTGATCTTACATAACAAATTATCAAGTTCAATAAATAATTTTTTATTTATTAATAAAAATTAAATATAAACATCCACAAATTATATAAAATTAAATATAAAAATTAAATAATCAAATAATATATTTACAAAATAAAAAAAAAAACTTATCATTTCAAGATATTATTTGACCTATAATACTATTTTCTATTAATTAGATTATAATTATGAACACAAATTATCAAGCTAATACAAAATATATTTTGACATGAAGTATTTAAAAATTTAATTTGAATTAAAAATTACTTACAATTAAAGCCTAAGTGAGTTATTTTAAGAATGAAAAATATAGTCAAGAACCAATAAAAAAAGGATTTCAATTTTTAGACAGGATGATCATAGGTTGAGTTTTAACTTTTTTAATAAAATCTTAAATTATAGGAAAAATTTTTTTATATGTCCTTACAATATTTAAATATAATATATAAATTACGATTTGATAAATCATTTTTACTTAGTATATTAACTACCTATAACATTGCAAAAAAAGAGTTTATTAGTATATTAACTAGCTTACATCCTAGATAAATAGAATAAACACTAAAACATTTTAAGAAGTGAGTGATGTCATGTGACACTACTCCTCCTTTTATAACATACGGATTTGAAAACTCGACCACATGAAATGGTTGAAAGTTGTCACCAATCTTTTTATATTTAAAAATAATTGATCAATTATTAAATTTGTTCTATTTGATAAAATTTTAAATTAATTTTAAATTTATTTAAAAAACAATAATTAGATCTGCGAGTTTTGAATTAGGTTCAAGAGTACAATAATACACAAGAAAAGTACTATTTGATTATTTGTTATCTTATTTTGACATTAACTTTTGATTTTATTCTTATATTTCCTTAATCATTATTTATTATTTTGTTTTTGATTTTACCTGGTTTAATTTTTTTAATCTTTCTTTTTAATTTTTTATTATTTTATTTATTTTATTTTTCATTATTTCTTAAACCAATGTTTGATTATTCAACTTTATGAATGCACATAATGCAATTACGAAAAAATACCATAATTTATCAATTTTAAGTAATGGAAAACAAGAACCACATATTGAAAAAACCATTCATGGACCATCTCTACGTTTTGATAAAATTTAAAAGTTTTTTTCACTTAAAGATATCCCCGAAGAAACTCATCTCTATAAATCCTTAAAGACAAACCCAACGTCGAGATTCTTGTTTCATTAACAAAATAAATATAGCGTATACCATATCAAGATAAAATCGTGAATGGTACATGTTTATAAAATAATTTCATTGATCTTAATTTCTATGGTAATATATTTAATATTTTAATATAATTAACCAATTCATTTAGTCTTACTATATATATATATTTTTTAACGTTTTGTTTAAGTTGATGATGATGATGATTATTATTATTATTAACATTACTTTTTTTGAACAATTTGATTCGCTTAAATTTTCTAATTGTTTGAGTTAATTAATAAAATATTTTATAAATTTATTTTTTTAATATTTAAGATGATTAATTGAATTAACAAGATATTGAGATATAAGATTAAAGTTTATCTTGACGCTTGGATAAAGACCTTAATCGAATTTTGTACCTAAAAAAGTCATTTCAAAAATGTGACTTTTCGCATCCCCGAATGACATTTCATCATTGGGTTAACTCCACATAACTATTTTATTTTTTTATATTATCTTACGAACCTCTAATAACGATCATAAGAGAAAAAAAAAAGCTTGAATATCTCATCATTTTAATTTCTGTAGGAATATGAATATTCTATTTTTTGGGAATTATTTTTTGATTCTTCTCTTATAATATTAGCTAATCTAAAACATTTCTTATTATATTCTACACACTTGACTAGAGACTCATTTTATTTCATTTATAACTATATATATATATTTATATATTTACCATTTGTTACTCCATATAACTAAGTATTGCATATGATATATATACATAAATACGTATATATTTTATTCCCTTTTTTTTAAAAGTAAACTATACCATAATATAATTGGAACTAACAATAAAGCACACCAAACAAAATGGATGAGAAAAACATCCCAAACAAACCAACACAAAGCTCATCAACCAAAAAGTCCAAGACACATACCTAAGCTTGGGCAGAAATTGCCTAAGAATCTTGGGTTTGATGGAAGGCTCACGGCCTGAGCTCAAAGTCCCAAAACCAAGGGGTCTGCTTCAAGGCCTGTTCTCTAGGTCCAGCTGAGGTCAATGGGCTTGTCTCAAGACTTCAACAAATCAAGCTTCGGAAGAGTGTAATGGGATTTCACAAGCTTGGCTCACTTTCAAACTCCAAATGCACCATTTAGTGCAGCAAAACAAAGTCCCCCAACGCAACGCCCTTTGACTCTCCTATTCCCCCTTAAACGGCGTCGTTTCTACATGGCCTAACCTAAAACCCTTTCTTCTTTCTTTCTCCCTTCTCCTCTCCACACCAAAACCTCTACCCTTAAGCTACCGCTGCTCCACCACTCAAACACTGATCTTCTCTCCTTTTCTCACCCTTCTGAACTCCTCTTTTCTTCCAAAATCACAGAAGCCCTAAATAAAACCCTTCTCTCCAGAATTTTTTTGATTTTCTTTCTCTCTTTTTTGGATTTTTTTTTTGAAGATCCTTGGTATAATACCGCCTGCTAGAAACTAGGGACTTTTTTTTTTCTTGGTTTTTTTTATTTTTGGATTTCTAGAACTAAAAGAAATGTTTTTTTCTTCCCCACTTTCACCGTGCTTCTCTCCCGGGTTTTATAGCCGTGGGAAGAGAAGCGTCTTTTCCAGGCATCTCTATTGGCAGACAAAAGCCTCGCCTGCCGCCTTTGGCAGTGTGTGATTTGGACTTTTCAGCTTCCTCAGCTTTGAGATTACGTGTTTCTGTTAAATTTCTATTTCCAATTTGCCCACCGCCACTTTCTTTTCTTTCTTTTTATTATTATTTATTTATTTATTTGGAATTCCTGCCTCTTAAAAAAATAGGTGTCTACACTCCAACATGGGTCCACCTATGCTGACAGTGGCCATGGTTCCCGATCCCTTTAGCATTTGAGGAGTCTTTACAGATCCTGTTTTGGCGCCTCCGAAGATTTTTAATGATGCTGCCGCTATGAGATTTGTAATTCATATTTAATATGAAGATTTTTTTTATTTTGTAAAAAGTAAATATTATTATGCACGACCTTTTAATTCCTTAAAATTGTATTTTTAAGATGCAGGACAGGGCACTTGTCCGTACAATAGAGATGGGGCACCAACGGAGTCACCAAATGGAGCAAGAGATTTTCATTCAAAAATAATATAGTAGAATAGTAAAGCATGTATATATTAAATCCACCTTGTCCGAATGCATATTGTTCATCATCAAATTGTCTTCTTGGCAAAATCCTGAACATTATTCATACGTAATTAAGAATCACTAAATTAAGATCTTCGTTAAACTTTAATTTATTAAGCTTTTAGTTGCTTGTGTTTTATTTGAAGAAGTTAAGTTTGCATAGAGGTAGAGGTAGTGTAGCTTTTTCCAGGAAAAACAATGTCTAGTAGCGCAGTAGAGTTGCAGATAAGAGTTCATTCCAAGTATCTGGTACCCCAGGGAGACACCAATGGGTGCAGTCAACGGCGCCTTTGCTGCTACCGTAGGATGAAGGATGTCCATCTTTTCTTAGTTGTGACAGTGCAGTTACGTTAAGCAAACGAACTGATTTGGATATTGTGCCCAATACTTTGTCCAGAATAGCTTCTCCTCGATGTCGACCTCCTGGATAGTTATGCCCCGCCACGGGTCTTGTTTGTCTTTTGCAGTTCTTTGCGTTGGTATCTGCCCAGTCTCTTGAACTACAGTAGTATTTGAAACAAAACGAAAATTGTAAGGTATATACATAATGGAGAGAGCATGACGGCATTTGTTTTAAGGAAAATCATGGTTAGGTAATGCTTTAGACGTCATCAACAGCTATGCTTACTTTGTATGATCTGGGGAAACACCCTGGAACTGGAACAAAATATTGGTTTTCTTGGGATCCACGTTGGAGTTCACCCACTTGGCCCATGTAGTCAGGGCTTTTTCAAAAGCCGCCAATCGGTCAATGTCTTTGTGCCTGGCGTTGCCTTCTTCGATGACATCCCATCTGACGCAGTGCAGTTGCAGCACCAAAAATTGCCAAACCATCAAGTAATTAATCAAATTAATGTTAGGAAATCTAATTAATTTTCAAATATTTATATGCATGTATGGAAGGCTTACGATTGCTTCTTTCCAGTTTGAAGCCCCTCGTTCCAAGTGTTGAAGACCAACACATCAACATCCTTCCAAAGTTGTCCTCCATTCCCAATTGAATCAAGCTTTAGGATTCTTTCATTTTTGTCGTCTACAATGTCAACAAGAAAATCATTGCGCGAAAACATCACCGAGACATTGTGTGCCTACAAATTAATTGCGAACAAGAGAAGCAAATTAAGAACATAAATACAAAGTTATCAACTAATTAAGCTAAGCAATTGAAGTACAATTCCTTTACCTGGAAGGTAAGTGTAGAAAGGCCTCCTTTGGTCTCGAGAAGATATCTTGCTTTTGGAACCGCCGAATGGAGCATGCATACGAGCGAAAGCCATTGATTGTATCCAACTGAGTCTCCAACAAACATAATTCGTTTCCCTTCGAATCTTTGTAATAACCTTTTACCATTGAACCTGTAATACAAATTTAACAGTCTCTATTATGGTTCATCATGCATCAAAAGAAAAAAAAATCGAAGTACTCGAAGTACGTACGGTGGTAAGGTGCATGAATATGGCTTCCATCTATATTTGATATAGTCTTGATCAGGACGACCATTGCTTTGGCAGTCGAATTGGTTGGGTATGAATGGACAAGTACGGGGAGAGTAAAGAGGGTGGGGATCAGCATGATCATATTCCCATCTGCCATGGAAAATATCACACTCAACCTCCAGTTTTTTGTGTCCGCCCATATGATTGAGATAATGACCCAATCGTAACAAACCAGCGGTAGTGGCAGTTCCTACCAGAAACATAATCACCGTGAACGCCATACTTGCGTCTTCTTAATTTGGAATACAAATTGATAAAATCAATATTAGTATATATATAACTTTTGTTTTTGCAGTTTTTATTCCATTTTAAATATTCAGTTTCTTCTTTTATGAGTTACTTAAATAACAGTTATTTTTTTAATTAATCGATCAAATAAATACATTGATATTTTGTACAATTGTATCGGTAAATTTCCTTTTTTTTCTTTCTTTATTTCTTGTTAGAACCCTTTTTAATATTTTTAAGCTCACGCGATGCCTTTATTTTTAGTTATTATTTAGACTTGGATTTCTTTTATTGAAGATCATTTAGCTTTGATGCTTACAATTTCTATATATACAAAGCTTATTGTAACAGTTGAAAATTGAACATTCTTTTACACATGAAAAGGAAATTGTTTTTTATTACTGTGTTTGAATTTAGCAGTTTTAATACTAATTAGGAGATAAGAGTTGAATTGACTTGTTGGAGGAGGTTTATAGTATTGAATTGCATCCCAAAATTGGTTTTAAGGTTTAGCATAGTTTCAGACGAGGCTTGCTTGTTTCTTTCCATCTCTTTTATTTTACCGTCTTCAATATTCCTCAACACTACTACTGCCAGAAGGGATGTCAATGAGCTAAGGTTAATGAATCTCTTCTGGTTGGGTCCAATTTCCTGCGTAAGCCCAAGTTTTAAGGACATGGATCCACAGTCCACTCTCGAGATGACTAGGCCCGAAAAGATACACCGAAGCCATTGAATGAAGAGAAATATGGGCCGAGGCTCACTACTTTCCTCCACAAAAAGTAGAAAAGCTAACCAGTTGAACCTTCTTCCAAACTAATTAGTTCATCCATTTTATCACTTTTATAGAATATTTTTGCATAATATATGATAAAAGGTTAAAATGATTTGTATGCCGAAGTCCATATGAACATGTACCAAGTTGAAGAGATCGAACCTTAATTGTGGTCGACCACAAATTTGTATTAACATTTTCTTTTGACTTTTTGAGGTTAGATTATCATCAAGCACACTATATATTTTTTCTTTAACCAACGTGACATATTAAACTTGGCGCAGTGGATCAGGGGTGTGTCGGCTGAGTACTTGATGGCTCCCCGCGAGAGTTCGAATCTCTGAGGCATTTTCCTTTCCGATCCAATCTGAGGCATTTTCCTTTCCGATCCAATCTCTCTAATTTTAATTATACCGTCCATGGTCGGGTAAACGGTAATCAATCACTCAGACTCTGTCAAGTTTAGTGAGTCTGAAACCGAAAGAATGCCTTTTGGGTAAATTTCATTCAAAGAAGAGAGTGGTATTTCTTAGGGTTTTATGATTTTGTTTTTTTTTTTCTCTTAATGTCAGATATATATTTACCGGGCGATCAGAATTAAGGTTCGATCTCTTTTCGCTCTATATTTTTGTATTATTTTTCTATTTTTTTATTTGGGATTTAGTGCGTTGCGTATTTCAGCTTTTGCTCTTCGTTGCTCTGTTTGTTGAAGTTGAGAGTTGAAATTTCTCTATCAATCTGCCAAAAGAAAAATTAAAAATAGTTGTTTGTTTGAAGGAGAAGAAAGAGTGGGAAAATTCCCGCATTGATTGTTTGAAAGTTGAAAGGAAAAGAATTGGGTGTTTTTAGAATTGAAGTCTGAATTTAAAATTTTGGTTCCAGTATTATGACTTTGATTATATCCTTTTGCTTCACCATGCCAGGCTTTCTCGTTCTCATACTTGAACCTTTCTTCATTCCAAGTAATTTATTGATTCTCACCATCCCTCATCAACTGGAGCTTTACCTTTCGGCTTTCGAAAGTAGCAACAAATGGATAACTTTGACCAGAAGCTTGGTCCAGGTACCCTCTCTCTTTTTGCAACCAAATCACTCCTTCGCCTTTCTTCCCTTTATGTTGTTCATAATTCTGATTCTCTTCCCACTTGTTTTCGCAGAGTATTCTTTTCATTGCCTCCATTTATTTTCCCGTGTTTTTTTGAAAAACGTTTCTCATCTTCCTTTTTCTCAACTGCAGATTTTTTGAAGAATCTCTCTGGGGAAACCATTTCCCCGTTAAGCGTCGTCATTCATGAAGACATATATGAAAGCTCCTCAAAGAGACCAAAAACAACATCTAAGGTCTGGGATGTTTTTGAGAAGCTTCCAGCACAGCAAGGGGATTCCAAGGCTATATGTAAGTTGTGCAGGAGAATATATACTGCTAAAACCACTAGTGGTACCTCTCACCTGAGACGTCATATAGAGGCGTGCCTTAAACGTGGTAATCATGACCTTGATCAGCGTTCAACGGAAGCATGCTTTAAACCTGTTAACCGCGATGCAAATCGCCACACTGTTTCGCATGGCACCTTGATTGATGCTGCTACACCCTTAAAGAGCTATAAATTAGATGTGGATGAGATTCGTCATGCGATTGCAATGATGATCATTGTTGATGCACAACCACTTAGAGTGGTTGAAGATACAGGTTTTAGACATGTATTGAATGTTGCATGTCCTGAATTTCCACTTCTGAGTAGGAAGGCTATTAAAAGGGACATAATTTCCATTTATTTGAAGGAGAGAGAGAATATTCGTGAGTTGCTAGGAGCGTGTCCTGGTCGGATTTGTTTGACATCCAGTACTTGGGAATCGAATTATGATGATCGTTATAATTGTGTCACTGCACACTTCATTGACCATGAATGGAGGTTGCAGAAGAGGATTTTAAGGTTCAAACTTATACCCCCTCCATATGATAGGTTGTCCATTGCAGATGAGATAGCTTCGTGTATGGTTCAGTGGAACATTGAACACAAGGTGTTCAGTGTCACGCTGGAGAACTTGTCGAGTGATGATTGTGTGCCTGACATGCTTAAATCACGTCTTGATGCAAAAAAGTACCTCCCTTTTAAGGGTGCATTTTTTAATATGAGTTGTTCTACTCGCATTTTGAATTTGATTGTGCAAGCTGGTTTCAACCTAATTATTGATATCATTGGAAAACTGAGACTTGGTATTAAGTATGTGCAGCAATCCCCCCATAGGAAGAAGAACTTTTACATAATTGCTAAGACTTTGAATTTGGATACTCAAAAAAAGTTGTGTCTTGATTCTCCTAGTAGGTGGAATTCCACCTATAACATGATAGAAGTTGCTTTGTGTTATAAGAATGCATTTCTGTACTTGGCAGAACAGGACAAAAACTTTATACACAAATTATCTGAAGATGAGTGGGAAAAAGTAAGTGTGTCATACAAATTTCTGAAAGTCATTTTTGAGGTGGCATGTATATTTTTTAGAAACATACAGCCAACGTCAAATTTGTATTTCAAAGCACTGTGGAAAGTTCATAGTCGCTTATCAGATATGGTTAGAGGCCCAGAAAATTTTATGACTTGCATGGTCAAGGAAATGCAGTCGAAATTTAACCAATACTGGTCAGAGTATAACTTGATCTTGTCATGTGCTGCTATTTTGGATCCAAGGTATAAGATTAAGTTTGTTGAATATTGTTACACCAAACTGTATGGTAGTGGTGCACAGCAATATGTTAGTGCAAGTGTTAACACTTTGTATGGCTTGTTTCACGAATACATGCAAAATTCTGCCTGTCCTTCTCCTACTGCTACCTTATCAGTTCTTACCACTAAAATCTCCAATGATAAAGAGGATAACGACGGGTTTGAAGATTATGAAACCTTTCAAAGTGCCAGATTTCAAACTCAAGTGGAGAAGTCTCAACTGGATCTTTATTTAGAAGAACCAAGCCATGATCTAAACAGTGAAATTGATGTCTTAGAGTATTGGACTTTATGCTCCCTGAGGTATCCAGAGCTTTCAAGAATGGCTCGTGATGTTTTAACCATTCCTGTGTCTACTATTGCTTCTGACAATGTATTTGACATTGGTCCTCAAGTGATTAGCACTGATTGTAGTTCTCTGAAATCAAAGATGATACAAGCATTGGTTTGTCTTCAAGATTGGATGTTGGCTTCTGATAAAACAAGTAAGTTGGCTTTTTTGAGTGCATATAGTACTTGCTATTATCCTATGCGTAACTGTTTTGTTCATAATCTCTTTAGGAGGTTCAGGCTCTATGGAAAGCAGAACTGAAGATGATAGCTCCAGTTCTAGTGATGGTGATGATGATTATTAGGTACATTTGTTTAAATCATATACCAATTGCCATTGTTTTCTTCTTTTTTTTAAGTACTGTTTTTACGTTTTATTGATTCTCTAAAAGTCATAACATATAAGCCTCCCTCAGGTTTAAAAATTCTTCACTATTCTTTTGCCTATTGAGGGGGAAAAGAAAGCTCATGAGTCTTTTGTTGGGTTAATACCTTGTGATAGTGGGTGCATTTTTGTTGTGGAATGATTAGGTTATATTGGTTCTGATGGCTAGATAAATCTTCTTTCCTTATAAGTTCTGCAGGGAGTATTAGGACATTCAGTTACCCTTTGAACTTTTTCAAAATGTAAAATGCTTTTCCTTTTTATTGTTCTGGTTGTTTTGGCCCAGCTCTGTTGTGGGATTTGGGGGTGGTGGGACTTGTCAATGAAATCTGACCTGAGGCAATACAGGTCAGTTAGGCATGGGGATATAAATGACTTGGAATGTATTATGTGGCTGCAAGCCTAGACTTATTTCCCTCTGGTTTTTGAGACATTTATGGGGTTTTATTGTGTTTTGTAGTTGTCACCTAGTAAGGACTAAGTTAAGCATCCCTTGATGAAATTGGTGGCCAATCAGGTTGTAGATTAGTGGTTCTTATGCTTTGATGATAAATTCGCTCAAGTTTAGAATGGTAAAACAACTGAAGAATCCTATTAAGGTGCATTATATGGAACATGAACTTTGCATGGCCTTGGCTAACCCTGAATTAATAGCATTAATAACATTTAGCAGGTGATGTTGCCACCTGCCTTCTAGTATTATTTGTTGTACAATTTTTTATTTTTTGTGTATAATTGGTTTTCCAATATTGTGACCTATTTGTTTTCACTATTTGCAACTTTGCATGCACAGAGCTGAGCTGTTTAAGTAGCATGAACCTACTAAGAGTAGTAGGATTTGATTAGTTGGCCCTTAGTGGTAGCCATCAAATGCTATATTATCTTAGCCAAACTACCAAAAATAAAAAATACCTTGTGGTTAGGCACAAAATGAAGTTTGCCTTTGTGGTTGAAAAACTAACAGTTAACCACCCCAAGCTTTATTCCATTAGAAACTTGTTTAACGCTGTTATGTTTTTGCACAATTTTTCTAGTCTTTTTTTAAACAGAAAATGGATTTTTATTGAAAAATAATATTTTAAACAGAAAATGGATTGTATTGAGAAAATAATAAAGTCAAACAACCTGGTGCTTGACCTAAATTGAGCTTGAAAGCTTAAACATTTAACCAAACCATGAAGTTCAAAAATGCCCAAAGCCATTATTACCAGATAACTAGATCAGATTTTGAAAGTGATTCATATTTGTAGGTTATGAATTTTGTGGGTTTGGGCTTTGGGGATAATGACTTGGAGAATCTTGGGTTCAAATAAGAAATGAAATATGTGTTAAACTTTGTTCAAACCAATCCTTTTTAGTTCCATTTATGCAAAATTAGTTGCGGAACAATATATGAAGTAAAAACCACAAAAGGAGGATCTGAAGGCAATTTTCACCAACCATGAAATTGGGTCTGAGTATCGGAAAGAAAAGACTAACTTTTCTTTTATGGATAAAAGAAAAGGAGGATATTAGTGATGGGAGAGTGTACTCATTTAACTTGGTCTTTTCTTCCCTCTTTGGATGGCCACTTTTATGCAACTTAAGGTTAACTTCCATAGCATGCTTGAATTTATATAGATCAGTACTGTATTTGACCTAGAATTCACATGTAGCGTGTTCAATTGCATACAAGTATGCAGAGTTTTTTAACTTACTTCTACCTCTTCCAGCTTATCAAAAACGTTGCAGAAGAGTTTCAGGAAATTTGAGAACTAATTAATGATGAGATTTAATAGATCTGGATAGGACTCTGAGTTACAAACAAATGATGGCAGATCAGTCATGTACAGCACAGGAATTGAAGGCAATGGAACAGTGGGCTCTTCCAAAGGGACCCTTACATTTCCAAAATTCAAATGAAAATATATGGCATTAACTGCCCAAGATTGAGTGAGGAATGCAGCTCCCGCCATGCCTGATTTTGTACCTACATCTAAAGCCCGTGACTAACTAATCATACGGGACGAGGGCAGAAGAATTCAGTATCAGTTTCTGAATGAGCTTGGCTAGCCTTGGAGAAACAAGTGTTGGTGACTGAGGTGAAGATATTGATCCACGCTAATATTTACCCTTTCATCTCCTTTAAATGATTTGGGCTTTGTGTTGAAGGAGCTTGCTGAGGCTTGCATGGAGTTGGTGGTTGTGATTAGGCTCCGCCCTGGGGCCTTTTTGAGGCTGAGTGCTTGTATCGGAAAAGGAAATATACCAGCGCACGAGTTTTCACCAACTCTTTGCATCATCCAATTTCCCACCAACACTCTCCCATTCTGCACATGACTTAATTTCTAGCATTTCAAATTCATGAATGAAGAAAAGGGAAAATGATGATGCCAAAGCCATTGAAGGTTTGTAATTTTTGTGCATGATTCCTATTACTTCACTCTGATTATTCAGATTCAAACAATGGAATTAAATTCCATGGATTTATGTATATATCCAATATTCATAGGTATGGATACACATTTTCAATTTTTTTTATTCACATCCCAAAATATTCATATATATATATATATATATATATGCATTTACAAATAAATCGATTTTTCATATTAAAAATCAAACGTTGCAAAATTTGAGGATATTTATGTGAAAATGTCACAGATATTTCCATAGATATCTGTGAAAGTTATATTTCCACAGACATAATATAAAATGCTAATTATTAGAGTTAAATTTCGACACTATGAAAATTGACCTTTATACATTACTCTGTAGTCCATAACATGTGATATTAATTATTATTATTATATGATTGAATATCTCCTACCAATATTTTTTACATCCATTCAGGATGGGAGAATGTAACACAGAGAAATAAAATAGTTTTGAATAAAATTTTATTTTGAAGTCAGAACATCATTGTTAAATTATATAAAAAAAAATATCACAACAATTAATTTCATTTCATAGTACAGTTCCTGCTTAGCTTCTTACCTCCCTAAAGCTAAATATGTCCCCTCTTTTTATTATATTGGGTTTATTTTTACTTCATCCAGCCCTATAATTCTTCTTGCAGGCTAGACAAATGTCTTTGCTAATGCTACGAATCACAAGCAGTGCTGCTATTAACACCATGAGATAATATAATGCTAGTTGCACAGAAGTTTTGCCACAAATTCCTCTATATTCTTGTCAGAGCTTCCACCTTCATCAACTGCTTCTTTGGCTAAATTCTTCCACTTCTCTGAATTCTTTCTGATTTCCAGGCTTCTCTCTCCTTCCATAATTTCCCTTATACACCGTTCTACCTCCTCCTTTGTGACGACCCCTTTTTCATCCTTGCTCACTCTGATTCCCCCTTGCCATACATCAGCAACAAATTTTGCATTAGTTGGTTGATCTGTCCACTGCGGCATTGCAATCATAGGCACCCCTAAGCTCAATGCCTCAAGCGTTGAGTTCCAGCCGCAGTGAGTCACAAAGCAACCCACTGCCCTGTGAGCTAGAACATCTAATTGAGGACACCACGAAACTACCAGCCCTCTCTCTGATGTTTCTTCTATGAAGTTGCTAGGAAGCTTATTCTGTTCGGCTTCTCTAACTACCCACAAGAAGTATCTGTCGCTCCTTTTCAGCCCCAAGGATAGTTCCAGCATTTGCTCCTCTGTCAAACCAGCTAAGCTTCCGAATGACACATAGACAACTGAGTCAGTTTCTTTTGAGTCCAACCACTTAATGCAAAGGTCACTGTCGGGTTTGAAGAGGTGCAGGCCATAATCATTGTCATCCTTTAATCGTTTATCTAGGTACATGGAGGGAATTGTGGGCCCCACAGTCTTGATTGGCCACTTGCTAGCCATCCAGTTGATTACCTGTAAGAAATCAGCAAAATTTTGCATCCAAGACTGAGAGAAACACTTTGGCATATATTGCAATGAATGCTCAAAGATATGGATAAACTAGTTTTAACACTCACGTACGTAGGTTCTTCCTAGTATGAATCCGGAAACTCAGGATGAACTTGTAAGATGCTCAAAGTATAAACAAGAAGCCAGTATAAATACGGGATGGATGTGTTTGCATATCATGAACAAGAGATGTTTGGTTGTATGCCCTGAACTGGCAGCAAACCGACTACCACCATTAAAATGAAATACCAAAAACGACAGATTCTTTGAAAGGTACCATGAAATTCCTTGATGCAAATGACACGAGGACCGTAGGAGGGTGTTTGAGTGCCTGACACCTTGGAACCCGTTAAAGATGTGTTCAGTTTTAACATTCTTGCCTAGGCGAGCAAGAAATTGTTTGTGGCAAGTGGCATTGACAAATATGACCTTAGACTTTTTGGAGGCTCAGGATTTGCAGAATTCTTGCATTGGATTTTTGGTTTCCATGCCCTTAACTAAATTCGTCCCTTCTCCAAAATATAAGTGGCAACATGGTGAGTGATATTATAACCTAAGAAACCAAACAAGATGATGTCCATAGCAACTCAGGGGTAAGATTCTGTGCGTGGACAAGGAGAATTAAAGTCAAGCATAAATATTTGCAGAATATTTCAACCTTAATCGGTACGCGAAATATACTTTTTAAGTGTTATCCACAGCTAGAGTTAAAGTTTGTAAATGGGTTTTCCGATGGAAAAGTCTCAATTCTAAGCATAATAAGAATCTACCAAATATTCTAATCATAGACCTTTCCTTAGGCTAAGAAGAGAAAATGATCGAAAAACATAACTGCCACGAAAAAAGGCAACAAAGCAGAGATCTGTAGATGAAAGAACACCTAACCAGCCGAGATCCTACGATAAAGTAAGTCGACCATCTACACTGCATACCAATAACAAGCCAGAAAAAACTCAACAAGTTAACCCAATTCTCGAAATTTACCTCGTGCTCGAGCTCTTTGAAAGTGTTGCAGAAAAGCCAATCGGCTTCCTGAAAATTGGAGAACCGATCAATAACCATCTTCAGCAAACCTGGGTAAGACCCAGTATCAGAAACAAACGATGGAAGATCATTGATCCCCAACACCGGCATCGAAGGCAATGAAACAACAGCATTCTCTTCCAAAGGAACCTTTAAAGTTCCTTGATTTAAATGATAATAAATGGAACTATTGGACCAAGATTGGGTGAAAAACGATGCTCCATGAAGACCAAATTGTTTAGCCACATCTAAAGCCCATGGCAAAAACGAATCGTATACTAGGGCTTTAGGAGGATCAGAAGAGGAGGAATTTAGGTGGTCAATCAGATTGGCTAGTCTTTCTGAAACAAGGGTCTTGTAAAGATGAGCGAATTCCTCTGCTCCATTTGCTTTTTCACCTTCGGGAAATTCAATGGTCTGGATGCTGATGGAGGTTGATGGGGATTGCATGGGCTTGGTGGTGATGAAGGTCACTTTGAGACCTTTCGAAGCTAAGCGTTTGGCGAATTGGAGCATTGGGTTTATGTGACCTTGCACTGGAAATGGAAATACCAGCACATCAGTTTCATCTTCACTGCTTCCCTCTTTCCTTTCCATTTTTCTTTTGTTTGTTCTTTGTTGTTTCTACAATTCTCTGTTTCTCTCCAAACTGTCTGAGAAGTGTCAACAATCATCGTTCATAAAGGCCAGTGGCTTGTCTCCTTGAAAAGTCATCTACAGTTTGGATAAGAGGAGAGGAAGCCAATTTTTATTTCATTTGTTATGCCCCCTGTTCTCATTACTGTTCCGATCTATTTGTTTTCAAAAACACCTTTTTGTGGTCACTTTTTTTTTTAAAAAAGAAATTGATATTGTTTATTTTAAATAGATATAATAGTTAAAATCAGTCTTAAATTATTGAAAAAAATTTAAATAAATTTTTATCTTTTATTAGATTTAATTTATTTTAAATTAAATAAAATTTTATAATTAATAATTTAATTAAAATATTATTTATCATTTTATGTTACGTATAATTAACGTGACATATTAATATGTTATAATAAATAATAATATAACATATTGATGTAATATAATCATAAAGTATTTTTGTTTTGCATATTAGCTCTGAGTAAATATAAAATAACGAGAAGTATTTTAATTAATTACAATTAGTTCATTATTAGTTAAAAATATTTATTTAATTTAAAAATATAAAAATTTAATTAAATATAATAAAAATAAAGATTTATTTAAATATTTTTGAAAAATTCATAAATTTTTTCAAGCATCATATTTTTTAAATATTTAATTAAATTGTAACAAATATATATTAAAAATTAATTTATTCAAAAGTTGTAAAAAAGTTTATTTTTTTAAGTTTTAATTAATAATGATTCATAAAAAAAATCAAACTTTGAAAATTTGATTGAAAAAAATTCAAATTAAACAAATAATTATTGAACAGAAGGAACACATAATAAAATAAAAAGGATATGGATAATAAATAAATGTATCAAAATTAATCATAATCGGTACTTTAAACACCAAAATCACTAGTTAGTCCGAAGTTGTCTAATCTAAAAAATAACCCGAATAAAGTCAAATGAAAAATATGTTTTGTGTTCCATTTCTTTTTTTTCCCTTTTTTTGTTTGTTTACACTTTTATCATCCAAAGCTACAGTGTTTGGTGGCTCAAGCACATGGTCACATCCACATGGAATATATACACTATCTAAGTTGCATTGTGGGTGGACTTCAATTCACCTGTCATTATGTGATGTATGTGTGATGCAGCCAAATGGAAAAGGGGAAGATAAAATTTCTGGGGAAGGGAAGGGTCATGGGGTTTAGTCCAGTGCCTCATCACGTCCTCCCCATTAGTCAGGGTTCAATCCACGTCTGCTACGTTTCTCCTTAAAAAGACAAAATACATACAACAACAAATGGAAAACAGAGAAGAAAAAGAACTATCATGTGATGCCAACCGACCAAACTTTCAAGTTTCGAAAACGCATCTTCAATCTATGGTTCTAATTTCTATGCAAAAGTTAAGTTATATATTAACAAACAAAGGCCATTCTAGTAATTTTAATTCCCAATGGTAAAAAACAAGGGAAAAGGAAGTGTAGGAGCTAACCAACCTCATCTTCCAGCTTATCGTAAGTGTTGCAGAAGACCCAATTTGCTTCCTCAAAATTTGAGAACTGCTTTTTGACGAGCTTGCATAGACCCGGATATGACCCTGAATCATCACAAACAAACGATGGCAAATCACTGAGCCTTAGTTCTGGCATTGATGGCAATGAAACTACAGGCTCCTCCGGAGGCGCCCTGAATGTTCCCTGCTTCCATTGATAAAAGATGGCATTCACTGCCCAAGATTGAGTAAAGAATGAAGCTCCCTGCAGGCCAAATTTTTTGGCCACATCCAACGCCCACGGCATGCAAGAGTCGTACACTAGGACTTTAGCAGGATGTTGAGAGCAAGTTTGATTCTCAATGAACTTGGCTAGCCTTTTTGAGATCAGTCTTTCATAAAGTTCAAGATAATCATCCACGTTAGTTGTTCTTTCACCTTCTTCAAATTCAATAGACTCGAAGTTGACGGAGGAGGCTGAGGGTTGCATGGACTTGGAGGTGGTGATTAGGGTGACCCTCAAGCTTTTTGAGGCTAAGCGTTTAGAGAATTGAAGCATTGGGTTTATGTGACCCTGAACAGGGAAAGGTAATACCAGGACATGAGTTTCTCCAAGTCTCGACTGCCTCGCCATTATCATCCAACTTTCTTACCTAGGCAACTCTTGCGCTCTCTTGCTTTAAATGGAAGAAAAGCTGTCGTGACATTTTCAACAACACAATATCTATAAGAAAAAATCAAAAGAAAAGAGTTTATAAATAAGAAACTTTTGTCTTATTAAATTGGCCTAATGTGGGTGTGATGCCAAATTGGTTTATGGCTACAACTTTTCATGTTAGTTTGGCCTTGTAAGTAATTAATTTTTAATTAAATAATGTATGATTAATATATTATTTAATAATGGCAATAATAATTTATTATTTTAATTTTAAGTTTAATTTTTGAATTAAATGGTAAGTTAACTACTCTAAAAGTTCCAACCATGTGTATGTAGAAATTGAAACATTCAAATAGTTATGTGTGTATATATATATATATATATAGTGATTTTTAAATGGAACTCTTCTAATTTCTGATAAAGGATAATAACAATTCTTACACAATCTCCGCTATTGTTTTCAAATTTTTCTCAAATTTCTTGTATAATATTACTGAAACAAAAATTTTATAAGAGTTTAATAATGTTATCATACATTAGGGAAATACTAAGTGAATTGATTTTATAATGTAAGCCATAATTATAGTCATTGAGTTTTATTACATTTTTTAGATTTATCATTTTACACATTAATTAAATAATTGGTAGAAACGAAGGAAACTCAGAAAAAAAAACATAAATTGATTCACGGCTTGAAACAATTTCTTAATACACTTTGATTTTTTAATCTTCTGTTCTACCAAAAGCAAAACCAAGTGGATATACATAATGCCATAAAGGAAAAAAAAACATTACTGCATAATTAAAAGGCATAAAAAACTTAAAAAGACCCTAAGCTATTTAAAAAATAAAAAAATTATTAATTATTTTATTACATTTTGTCAAACTCTTATATTTTTATTTTAGATCAAATATACTCTTATTTATCAATCAAAACATCACTTGTTATTTTATATCACATTGTACTAATGTGGTATGTTAACATGTTATAGTAGCTAACGACGTGACATACTAATATGATATGATAACTTGATTATATGACATTTTTCATTCTCCACATTAACACCACATTAGCACCACATGAGTATTAAATGATGACTATTATTTTGACTAATGGTTATTAATCAACTATTAATCCTAAGGTTTTATTTAACTTAAAATAAAAGTATCAAGGTTTGATTAGATATAATTGAAGAATAAGGGTTTATTTGAATTTTTTTAAATAGTTAAAGAGCTTTTTAGAGCATTATGCCCAATTAAAAGTTAAAGTTCCTAATTTATACAGTGAACTATACTCTTTTATTTTATCAAGAAGAAATTATGAAGAATAACCCTTCTAATAAGACGATTTCAAAAATAACCATCAAAATAAATTTAACTGTTTTGAGCTAAAGTTAATCATGAGGAAACAAAAATGCTCTTAAAACTATTTCAAACAAATTAAATACTCTCAATTTTTCTCTCTCACCATTCATCTGCTGCACTCTCCGTTCTGTTGTGCTCTATATTTTCCTTTCTCTTCATCCAGCGCTCAAAAATTTTACCACCATCACCATTTCTCTCTATTTTTCGTCATCTTGCCAAATTGTCGTTGATCTACAGAGCAAAGAATATAACATGAAAAATAATAACATATTCTTAGATTTATTAATTTATATTCACAAAACCCTTTGTCGTCGATCTACAAACTAAAAAACATGGTATAGTGAGTAACAACAGGTTCTTAGATTTATTGGTGTTGAGTTTTTTAGTGATTTAAGTCTGGTAGAACATATCTTAGCATGTAACAAAGTGATTTATGTATTGACGTGTAACATTAGTAGGAAAAAGGAAGCTTTAGCGTGTAACATTTAGTTTTAATGCTCTGATCTTAGCATGTAACATCTGGTATTGAAGCTTTGACCTTGGCATGCAACATTTTTTGCTTTGGTTTTGGTGCTTTGGGTGAAACATCTGGTGCTAAAACTTTAGCCTTGGCATGTAACATCTGGTACTAAAGCCTTAACCTTGGCATGGCATGTAACATCTGATGCTAGAACTTTGACCTTGGCATGTAACAACTACTATTGAAGTTTTAGTGTATAACATCTTTTAATTTGACTTTGGCGTGTAACATTTAATGATGAAGCTTTAGCTTTAACATGTAATATCTAGTGTTGAAGCTTTAACCTTGACGTGTAACACTTGCTGCTGAAGTTTTGATGTGCAACATTTTTTGCTTAAGTGTGTAATATATGCTTAGGCTTGCAATGTCGTTTGGTTTTTCTTTTCTGTTATTAAATATGGCATATAACTAGCTCTTTTGTTTTTCACTACAACATAAACTCTTAGAATTAAAACATGTAACAACTTTTTTTCAACTGTAATATATTTTTTTAAACATAACATGTTAAGCATAGCGTGTAACTTATTCTCTTTGTATTTCACCGGGACATAAACTCTTAAAGTTAAACATTTTCACGATGAAGATAAAAGTTTAAAATGAAAAAAAGAATTTGATATGAAAAATGAATATCTACTGAAAAATTATTTAACATCACTGGAATGAAATGGATTTCGACAAAAGGATATTATCTAAAATTCTCTAATTTAGATAATTAGGTTTTTAGTTATTTTATATTTTTTTTAGTAAAGAAAATTAAAATATACTAGTATTATAAAGAAAAGAGAGATAAATTGAATCCATAAAAGCAAAATTGAAAATCAATTGATTGGAACTTAATTTTGTTAATGTTAATACACTTTTCAAGCGTTCTTACAAACAAAGTACAACTTGCCCATGACATGGAGAATGGTAACAAAAGCAATGAAACCAATGATCATGACAAGCATGACATTTGGGGAGATCTTAAACCCTGGTCCATCATCTGTGTAAAACTGAAGCGTAGTTCTAACAATCCCTCTGGAGGTCGCATCTCTTGTCGTTTTTCTCTTCCTCATGCTTGCAGTTGCAGCTGCAGTTCCTCTTGGTGGAGTTATTCTAGTTGCCATTTTTGAATCAACTCAAATTTCAAGTTGTATAATTTGAATATAGGGAGATTTTATTAAAGGTAATTTTATTAAAAAATCTTTTCTCTTAACAACAATAGTTAAAATTAAAAAGATAGTCATTTTTTAAAATAGCTTATTTTTAGGGGGAAAAAATCGTCCCTTTTGTTATTCTATAAATGAAAATTAAATGCAAAAATTTTTCTTAACAACACCTGGTCTGGGACATGAATGAGTTTTAGAAATTTTGGGAGATATTCAATATTTCTTGAGCAACTTTGAAAGTAACGATGGGAAAGAGAGAAAAGGTTTTAGGGAAAGAGAAATAATGCTCAAGCTTGAGAGGAGGAAGAGGTTGAGTAAACAATGAGAGAAAAGGGAAAATAAGAGGGAAAAGAGGAATGGTGGAAGGTAAGGGATAGGAAGAATAGAAAAAAGAGAGGGACTATATGAGGTGGGGAGAGAAAGATGAAGAAAGAAAGGAAAAAGAGTAAGGGAAAAATGAAAAAGATGTTACGGATCTCATATCAGTAAGAAATGAGGTAGATCTTAGACATACAAACATGAGTAATCTTCCATCAATAGATAAGTCTTTTGAATTGGAAACATGGACTAGTGACAAGTGGTATTAAAACGACTCAAATTTTCACTGATGTGAAAGTCTCTCATGAGTGTTACAAGGGTCGAGGTAGACTTGAACCAATGTAAGGGTCCTTCTCCTCGATAGGTGTAGAGTCTCTTCTCTATTGATAAAGAGCCAGTGCAATTAAGGTGTTGCGCAATTAGATAAGGTGGAATGTCAGTAAGAGATGGAGTAATAGACATGTCTTTTGGATTGAAAATTTGAGTTCCTTAATTTTAAAGTATTGTATTTGAATCTAATTATGAAATTTAATACTCATATTGTATCCAAATCTTAAATATTAACAATGTCTTATTAAAATTTGATTAAAGTCCAAACTCATTTATTTAGTTAAAAATAATGTAGCTACCCACTACAAAATCCATCCCATCTCAAATTCAATAATAAAAAATAAAATTTAACCATTTTTATATATTTTATCAATAAAAATTAAATTAATGAATTCAAAGTAACTTTATATTTAAATAATTTATAAATGAAAATAAATCATTTTCCAATTATAAATAAAACATACACAAAAAATAATATAAGAATTAAAATAAATATTGAAAAATTAATTATATATCCTTTCAAAAAAAAATCATTATGTATAATTGGGTTTGGTTAATAGATACTCTAAGATTACTATCCATACTTTATCCAAATTCGTTTTTAGAGCCCTAATCCTACTTAAACGAGTCAATGTTGGGTATCCATTCACATACTATCCATTACTATCCGCATACATAATGTATGAAAAATAATTAATTTACTCATAAGTCATATTTAAAATTTTATGGATCTATATATCAGTAAACATTATATATATATATATGGAACTGTTAAAATTGAATAAAAATGATATTTACTGAATAATTTCATAGATCAATCCTTTGTCTTGGAAAGTTTACTTGTCAAAGTCAATTTTCTTTTCTTACATTGAAGACAAAATTTTGGGTGGGAGATTTTGCACTTAACGTCAATTAACTTTTAAAAGAATAGAGTGACATTAAGCTGTCACCAATGATTTAACTTTGAATTTTTTTTTGTATGCCATCAGTACAAAAACATAATATATACATATATATATCTTTTACTTTTAAAATTAAATATAAAATAATAAGAAAAAATTGGAATGAAATGTATGAAGCAGTTACAAAATTTGAATATTAGACTTTAGTTTTAAAAAAATAAAAAAGAGTGAAAAAAGTTAAGATGAAATGTAAAATATACTACAAAAAAGTTTGAAATTTTTGTTGAAAGGTAACATTAATGAGTTGGTGATTAAGATGTCACCAATGGAACGCAAACCAAATAATACTACGAAAAAGATAAAAATAATAAGACAGGAATTTGGTCAGATACACCCAATCTAGAGCCAGCGAACTGACTTTTTGGACCCACAATTCGGGAATTGAGGAGTGGAGCGTTGATATTCTCGACAGCCAGATTCTTTATTGGCATTCTTGTCGTGGCAGATAATAATACGTACAAATTCCAAACGTCAGCAGTGACGCCATGCTACTTCTCTTTCTTTAAGGAATTATCCATTATTTTCCTAAGGAAATTTATCTTATGGGTGGCTAGGGGATTTTTAAATCATTATATGGGAGTTCTTAAACACTGTAGTAATTGAAAAATTGGTACATAATTTTTTTACTTAAATAATAAATACATTTTCTCATCATATAGACTTAGAATTATGGTTATATATATATAGAATAATTAATTTTTTATTTTTTATAAATATATTTTAAAGGAACATTTGTTAAACGTTTACAACCCTTGGAGTGTTTAAAAGCTTTCCCGATGTAGGAGATAAATTTTCATGTTTAAAATTATTAAAAGAGTTTGAAGCTTACGGAATGTCTGTCCCTCATGATATAATTATTAAAATTAATAAACTAATATAATTAAAAAATTAGACACATGTCAATCTATCTATGAAATTTAAAAATTCAACTGTTTTCGTATAAAATAAAAATATGAGTTTTTAATAAATAAATGTTACTTGTTCGATATTTGATTATTTAACAAATAAATTTTATGTAGATATATTTTTCTTATGACTAATTGAACATTCAAACTAGAGGCACCTTTAACATTTCTCTTTTCTAATACACTACTAACAATGGTAAATTGTCAGTTACTGGAAAGTTCATTGACCCTAACGTGGAATGAAAATTTTAAAATAGCAAGTTGCAATTATAGAAGCAAGAAAACCCCATGCCAAGGTGAAGATTAATTCATCCAAATAAAACGTTGAGTTGATGTAAGGATAAACTTAAACAAGAGACTTAGAAAGGACAAAAATAATTAAATACTATAAAGATCAACGACATTAATATGTATCACAGTTTCTTTTAATAAGAAAATAGAATCAGCTCTACGTTCTTGTCAATTTAGAAACAAATTCATTGATGTTCTTGTCTGAACTTCCTCCTTCACTGACTGCCTCAATAGCTAATTGTTTCCATTTTTTAGCGTTTTCTTTCATTACTTTCCCTGTTTCCCCTTCCATTACTTGTCTTATGCAAGACTCAATTTCATCTCTGTTCACGATCCCATTCTCATCAACCTCAACTCTGACCCCAACCTTCCAAACATCCTCAACAAACTTGGCATCCGTGGTTTGGTCAGTCCATTGCGGCATTGCCACCATTGGGACTCCCAAGCACAAAGCCTCGATGGTTGAGTTCCACCCGCAATGCGTGAAAAAGCAACCCACGGACTTACTCGCTAGCACTTGCATTTGAGGGATCCAGTTGGCGATTACGCCCTTATCCCCCATCTCTTGTACGAACTTGTTTGGGATTTTCGCTTCCTCGGATGATCTCACCACCCAAAGAAAATAGAAATTGCTTTGCTTTATGCCCCAGGCAAGTTCCTCCATTTGTTTGACGCTTAGGTTAGCCATGCTGCCAAATGACACATAAACAACAGATCCTGGTGGCTTGGTGCTTAGCCACTCGGTGCTGCTGGAGGAGTCTAATTTGAATAGATTAAGATCATAATCCTCGTCATTCTCCACTCTTTTGTCCAAGTACATGGATGGAATCGTTGGGCCGATTGTCAACAATGGACTCACTTTCGACATGGAATCCACGGCCTGTTAATTAATCAGATGAGATGAAACAGTCAATTTTTAATACTAATCCACGGTCCAAAGGTTTTGCCGTTTGGAGCTTACCGATTCTCTTAAGATAACAAACCTGAATAATGCCAGTCGAAGAAAATCGACTGATTGCTACGTCCCTTTTTTGTTGGATAAATATCTCTTTCACTTTCGAATATTGGATTATTTATGTTCTAAATTATCAATATAGTATCACACGTGATACATATCTACGATATTTTATAATATTAATAAAAAATAATATCATGAAATATTACATCAGGATTAGACTTCTATTAAAAAAAAAACTTATATTTACCCATTTGATTCAACATGTTATATATTCATTAACTTTTAGTTAATAAATTGACATGAGAATATTTATTTTTTAAAAATTTATACTATTAAAAAACATGTTGAGGATTTAAATTAAAACAATGATATTTTTCAATTTATGCCATATAATTCTAAATACTATTAATGAATATAACATTTCAATTTTTTTTATTTTACACGTACACATATTATTTATAATTAATTTTTAAAATTTTTTACCATACTTACAATACTCGATACTCAAAATAAAATTTTAATATGCAATACATATTTAATAATTATCTATATGATATTTATAAATATAACTAAAGTTGTGTTACTTTTTTTTCTTCTAGATTTTTGGGTTGATTTCATAGACTTTATGAGAGGCTTTGTTACCACAACTATGTTGTGCAATAGAAAGTTGTGCATTTGCAGTTAAGTAATTATTTTTGCAAGGTAATTAAATCAACAAAAACGATTACACATACATTTATGCATTCGCACTTTTCAAAAGTAAAAGACATAGTACCTCATGCTCCAAGTTGTAGAAGGTATTAACAAGAACGAAATCGGCTTTGTAGGAATTAGAAAACTGACTCAACACCATCTGGAAGTAAAATGGATATGAGCCCGCCACGTAAATGAAGGACGGCATATCTCGAAGCTGAAGCAATGGCAATCCAGGGATGGAGACAGGCTCTGAAGAAACCGGCAGACTCAATAATCCATGATGAGCATAATAGTATATGTAATTGACAGCGCATGCCTGGGTAAAAAACGCTGCTCCCACTAAACCGAATTGCTTGGCTACATCCAGAGCCCACGGAAGGAAAGAATCATACATTACGCAATCAAAAGGGTGTGGTGAGTTCTTGTATTTGATGATGAGCTCAGCTAGGGTTTTTGATCCAGCAGCTTCTAGCCGTTTGAGGTAGTCATGGATGCTCTCCGCTTCCGAGAAGCCTCCTTGGTCACAGCCGTCGGATATTGTGTCGAATTCCACGGAGCCTAATGATTCAGGCTTCATGGTGTGGGAGAGGAAGACGGTGGTGGCATAGGTTGCCTTGATTCCTTTAGAGGTCAAGCGCTTTGAGAATTGGAGCATCGGGTTGACATGACCTTGGCTTGGATAAGGAAGTGCCAAAACATGGGCCCTATAAGCCTTCTTCTCCATTTCTTTCCCTTAGCTTTCTCTCCAATTTGTGATCTCCAACCACGTTGGGGTAAGCTCTAATTTATAATTAGAGAAAGGGAGAATAGGGGACCATTGCATCACTCCATTAGAATAAAGCAAGGGCAGAGCCTCCTATGCCCCCCCAAAATTTTAAAAAAATTTTATATACTATATAAATTATTTTAAAATTTTTTACAAATTTTCATAATAGCCCTTCAAAATAATTTTTTAATTAATAATTAATACAAATAAAGAATAATAAAATGATTTCATATACTTGACTCAATTTAAAAGTTTTTTTAATTTATATAATTATTATTTATTTTTATTCTATTTACTCATATGTTTTAAATCTCTATCGATTTTCTTTCACAAATTTCAACGAACTATCCATCATATTCTTTTCTTTCTTTTTTATTATGTTATATGTGGATTCTATTTTCTACTTGTCATATTTTTTTTGTTATGTAGATTTTATTTTTATAATTTTAATCTTTAAAAATAAATAAATTATTATATAATTTTCAAATATAAGTTGCATTATTGTACTATTGCTTATAATTTCATTAATATGTCATTTTTTATTCAAAATAATCAATGCATTTTAGCATGTGTGTTACAAACTTTAAATGACCTAGATATACACACAAATTGATAGAATGAAATAATTGTATTTCTTTCAATACAATTATATTTATTATATATATTTTTAATTGCCTTCAAAATAATTTTTTAATAATTAGTTTTATCATTCAAACTATTTGATAAAATTAGATTCATTATGATTAGCATATTACTAGTTAAGCTCAACAAATAAATTCTAAATTAATATGTTACGCTTATCAAACTAAAAAAAAAAATAAAAGTGAGTCTACTATTCTAAACCCATAAAGTTTTAATATAAATCTAAGCTCATAATAATATATTATATCTTAACAATCTAACTTAAGAACTTATCATAATATATTATATCTCAATAGTTCAATCTAATAATCTAATATGTTAATTAGCAATTTAACAGACAAATAGAGACAAAAAAAATTTTGTTATCCATTGTATAAAATTATATATAATACTCACCTTCTTTTTAGGATTATTGTTATTGGATGGCATTGTGTATATATATATATACCTTATACTTATATTTTTATGTGAATATTGTAATTCTACAAGAGGGGGATGTTGAGTTTTTATTTCTCCTTTATTTGTTTGTCATTTATTAGAGTTTTTTAATGCGTTTACTTGTGATTCTCCATAATTCTCAAACCATTCGAAGAATTCAATTAATATTTTACGTTTTTTCATGAAATCATAATATCCTTTTAAGATTTCATGATCATATTTTTTGAAATAAATTTTTTTGTTTGTTTTTATCTGAATACAAATGTTTTCTACACCATTCTTTATTGATCTCAAAATCTTTTTCTAACACAAAAATTTTTGGGTCATTTTCTTGATTTGCAGGTAATTAAACCTGTTTTCAATAAACACTATCGTTAGGTGGGCTGTGCACAATTGAGCCTTGTTTTACTAACAAGAAGTTTTAGAGATATTACAATCACACAAAACATGATAATTTCATAAAATAAAATATAGTTATCAATATTATATGATACATAATATATATTATATGATATGATACAATGTTAGTAAAAAAGATTTATATTTATAATTGTATTACATTTAATTAAATATAAAAAATGTACCAAATAATACATGATACATATTTTACGATACGAGACGTATTGTATAATATAGTCGATATATTTTTTATAAATTTAATTTTAATTAATTATTAAAAATTTAGTTTTTATTATTTTTTTGAGTTAATATATGAAAAACTGTTTTTATGAATTTAAATGTTTAGATTTTAAACAAAAAAGTAATAAAAAAATTTAATTCCCTTTTGATTTCAACATGATAAATGCTTTTTAATTTTTAATTAATATGAAATATATATATTTATTTAAAAATTATATTATTAAACAATATTTTAAGAGTTTAAAGTAAAAAAAATCATCTTTTTAATTTTTGCACTATAATTTTAAATTCTATTAAAAAATATAATTTTTTAAAATTTTTATTTTATATATATATTATTTATAATTAATTTTAAAATTTTTTATCATTTGTTATGATACGATATGATTCTCAATATTAAAAAAATAAAAATTTAATATATAATACTGATTTAATACCTATAACATAAAATAATAGTATCATTTAACATGTCAACTGTATCCGCACAGAGTCGTTGTGAGATTTTATATTATCAACAGCGATGTTTCATAATCAAATTTCCAACCATTACGATCAACCATCATTTTCAAGAAAGTGAGATTACCTTGCACTGCAGGACATGTATTTTTTTTACTTTATGATTAATGAAGAAAATATATTTAAATTTTAAAATGAATACTTAATTTGTATAACCCAAGAACCACAATAAAATATTGAATACTTATTTTAAATTTTCTTTTTGTAATTATAAAATTTTGATATTGACAGATTTCATAAATTTTTTTTACGACATGTGGGATAAAGTCATACGAATTGTCCGCAGGTGGCAGAGTTACTTTCAGTAAGTAAAAATAATGTATAATGATTCTTATCAATTTATTAAAAAAAATAAAGAAAGAAAAAAAATAATGGTTAGCGACAATAGTTGTTGTTTGCACGACTATCCAGCATTGAAGCCTTTAAACGTCGTCGGTGACGTCATCAGTCCTTCGTCGGCTCCTACTTCTTTCGTTTCCAATTTTTCAATTTCTGGGTAAAGTGAATGAATCTACTCATCACAATAATTATCACATATTTTTTTTAAAATAAGTATCATGTGCATCGATCCTAGCATTTAGTGTTTATTTTAAAATAAAAAACAGCTGACCAGTGACATAATTTAATTACTTTCTTTTTTTTTAATTGATTTTTGCAGATTACCACACTGCACTGCTTAATTCTACGGCCAAACAAATTAAGGCTCAAGGATGTGCTGCGACTTTGGAACCCTCCATTTGTATTTTGAAGCATAAGAGAGGGTGTGAAGCCACAAGTCTAGACTTAATTTCTTCCTCCTTTCCTTTTCTTTTTTTAAAAACCATATGATCAAAGTTTGAAATTTCGTAGGATTAGTACATTCCAAAATCAAATTGATATTGTTGACTTTTTTGAATTTGTTGGTTGTTTAGTATGCGTTGCCACAATCCAAAATGGATTTCATAGCTTTCTTACTTTCTTTTTCCTTACAATTCCGTAGGAGCTTAGATTTATATGCAAAAAGACAAGAGCAAGATGAAAAACGAAAACACAGGTTTACACCAATTTAAGACAAGAAAATACTACAAAATAATAGATTTATTGCGACAGAGTTATTTTTGTTGCAAAGATTTTGTTGAAATATTCTCACAAATTCTCAACAAAAAATGATTTCAACACCATTTCAATAGAAAATTCAATGAATTTTTGACGAAGGTTTTCAAAAATAAGGACAAAATTAAAAGATTTAGACACTAATATTTCGTCCAAGATATTTTCGCAGACCATGTGAGAAAAAATATATATTTAATTCAAATCTCTACACCTACCCCGCCGTTCCTCTCCCTCCTTGTCATTTCTTGTTCATGAAAAAGGATGATTTTGCATGCCAATGATGGCTTTTTGTAATATACATGCATACTATATTTCACATATATAATATGATGTATACTATGCTTCACATGCCACATTCAGTCCTACGTGTTATTTCTTGATGTCTCTAATCCATATATATTTGATTGTGGGCAAATTTCTCTTTGCTGTTTGTTAAAGACAGGTGGATTAGGCAGAAAAATTAAATACTAATCCTTCATTTACAAAATAAATGTATAATATGCTTTATACTATCAAGATGGGCAGGCGGCCTCTGCTTTTTGGTAGGGTTCCTTCCACGTGCTGCCTCCTATCTCCTGTCTCGTGATGTTGTCCGGCTGCGTGTGTAATGACTTTGAGTGGCTGATCAAAATAAATGTATAATATGTTTTTTTTTTTTTGAACGGCCACCTTCCTCTTCATGTGGCAGTTAATTTGCTAATTGTGCAGAGGAGAGACTTCCGGTATTATGGTTCAATAAATTCATCTTTCTTAAATATAATACGCTTTATATATATTGTAAATGAATGCGAACAACTATGCAGGCAATCAAGCTAGAATTTGGGGAGTTTTGAGAAACGATAAAGGTGAGTTCAAGGTGAAGTACGTTTCGAAATCGATAGGTGCGGGGATGCCAACTATGCAGAGTTAATGTGAGCTATATTTGAGCCACTCTCCATCTTTGTTTCTTCTCAATGGTTGGATTCACACTGCCCAAGAATCGAAAGCGATTCCACCAATTCTATTAAGTGGATTAGGGATCCGAGCTTGGCACCTTGGAAGCACATACTGTGCTTAAAATTGATTGTCTCAAAAATAGGTGAAGGGGGTGGTATATTGTTCATACCTCGACACGTGTTAATAGTGTTGCTGATCAGCTGACAAAGGAGGGGATGCTTAGGGAGGTTGCACTGCTGAATGAGTTCCCTTAGATGCTTTGGTTGCCCTGTTTTCAGAGCTGTTGGCAGTGTGTATCTTGTGTGTCTGGGATTGTGGATGGACTATAGGGTGCTCTGACTCTGGGTTCCTTTTTTCTGCTGCTTGTGTTGCTCTGTTACTTGGGGTTATTTCCACATTCCGTTTGGCATGGGACCTGTCTGTATACTTGCTGATGTTTGTGTTTGTGCTATTCGAATGTTTGCTAGAGGAGGACATAGTCCAGTTTTGTTTATGCTTTGTTTGAGTTTGTCTCTAATGTTTGAGATCTGTAGCGTTGGGGCCGGGAGTTTTGGGTTCATTGGCTTTGAGAATTTGCGAAGTGAAAATTACGAGAAATGCTCATCTTCATAATTCAGATTTTAAAAATAGTTCACAAAATAAAATAGAATGTTTTTATTTATATATAACTATGAGTTGATAAAAATATCTTTGAAATCATTTTAAATAAATTAAATCATTCGTTACAATTTCTCTTCATCTCCATTTGTGTTTTTTATTTTTCTCTCTTACCATCTAACTTTTTTTAATTTTATCGCTTTTACTCTTTAGTATCCGCCTACTGTACTCTTGATTTCTCTCTTTCATACTTTTAAGATATTGAGAGATGATTTTGATGTGATTACGGTGGGTGACTATTTAAAAAATTTAATTTTTTAGTATTTTGAATGAAATTAAAATGGTAGAAATGATTTAGATGTTTGAAATAGTTTTTAATTAGATTAATTCAGGATCTAGACACCAATAAACTCAAGAATTTAAAATTTATAAACTTAGGATTCTAAAGGAAATTTTATCGATTTTTAGTCAAAATAAGTGTTTTAGATATGAAAAATTGTATTTTGATTTATGAAAACATATTAGAAACACTTTACTCAATGCCAAATCATAAAAAAAAAATGAAAAGAGATGAAAGAATTTGAAGTTTTAGTTCGCAAGTAACAATAATATTTTAAACACTAAAGTATAATAATTTTTTTTTAAATATAGTGTGTAACAATAATATTTTTTCAATATAATGTGTAACAATGATTTTTTTTTCAACGTGGCATATAACATGTTTTTGTACAATAATATTTTTTTTCAACATGGCATATAACAACTTTTTTTAATCATGATATATAACATATTTTTGTACATGATATGTAACAATAATATTTTTTAACATGAATGTAACATATGTGCACTTGAATATGAAAAAATTTCATTAAGGTAATTTTGTCCGATTTAACTAAAAAGAGTTAAAATGATAAAAAGAGTTATTTTAAAAAATGTTATTTTTAAAAGTTATTTTTTAAAATGCCTTTTTGAGAGTATAGAATATGAGGTTTTGAGGTCGATATGCCATTCCAGTAAGGCATATAGGCTCCAAATTTTTGTTTTAAATGGAGGGATTCTCTCCCTCTTTCTCAATGCATACCAAACTCATAAAAAAAACTTTTATTTCAGTGCTAGACAATACAACACACAACTGGAACGCTAGCGCAAAGCAGGAAGGAAAAAACAGAATGAAAGTTTAGCAACATCAGAGCACTTTGACAAATTCCTTAATTATAAATATCATTATTATCTTATTTAATTATATCAGTCCTTTTTTCCCCAGTGATTTCAGATTGATCAACACCACTGACTTGCTAGGTAGTGCGTCTGAGCTTTGACATAAATTCATCAATGTTCCTGTCCGAAGTTCCTCCTTCACCAACTGCCTCTAAGGCCAACTCCCTCCATTTCTTAGCATTTTCTTTTATTTCTTTTCCTCTCTCTCCCTCCATTACTTGCCTTATGCAGGACTCAATTTCTTCTCTATTCACAATTCCGCTGTCATCATCAATCTTAACTCTGACCCCCACCTTCCAAACATCCTCAATATACTTACCAACCGTCGTCTGGTCCGTCCATTGCGGCATTGCAACCATTGGCACTCCCAAGCTCAAAGCTTCGGTCGTTGAATTCCATCCACAATGACTAAAAAAGCACCCCACGGCTTCATTCGATAGCACGTCCAACTGAGGACTCCAGTTCACTATCAAGCCCTTCTCGCCGCTCTCTTCCTTGAACCCCTTTGGGAGCTTTGCTTCCTCCGAGGCTCTAACCACCCACAAGAAGTAGAAATTGCTGTTGTTCAGGCCCCTAGCAATTTCCTCCATCTGCTTGCTGCTTAGACTGGTCACGCTCCCAAAGGATACATAAATCACGGACCCTGGGTATTTGGTGCTTAGCCAATCGCTGCTTGTGGAGGAGTTAAAGTCGATGAGATCAAGACCATAAGCTTTGTCATTTTCTACTCGTTTGTCCAAGTAGACAGATGGAACTGTTGGTCCAATTGTCAGTAATGGATAAACCTTTGACATGGAATCCACTGCCTGTCCATTAGGTAAAACATAGACAAAGAGAAAATGAGTAATTTACGATGCTGCTAGACCGTGGGCTTTGGATGTCAACCGAATGACATCAGGGCAGTTGAGAAGCGCATGATAGCCTACCCACAAAAACAAATTGGACACGCAGCCTTGCATAATTCATGGTCTGCTATTTATTTATTTAATATTTGCTTGGACAGATCTTTGCTTTGACAGATCTCGTTACTTTCTAATTTCTAGGAAAGAAACCATGCACATGGACATCAGAATTTATAATATAATAATAAATAACATATAAGCAAGAAAATTGAGAGTAAACTAACCTCATTTTCTAACTTGTAGAAAGTATTGACAAGAATGAAATCAGCTTTGTCAATGTTCTTAAACTGATTCAGTACCCTTCCAAGGTAAGCTATATATGACCCTTCTGAAGAGCAAATGAAGGATGGCAAGTCTCGAGGCTGAAGCAATGGCAATCCAGGGATGGAGATAGGCGTTGAACAAATTGGGAGGTTCAATAATTTATGATGAACATTATAGTAAATGTAATTAACAGCGCACATTTGAGTGAAAAAGGCTGCTCCCTGTAAGCCAAATTGTTTGGCTACATCCAAAGCCCATGGCATCGCAGCATCATAAATTATGCAATCAATAGGGTGGGAAGTTTTTTTATGTTTTATGATGAGCTCGCCTAAGGTCTTTGACCCAATGGCTTCTAGCCGTGGGAGGTAATATTGGATGCCCCCGGATGCCGCCAAGCCTCCGGCATCGTAGCCGTCAGAGATCGTGTCTATTTGGACGGAGCCTGAGGATTCAGGCTTCATGGTGTTGGAGATGAAGACTGTGATGGCTAGGGTGGCTTTGAGCCCTTTAGAAGCCAAGCGTTTGGAGAATTGGATCATTGGGTTTATGTGACCTTGAATTGGGTAAGGAAGCACTATCACATGTGGTTTGTCAACCTTGCTCTCCATCTTTTGTTTTTTTCTCTCTCCAAAGCTTGGTAGGCTACTAGGCTCGATGCCCACAATCCTTGCGGACATAAGCTATTTATAAGAAATGTCAAAGCTTGCGAGGCAAGAAATCCTTGGACAAGGCCAAGTGAGATGATTTCAGTTATGTGGTTGGTAGATTTTTAACGAAGTTAATGGATCCAAATAGTTGTGTGATGAAATTGCTAAGGAAGCTTCCTACCACCAACAGGTATAAATATTTCTAGTAGGCTTTTACTTAGAGACTTTTGCCTTTGAAAATATTTACTCACCTGTAAGAGGTAAAATATGAATTTCAATTAAGCATAACGAAGACTTTGATATATTATGATATTACATCTTCAATAACTCTTGTTGTATTAATTAATTGTGAGATTAGAGGACATGTTAAAGAGTTAGGAACACTTACCAATGTATCTATTATTTTTTTGATAAAAATACTTCTTCTGTCCTATTGATTAAGATTATCTTAATTTAATTCCTTTGTGTGTCAAAATTTTCAACTTTGATCTTAGATGGTGTTTGATGCTTTACAATGTAATGTGACTAATATGATTACAAGTAATGTGATTGTAAGGAAAATAACATTACAGTGTTTAGTATATAAGCAAAATAATGATTAAAATGTAAGGAAGATAACATTGCAACGTTTGATTTACATGTATTTTGCTGAAAATGTAATATTAATTTTCAAAATTACCTTTAGTTATTAAAATATAAATTTAATATATTTATATTTTTTATTATCAATTTTTATATAATATCATCTCTTAAATATAATTTGTAATGTCATATATTTTATTTTCATTTATTATTACAATCTTATATATTTTATTTTCATTTCTTTAATATAATTTTTTATATTATATATTTTATTTTAATTACTTTTATCTATATTATATAAATTTTAATTTTTTATATTATATTTTAATTTTTGATTCTTATATCATATATTTTATTTTAATTATAACATTATAAAATATTTTTAATAAAGTAATAAAATTGAAGAGTAAAAATATTTTTAAGAACATTGTAAAGTGCAATGTAATATGATTGCATTAGTTTTGGACTGTAATCACATTACATCCCTTGACTATAATGTGATTACATTACAATCTTATATTACAGTATTCTGTTATAAAACAAACACTACAATATAATTTAATTAAGCACATTGCAGGGAATGTGCTCCCAATTCCTTCATACCAAACACTATCTTAATTATTTTTTAAAAAAAATTATTAAAATAAATATTAACAAATATATGTTCAAAAGTTACATTATTCAAACTTTTATTACTAACAATTTGAAAATAAAATAGCAACTTGAAAGAAAAAATTATTAAAAAATCAACTCAGACACTAATTAGAACATGAGGATAAAGGTCCCCTTTCAAACCAGGAGCTCTAAACTCACTTAATACAGAGGGACAATCGTACCACTAGTCTTTTGGGCTGAAGCCAGACCAGTCTGGTCCAGCCCAAAGGCCCAAATATTTTTCCGTGCTCTCTCCATCTAAATTCGAATTTGTCTTCCTAGTTTTTTGCCTCATCAAAATTCGTCTGTTTAAATTTCTCTCTTCGACTCCTGATTTATAATCGAACGCGTGGCGGTAATTTCTCTGTCCTAGTTTTCATTTAGGGTTTTGCGAGTGAAATCGTTACGTTTTTTAGATCAAAATTTGTTATTGATTCTAGGGTTAACTGCAAATTTGTTCAACCTTAGATTGCTTAGGGTTAATTACGTATTTGTTTACAATCCTATAGTTAACTCCAAACCTTTTAATCTGATTTAGAAGAGGTTAATATAGGCGTATTCGAGGTGAGGGTAATTGGTTTTAGCCGATTGGGCATCGAAATCTGAATAATGGCATTGAAGTTTCTGAACAAGAAAGGATGGCACACGGGAAGCTTGAGGAATATAGAAAACGTGTGGAAGGCGGAACAGAAGCATGAGGCTGAGCAGAAGAAATTGGAAGAGCTCCGCAAGCAGATCCATGAGGAGAGGGAGCGCTCTGAGTTTCGTCTTCTCCAGGAGCAGGCCGGCCTTGTTCCGTACGTGTTTCCTTCCTTTTTTCTTTTTATTTGGTATACAAACTAAGGGTTAGGGTCTTACTGCTGATTTCATCTTTTAATTCTGCAGGAAGCAGGAAAGATTGGACTTCTTGTACGATTCTGGACTTGCCGTTGGGAAGGGCTCCAGTAGCTCTGCTGGAGGCAGCGGAGGTGGAGGTGGAGGTGGAGGTTTCAAAGCTCTTGAAGAAGCCCTTCCAACGGCCAAGGCTGCTGATGCTTCTGCCAAGCCGTCTTCTTCTGCCCCAGGAGCCCTGTTTGAGGACAAACCCCACTCGGCAAATGATGCCTGGCGCAAGCTCCATTCTGATCCTTTACTTATGATTCGCCAGCGTGAGCAAGAAGCCCTCGCCCGCATTAAGAACAACCCTGTCCAGATGGCCCTCATTCGCAAATCTGTATGTTATTCATCTAGTCTATTGTCTTCTTGGTTTTTAGGGCATTGGCAAACAAATATATGCCATGTTTCCGATGGATTTATATATGAATCAAATATGTGTTGTTAATTAGGGTGGAGGGAACCCATCAATCTCTGCAAGCACTTTGTGCTTTGAATCAATTTCATGATAATAACTATTGCAACTCCTAATCAGATTGCCATTCCTATTAATGATGTAACAGGTTGGAGAAAAGAAACACAAGGAGAAGTCCCATGATCGCAAGGAAAACCATAAGAAGCACCACCAGACTAGTTCCAAGCATCGGAAACATTCTTCATCCAAGCAGCATTTATATGCTGAAGATGACACTTATAAGGAGGACAAAAAGATTAGAAGTCACCATCGTAAGAGCTCTGATTATGAGGGCCACTATCACAGAACAGAGTCACACTCAGAAGATGAATTAAAGGAAGCAGAAAGTCGAGAGAAGAATCGCCACAAGCAGAAATACAGATATGATGATCAAGATGCTGTCAAGAGGAACCATGACAAGTCTAAGCATGACAAATCTTCTTCTCAAGCTCCAAAATGTTTTGATGCAGATAAATATCAAGGAAAAAATAGGTCTTATGACTATAAAGCTACTGCACCTCGGGATGATAAACGTCGAAATGTTGCTCCTAAACTTTCTGAAGAGGATCGAGCTGCCAGGCTTCGTGAAATGCAAGAGGATGCTGAGTTGCATGAAGAGCAAAGATGGAAGCGGTTGAAAAAGGCAGATGAGAAAGATGCGCGGGAGGATACGATGGCCAGCAAATCTGTTGGAAGAAACTTCTTGGATGCTGCTCATAGAAGTGTCTACGGTGCTGAGAAGGGAGGAAGCTCAACAATAGAAGAGAGTGTTCGTCGCAGAACACATTATTCACAAGGCAGGTCTGGATCAGAAGGAAATGCTTTTAGACGCTAATGCTCATAATCATTCCGTCTCTTTGCATTGCCAATTCTCATAATCCAGGTATGCTCCTGCATTTCCATTCATGGGTGTGCTTGCTTCAGGGTATTGTAATTACATGATATTGAATATGAAGTCGAATTAGATTTATCTTTTCAATTTTCAATTCTCAGTGGGCTTCCATTTAAGCTGGGAGATTTCAATTTTACTTGTACTATTTTCAGCATTCTGCATGGAATGAGAAGACAGTTATGGTCTCACTTTAGTCGTTAGGACTAATCCACGGGAGAATTTCTTGTTTTGGAGAAAGTGTTCTGATAGTTTTTTATATTTCCAAAGTGTCACTCAAACATAATGTGAACAACAGGTCTCTGATTATCCTTAGGTGGTTTGAACCATATTTCCCTTTAACTCACTTAATTGGACATTTGACTTCTAAATAAATTGAAAATGATATGGTACTCTCTTTTGTTGATATAGACTATGGAACTGAGGGACATGTTTCCCAGTTGCAGGGATAAAGTGGGGAAAATCAGAGTCCGGTTTAAATCAATGGCTTTAACTGGGTGTAAACTGAAAAGTAAAACTAACCTTGTCTTTTAAGTTGTAGAAGGTGTTGACAAGAATGCAATCAGCTTTGTCCAAGTTATGGAACTGATTCACTGTACCCTTGAGATAAGCTGCATATGACCCCTCTGAAGAAAGGACAATGGGTGGCAAGTCTCCAGGAATCAAAACAGGCATCAGAGAAATTGGGAGACTAAGTACTTCATGATAAATACTATAGTATATATAGTTAACGGCACACATTTAAGTGAAAAGGGGGGCTACGAGTAACCCAAATTGCTTGGCTACATGGAGAGCCTAAGGCAATGCAGAGTCATGAACTATGCAATCAATAGGGTGAGATGGTTCTTTGCGTTTCATAATGAGCTCAGCTAGGGTCTCTGAACCAGCAGCTTCCATGCGTTTTATGTAGTTATGGCCATGCCGGCTTTTGCAGGATTGCCTTCATAACAGCCGTCAGATATTGTGTCGACTTGGACAGAGGATGAGAATTCAGGTTCATGGACTTGGAGATGAAGAGGGTAACGGCTAGGGTGGCCTTGAGCAGTTGAGAATTGGAGCCTGGGGTTTATGTGACCTTGGCCTGGGTATGGAATCACCAACACATGCCCTCTGTAAGCCTTCTTCTCCGTCGCTATCTTGACTTTCTTTCTCTGTTTGCCTCCCCTTGGGTGGTTTTAAACTTTTGGACACGAAAATGAAGCTCAAGAGGGTCGTTGTCGGGTGTTGCTAATGTTGTAGACCACAGACCTTTTCCCTTTTTGATTTTCCTCTTATTACTTGTAACCATTACCAACCAAGGAAGAGAAAGATTTTCTTTCCAATTTTTATCTTGATAACAACGTGAATCTCAAATGCTGTATACTTTGTGATAGCTTCCCATCACGCTGCACGTGCAGAAGTAGTACATGTATTGAATTGAGTTTTGGTAATAGGCCAACCCACTTGGATGCATGGTATAATATGGATTATACCAAACCAAAAAATTTATTAGGAGTAGCATCAAAGAATTAACGCAGGGTAAGAGCAAATGGCAAGTGGTTTGAGATGGGTTTGTTGCGATATTGTTGCCCGTAGGCAGGCCGGAATTGGTCTCTTTGAGTCCATAGTCCACTGATTGTGTCGTTGTATTTGGTTTAATCTATAACAAACGAATAAAATAAGAAGAAAGTAGCAGGAATGGGCTCAATTTAAATGGCACTGTTAACCACATAGAAAGAAAAAATGGATTGATTTTTCACAGAAGTAAAAGAAAAAAAAATCATGTTATGGAACACTTTATTAGTTAGAATTTAAAAACCTTCCTCTCGAGTTTAAATTTTTAATTAGAAAAATAAAAATGATTATCTTCGATTGTGTTGTCCCAAATGATAAAAAATAATTTCACATTTGAATTCTTTTGAATGAAAGATAACTTTTGTTTAGCTCTTACACCTTTTTCCCTTTTTATGTGTATAAAATACACAGGCATATATACATACACACATATATATATATATATATATATATATATTCTACACATTAATGATTTTAACTCCACTTACAAAGCTAAATGATTATCATATGTTAATATTTTATTAATTTTATGAATATGTCTTATTCAGACAAGTGTCAATTCTCTAACTTTACTCACATTAGGACTATCATTTTATCTATCGACGGTCCACTTGTTGAAGTTAATGATTATCATATGTTAAGTAAAAATTTTATTAATTTTATAAATATACCTTAATAGAACAAGTGTCAATCTTCTAACCTTACTTGTGGAGTTTAAAAGTTATAAAAGATGAATAGGCTGATTTTCATGGAATGATGAAATGAACGAGAGAAAATCTAAATTTTTTATCGTTCATTTTTTAATAGGTGTTATTTTTTTTTGTACATTTTAATTTGGTTCAAAATTGGTTAAAATATAGCCATAAAAATTAATTTGAAATTGGTCATATTTATTAACAAATTACAGCAAAACTTTTATAAATTAATAATCTTAAGTTATGAAAACTATTAATTTATCAAGGTATTTTTTATTTTTTTTAAAACATTGAATTTAATATACAAATATTATCTAATTACTGAATTACGAATTATTATTATTTATGATTAATAAATTAATGAGAACGTCATAAAAAATTATAAAAAAAGTGAGATAGAAGATGATAGTTTTGTATTAAAGTCTATGTCACATAAAGATTCACTCAAAATAACAATCACATTATATAATTTTTTTTAATAATACGAGAATATTACACTAAAACTTCTTAATGCACTAAGTTACAGTACAAAAACATTACGTCCAAACTTTGTAATGCACTAAGAAAAATTAAAGATAAAGTTCAAAGAGACATCAATTTTAAAAATAAATAAGTAATATCAAAATCAGATTTTACAAAAATCTTCTTATTAAGTTATATATATATAATTTTGATATATAAAGAGATTATTAATTTATAAAGTAAGCTTTTTATGTTTTTTTAATATATTATTTTATAAATTTATCAAATTATTAATTTATTAAATTAATCTCAAATCAAAATCAATTAAAAATATTATTTAATTAAAAGTATTAATTTATCAAATATTAATTTTGAAACATCATGAATATTTAAAACAAATCAAGGAAAAAAATAGAAAAAATTTAATAAAGTTGGCAACCCCACGAAGCAGAAAGAAGATCAACAAAGATGAAAAACAGGGAGAGGAAGTGGGATCCAGGTGATGCCGTGATGGACCCACCAGCGCTTGATCAGAGTTACATTTTTTGTATCACTGTCCTCAGCTTTGCTTCCTTTTCCACACGAACTCCACCGGCCTGTCCCTCTCCTTGTCTTTCTTCAGCCGCCCCATTTTCCCCGCCTCTTCTTTTCCCCACTCGATCATATTATCCACGTGTCCATATAATATTGGTCCGTCGGGTTTTGGTAACACGGTGGTCGTGTGGACCTACGAGGTGGGCCCCAGTTTTATAAAATCAATCACCACCACCAGTTACACAGTCAGACACATCTCTCATCTTTTACCTTTCTTATCGTCTCATGTCCTGATAAATTCAAAATCTCCTCGATTAGGAATTTGACATCATCATCAACGTCTGCATTTTTTGTCTTAAAAAAAAATAGGATTAATTCTCCAATTTTATATGTTATATTCAAAACGATCATTTATTTAATAAATAAACACGAAACCATCATTTTAAATTTGCACGCGAAATTTAAAAATCTCACTATTAGTATATAAAAAAAATCCAAATAGCATATAAAAATATTCATTGATTTTAACAAACAAAAGCTTTTAATAGTATGATCCCATAAGGGATATTTGAGTTTAATTTTTTTAATTAAATTGTTTTGAGTTTTAAATTTGACCATTTTGTTTATAAATTATTATTACTTAAACTTTTGAAATTCTTCCAAAACTTTGAAGGAAGTAATTCAAATATATGTTTGTAAAAATTAATGTTTAATCAAATATTTAAAACAATAAAAGTCAAAGTTCAAATATTTTTTACTGTAAAACTGTCAAACTAAGACAAAATGTATAAAACAGAAGAAGCAACATTTATTATTTTAGACACTTATAGTTAAGTTTTTAAATTTAATAATTAATTTATATATATTAATTTTCATAAATATACTTTAACAAGATAATTATATATACATATATAAGCAACTATACAAGGAGAACTGAGAATTCAGCCTTACATTATAAAATATAAAACAACCAAACAGAAATAGTTAGTAGCTCAAAATTTTTGGTAAATAGTTATTTACACTTTTGTTTCAATCTTAAGGGCAAAATTTAAACCAGTTGAAAAAAAAAACAGAAAAAGGTAATCAAAAGTTTCCATGGTTTTAAAAAGGTATAATATATAAAAAAATCTTTAAACTATTCAATAAAATTTAAATAAATTTTTATATTTTTTATTTTAGATCAAATAAACTCTTACAACTAATGATTGATTTAATCAAAATATCATTTATTATTTTATGTTGCATGATGCTAATGTGACATACTTAAATATCATAATTAATTACGATATGATATGCTGATATATTATAATTAATGATAATATAACATGTTAATTTGATATAATAATATAATCATGTGACATTTTTTACCTTATACATCAATATTATGTCAATATCATATGAATATAAAATAGTAAGTGATATTTTTACTAATAACAATTAATCAATCATTAATCAAAAAGACTTATTTAACTTAAAATAAAAATATTAAATATAATAATTAAATAAATATTTATTTAATTATTTTTAAATAATTTAAAAACTTATTTAAATATTATACTTTTTTTAAAAATACCGACATTGCCAACACAACTCGTGTGCGATTTTGATGTTAAGTAATACAGGACCCTTTTGAAATTATTAAGGTGTCAATTCATATCATGAAATAAAACGAAAATATAAATATGGGAAATCTCACGGCAAAACGATATCCCAATCTTCTAGACAAGAAACAAAATTGCATTGATAAAAGCGCAGAGACATTGAATGGGAGTGCTTCCATTCCACACCGACTAATTGAGATATCAAGTTGGAAAAAGGTTAAATTATTGGATTAGAGAGAGTATGGGGATTCTGCTAAAGGACAATAAATCATTAATATTAGAGACGTTATGCAGGCCTTTCAATGCGTCATTCCTTTAGTTTCTGGACGAAACTAAGGCATACGCATTTTTGTCACAACACACTTTAGTATGTATTAAAGTAATTGATTGAACAATAGGTGAGGTATGAGTAAGATGTCCTACGAGTAGGGGCGGTCCTTAGGTACTACTTGTAGTAATTTAAGTAAGGTTACACCCCAAACTTTTCTCTTTTTGCTATATAATGAGTTTCTAGGGATGAGCAATTTTTAGTTAAAACCTAATTAATTGAAAAAAAAAACAGTTAAAACAGTTTGATTATTGAGTTAATTCCATTAATTTCGTTGGTTTTTATTTTAAATTTTTTTTGACGAATTAACCGGTAATAAATGGGCAATAAATGAGTGTAGTCCGTGAGAATCGAATTTACAACCGCTTTATTAATAGTCAAGCACTTTAACAACTAAGTTATGACAACTTGTTTTTGTTTAAATTGTTATTGTTTAACCTTTAAAATTAATTAAGCAAAGTAAACTTTGCAAAAATAAAAAAAAAATCAAGACTTATATGAACACAACCTTTATAAAAGAGATTAACTTTTAAGTAATTACCTTTCAAAAAAAAACATTTAAGTAATTATTGTATGACAATTAAATTTTTTTAATTTACTTTAAAATTTCAAAATTAGGACTTAAAACATTTCATATATGGTTTAATTGTGAAATAAAAGAAGTTTATTTTTTATTATACATTCGAACACTTGATGTTATTAGGACTGTGCATTTGGTTAACAGCATCATGATTGCTTGTAGTTAAGGACTAATTATAGGAAGGTTATCTTAAAATTTTTGCATGTCATTTTAGATTTATATGAATTTGAAAAGGTATAATACTTAAAAAAAATCTAAATTATTCATAAAAATTTAAATAAATTATTATTCTTTTATTACATTCAATTTAGACTTAATATTTTTATTTTGAATTAAATAAGCTTTTATAAATAATGATTGACTAATTGTTATTAGTCAAAATACCATGCGATACTGACGTAATTTACTGACATGTCATAATGGATGATGAAATAATATGATGACATAGTAATGTGATATTTTTCACTCTTTATGTTAATATTATATTACCATCATGTGAATATAAAATGTCAAATGATATTTTAACTAATGATAATTTGATTAAAAATCAAAATACATGATCTCGATTGAATACAATAAAAACATAAATGTTTTTTCAAAAAATTTCATTCACGATCTCATGTTGTTTCAATTTATTTACAACAACAATTTAAATATGCATGCCGCCAAGTATGGGAATATTATTTTAATCCTTAATTAATCACATAATAGCTAGAATGGGTAATTGGGTGTTGGATGATCCAGGATGAAAATCTCAAAGATTTAAATATTAATTAATATGTATTCTATATATTTAGACCACCAATAGAAACTTTTACCCAAATTGAATTTTCACTTGTTAAATTCCACAAATAACTTACATACCTCCATATTAGTCCTTTTGGGGTGTAATTTCATAATTAAAGAGAGGTAAGCAAGTGTTCATTTACATTGCATATCTAATTGGATATCCATTCAAGTAAATAACAAACACTTGAATTTTGATGGAAGATTAAAGCGTGACATTGATTTTCGTTCATTTTTTTATAAGCTACTTGGCAAATTGATTTAATTATGCTTTTGAGAATTTAATTTGTTGTTTTCCATTAATTCATTTAGTTTTCGAATTAAAGAATTTTGTTACATATCCTTCTCTTCAAACAGCTGGATCTCTAGGTTCCTACTTTTAAATTTCTTGTCATAAATTAACAATTTACATTAGTTTATTTTCAATAAAATTAAATGTTTTTAATGTCAAAAAGTAAAAATTAATTAATGAAAAGTAATATGAAATTTGTTAAAAAAATGAGAAAAAGAAGAAAAATTTTCCGACATGTCAAAAGATTTGATAGACAAAGAAAGTAATAGCAACAAACTATTAAATATTGAAAAACTAGTTTTGAACCCTTGTGATGTACAAGATATCAACGTTTATGAATTTTAAATATAAATTAATTTAATTATTCAATAAAATAAAAAACTATTAAATACTGAAATATTACCAAATTTGTGATAAATATAATAAGGGACAAATATTAAATTTGTGAATGTAGTATGTGTCACTATATCGTAATATAGTTAAATTTATTAAATAATATAGTTCGTTATAGAATTTAATTATAAAAAGACATAAACTATTTTGAGAAAAAAAAAACAGAAAAAGATTTGACTTAAATAGAAAACAAAAGGGCGATATATTGAAGCGGGCGGTCAAATTGAATTTATCACGAGATAAGTAGACCACCGATCTCATCTCATGATACTCGTCCGTTCCGCTTTAAAGTCTAATGAGGTTACTGGTAATTATGTATTTCAACAGAAAAATATAAGTCATAAGAAGAAGTAGTTTGCTGCAATATATAACCAGTCAACATGTAGCCGGTGCCTCACCTCGTTTCTTCTCTCTCCCACCGCTTCACTCTGCGTTGAGACTACGTCGTTTACAAGCTCTAAATATGGTATTCATTCTTCAAGCTATCCCTTGCCGCTCCCTTCCGTTTTTCTTAGAGACATGATCCAAGGTCAATTTGAACTTTTTGCTCTGCTCTTTGTTTTAATTCCATTGTTATCAAAAGATTTTAGTGTTTTTATTGTTTTTTCTTCTTTTAAAGATTACAGTCCTTCTTCTTCATCATTTTCTTTGGTTGATATATCTTTTTTATTTCAATTTTGATTATATATATATATTGAAAACTGGACTTAGAATAAATTTGTTTCATTTTTAGTAGCAATCGAATCTTCTTATTATAATTATCATTATTTTTAGTTGATAATCTCATTGAATAATGGGAGCAATTAAAAATTAGTGTTACCTATCAGCAAAGCACATAAAATAAACAATTTATGATTTTTAAAATATGATTTTCCTTTTGGAGATGAAGCAGATAGATACGAATTTTCAACTGACAGTGAATTTGTTTATAAATGAAGAATTTAATTGTCTATTTCTTCTAATTGATTTATTATATAATTACTTTTCGTTCAGGTTCTTTAGCTTTGTAGTGTCGGATTATCAAAGACTCCGAAGAAGATCGAGCTAATCTCGACTCTCCTTTTTTTTTTGTTAAAGAAGATTTGCCGCTTTATTTATAAAGGTATGAATCGTTAATTTGCTGGCCGAGAAAATAAAATATCAACAATAAAATTGGAAAAGGACAAAAGTAAAGCTGAAGTTTTCATTCCTTTTCACCACATTTTCTTGACCGCCAAAAAGAAAGTTTTAATTATATATTATTTGGCATTGAATTTAGCTCAATTAGGAGGCGGGATTGTTTCTCTCTCCTTTAAGTGTCAGTTTTTTCTCTATTTTAAATCTTTAATATTTAAGCATACTGATTTTTTTTTTGCCGTTCATTATATGCATATATATATATATATATATGATTTTGATTGTATTATTTTAATTATAAGAGAAGACTAGGATTTTATTTGAATTATTTTTGTGGCTATAGAATGATGGGTTTTGCTTCTTGTGAATAACCTCGTCGATTGTTTTAAGGTTTCCTAGATGATGGGTAAGAGCAGGAAGCCGTTAAGAAACAATTTCTGTTGATACTTTTCCTGTTTGATTCTGTTAAGTTTTCTGCTTTGTTTATTAATTTATCTTAACATTCCTTCTGGGATGAGATTTTGACATTTTATGGTGCAACCTTAAGATTCTATTCAGGAAAATCTATATATTTGGATGAATTTGGTACATATTTGTTACCCACGTTCTCGTTGACTGCATTCATGTTATAAAGTTTTTTCTGCAGAGCTGTTAGCTTTATATCTTGCTAAATAGCTCATTTACAACTAATTTACATTTGATTTTGATTGTTCCCCTTGTCTATTCTGATTTCCTTCTCTTTGTATAATTTTTAGTGCAGATATCTGGGAAGAGGTATATTTGATGGCTTCACTAGCTGTTGATTCTGCCTGGCTACCCTTGCCTAGCGAGTCCTTATGTAGATCTTTTAATGTATGCCTAGAGGAAGCAAATCCAGCTGATATTTTACCTGCACTGGAAGCTCCTATGTCTTCTGTGTCTGATAACTGTAACATTCCAAAACCGCCACCTCTCCCTAGCAAAGTGCGTACAAGAACTAAGTATTCAAAAGGGCCTCTGGAGTGCAGCTTTGTCCCTAACGAAACAAAGAATACATGGGACATGCTTTTTAAGGAAGGATATGGTGTAGACGTTTGTATTATCACGAAGGATAAATCATGTGTTCTAGCTCATTCTAATATTTTGGTGAGTTAATTTTATTTTTCCTTTTTTATGAATAATGAGGTTGGCCTGATTTATGTCATACCGTTAAGGAACTTTTCCTCTAATTATTGGATAGAGGATTTGTTTAGTTGGTTCCTTTTAAATGTTTATCAAATGAAATGAATTTGATTAGAAATTGGGCTGAGGGTCATTACTACTATTCTTTAAAACAGAAATGCTTTAATGCTCAAGCTTGAATCAATTTCCTTATCAATGGCAGAATATTAAATTCATTTTATCATGCATGTGGGAAAATAGAAGCTATTAAGCTACTAATATTATCAATTCATCATATTGTAATTTCTGAAGTTATATGACTGAGGGAATTATGAGCTAAATTTTCTTCCTTCTTTTTTTCTCTTTCTTTCAATTTCTTTTTTGCAGAGTATTGCATCACCTGTGCTGAGTAATATTCTCAGCCAATCAAAAGTCAAGCATGGCATGAGATACATCAAAATTCCTGGAGTACCTCATGATGCTATCTTTTTGTTTATTCGATTTTTATATTCATCCTGGTATGTTTGAAATCTTTTTCTGCATTCTTCTTGCCTAAAGTTTTCAGCAGTAGGTTGTGGACCTGGTGAGAAATCATAATATAATGACAGTTTCCTATCTGTTTCTACCATTATTTTGAGTGGCAATCAGACACCGTGATTATGTTGATTTATCTAGGATTTGACACAATTATGGCATGATACTTCAAACTAAATTTGTAGTCTCTTCAAGTTACTATGTTTGTTTCCTTTCTTTTTTGTTTGACACTCCTTGTAAAATAGCCTAAGAAGATATTTAATGTTAGGCTGTATGGTAAACTAGGTGATGGACTGTGGCTGTACAAAAAGTGCACCATAGAACCAACCAAGTCCATGCATAGTTGTTTTAGTAGAGATTGTTTCATGATCTTTTAGAGGTGCACCTAGAGTCTGTGATTGTAAATAAGATATGAGTAATACAAAAGTATGGTTCTTAGAAGTTTCATGCAGGAAAGGGATACTGGTTCTGTGCAAGCTAGATTCTGCTAGAAAAACATTTGTACATCTGGAAAAGGGAAAGGAAAAGCAAGTTGTTTTTGCCATTGTGAAGACTTCTATCTTCCCTTTTGGCTAGTATGTTAGATTGTAGGTGTTTATACTTAATAGCAACTGCTGAATTGGCCTAATTCTCTATCTATGTCCTCAGTTATCCATGTTATAATTGGATATACTCAGTGTTATTTGATATTGAGATGCAGCTATGAAGAGGAAGAGCTGCGGAAGTTTGTTCTCCATCTATTAGTCTTGTCACATTCCTACTCAGTTCCACCACTGAAAAGAGTTTGTATTTGCTTACTGGAGCAAGGCTGGCTTACCAGAGAAAATGTGATAGATGTCCTTCAGTTAGCAAAGAATTGTGATGCACCTAGACTTGCCTTCATTTGTGTTCGTATGATCGTAAAGGATTTCCGATCTATATCTTCGACTGAAGGGTGGAAAGTGATGAAGCGTGCTAATCCTGCTCTTGAGCAAGAACTTGTAGAGTCTGTTGTTGACGCAGATTCTGTAAGTCAAATCCTTCATATTTGTTATTCTATTCAATGTGTTTTGTTTATCCTTTTCAGGCAGGTTATTCTTTTTATTATTATTTTTTCTTTCTGTTTTTTTGGTGAGGTGGGGAGATTGTCAACGGGTGAAGCAAAAAATTGGTTCAAAACAGGATATTCTTTGTGGCATAGTATCTTCTTATCCTGTTGTCCAAAAGATTCTCCATTGTAATCATTTTGTTGCTGTTGGTCTCTCGACTTTATCTTAACATGTTTCATCTCACTAATCCTCACTACCAAGCTTCATCTTTTGAAAGCATAATGTGTATTGACTTCTACTGGACTGACCTATTTGCAAAACTGTAGATTTAGGTAATTACAGCAAGGGCCATGATTCTGTCACAATAACACATTTAATTGGCTTGTCCATTATGAGAACAACTTATGATGATGTGATTTATGTGTGTGACTTCATGTATGGTGCCCTTTCCTTCCTTTCCCTCATACAATGACAATATATGGACCAACTAATTATTTATTTGCCTTATCTGTAAGACTGTAACTTGGAAATAGGATCTTAACTTTACTCATGTTTTATATGCTGACTCAAATTATGATGCCAGAGTTTAGTGATTGGTTTTGTTTTCAAAGAGGAGTTTAGTGATGGTTGACCTTAAATTGTCCTGTTTTTACTTATTGCTTTCGGTTCCCTCAGAGAAAGCAAGAGAGGCAAAGGAAAGTGGAAGAGAAAAAGGTATACTTGCAATTGTATGAAGCAATGGAGGCCCTCCTTCACATCTGCAAGGATGGGTGTAGGACAATTGGACCTCGTGACAAGGTGCTGAAAGGAAGCCAGGTTACCTGCAATTTTCCAGCTTGTAAAGGACTCGAAACTTTAGTGCGTCATTTCTCCAATTGTAAGACTCGGGTCCCTGGTGGATGTGTTCACTGCAAGCGCATGTGGCAGCTTCTTGAACTGCATTCCCGCATGTGCAATGAGCCTGATTCTTGCAAGGTTCCTCTTTGCAGGTAAGCATTAACCTTTTATTAAATCATTAATATCAACCACTTTATAGAGAATATTCAGAGTTAGAAAAGAGAAAACAAGTATGATATTACTTAATGGAAAAGAAAGGGATATTATATAAGGTTTCATGCTTGTGTCAGACGGTTTCATACTTGCTGACGAAAGCTTAAATATTTTATTTGGATATTTGAGGTATTTGACAGAAAATATTAATCGACAGAAATCGACTTTTTATCAAAATTATGGAAAGACATGGTCACTGATAGAAATGATTCCAAACTCACAGTGCCTGAATTGAGAGTGGTCTCTCTTTTATTTTTTTGTTGAGCATAAGGATGGTTTGGCTAACAATGGGCCATAAACTCCCATTACTAATTGCTCTTTTATTTATCCTTTAACTGCATTAGCATGTTTCTTTTGGCAGTAATTATATCCATCAGTTTGGCAAAAGCTGAGTATAGTTGATGACGTTTAGTTTTTGCATTATAGTGCTTGTCAATGATGAAAAATGTAGTGGATACACGATGGTGGTGATTAAATTGTCTGTGTTTCCTATTTCATAGGCATTTTAAGGAGAAAATGCAGCAGCAGAGCAAGAAAGACGAGACAAAGTGGAAGCTGTTGGTCAGCAAAGTAATTGCAGCAAAGAATGCAGTAGGGCCATTCTCATCTCGACGGTCAGGTTTATCCTGACATCTCAAATGTGAAAAGCAGCATTACCATGTATTTTTATTGGAATTGGTTAATGCTCCATGAGAACTTATAGAAGCTGTGAATAGGGAAAATAAATAGAAAAGAATATTAATATAAGTTAATGGCAAAATAAAATACTAGCAGTTGTTCCTTCGGTACAAGGAGTATTCTTATCTTCTGTATTTAATCCCTCCATCAAGAGCTGACACCATTTACAATTAGCTCATTGATTTTACATCCTGCACACGAAACTGCCTAATTAAATGAAGCTTTTAAATTTGGTTTCGAAATTTATTCTGACATTAATGGCCAGAGAAATATATTCAATGCAGACATTACATATATCCCGACTCTATAGAGGTGGGTTCATGAATTAGATGTGTAAGCAAAGTCCATGATAGAATCTACAGGCAAGGCCTAAATAAAAGTTCAAGGAAGCCCATTAACAAATTAGGTTGTGCACACCAACACCATGATTTCAATCTGCCAGTACTTTATTACTTAACTATTAAGTTGATTTTCGAAGCCGAAAGGTCGGTGTTTGCTCATTTAGAAGAGAAACTTGGCGATAAAGAAAGCATCACCGCGTAGCAGTTGAAGGCTTTGAGTATATTTGTTAAGCAAGCTCATGCCTGGGTTTCACATAGTTAATGATAGAACTATGGAATCAATTTCTGTGAAGCCAATTGGGTTTGGAGATAAAAGGGTTTATGTGAATCCGCTCCGTAATCCGATCTCCAGCCTTTCTCAATGGAATGCTTTGAAAGCCGAAGAGAATGGCGATGAAGACGATATTGAGTCGTATCAGCGACGCTTTCCTACCGCCGGTTGCCGTCGTCTTAACCCTCTGTCCAACCCAGTGGCTGATTTTCATGAATGGAGAGCTTTGATGGCCAAAGATACAAAGCCACCGACTGAGCCGCTGTTGCAGGGTTGTAGTCTCAACTCTAGCCCACGTTTCAAGGAGTTTCATCAAGAAGTAAGGGTAGACGCTAGCCTTTCATGCTGGCTGTCTTCTTCGCAAACTACACCCACCAAATAGTGCAAATTTCTGAAAGCTTAATCCACTCATTCTCGTGAGTGAATGCTATTTTTCATTGGTCAAATCAAAGATTACTTTCTTTTGGGTTTGTCATATTTTCGTTTTTTTATTCTTTTATTTGTGTCAAATATTTTCATATTTTAATTATTTTCTTAACACTAAAATTTATGCATACTAACAACCAACACCAAGAACGAACCTCCCTTGTTTGTTGGGAGAGCTCCACGGTGAAAGCAAGCATGCTTTCCTTGATCCCGTAAACCGATATCCATTCTTGACTGAGGTAGAGTTTCCCGAAGTCCAATTCCAGGTTAAGTCTTTGTCCTCAGGGCATGGCTGGTTGCTTTTACCATCTCGGGAAACCTCTTCTCTTTTCTTTTTCAACCCCTTTACCCGTCAAAAAATCAATCTTCCATATAGAATAATAGATCATCCGTTTTCACTGCTGCTGCTTTCTCTGCACCCCCAACATCTGCAGATTGTGTTGTTTATGCTATCCAACATCATCATGTACATGTTTTACATGTTACGCTTTCATGTTAGGCAAAAGTTTCAAACATGTTAGGCTTTCATGTCTTTTGAAATCAATGGTGAACTTTGTGATACCAACAGACAGGGGATCAATGTTGGAAATCGGATAAACTGTAGAATCATAGCCCGCAGAACTAAGCATAGTAGACCGAGGACCTATATCAAAAGCATTAAGCATGCTTTTGTAGACGAAAAGTGAGGGATATTCCTTACAATTAAAATGCAAAAAAATCATATTGCAGTATTTAGTTCTTGTTTTTAGATAAGAAAATAATCTCTTAATAATGTCATTGCAATGTCATTCCCTTCTCTCCTAAGGGAAAGTAACTTTCCCTTAATAAATGGAAAGCAAAAAAATTTGTGTTCCCCAATTTGACCTCATGATCCTTTCCCTCCTTCTAACCTTCTTCACCACTTTCTTCCTTCTTGCCTTTTGGCTTTTTCTCCTTCTTCTCACCTTGCCGCCTTCTCTTTCTTCTCAACCTATCATTAACACATTTGGGTCAAATTTCATCATCAAATTTAAAAATTGAAGAGATTGAGACTTTAAGTTTTATGAAATTTTAATTTAAATTTTTAAAGATTTATAAGTGTTTTGAGAAAAATTTATGCTTTTGATATCGAAAATTAAAAAAAAAACATTTAAACCGTTTAAAATGCAGTAAATATACTAAAAAATTAAGAGGATTTGAGAGAAAAATGTGTTTGGGTGCCACTATTTAAGAGAAAGAAAGTGTTAAGAACGTTTAAAATAATACATTTATTGATAGATGAGAACACCTATGGATAGATTATGTTCAAATTTTTAGTTGCAGGTATCTATCGATAGATAGTATAATCTATGGATAAATTATGAGATTTATCGATAGATTTTTTTTTGAATAATGTTTTTATTTTTAATTTTTATAAATTAAAGGTAAAAATTAATACTTAGTAATTTTATATATTTTAATATTTAAATAATTAATATACAAATATAATGTTATTTTTTAATGTTGTTATTTATTAATTTAATTACTTAAAGTTGAAAAGTCAAATTCTATATTAAAAATTAAAAATTTATTCAATTTATATATTTTTTTATATATAAGGATAATTTTGTTAATTTACATTATATTTTCAATAAAATGGTTACAAACCAAACACTACAATGTAATATTCTAAGTAATCATATTTCTTACAATCATCACTTTCCCTTATTATACCAAATGTTACAAAGTTATACTCTCAGCAATTATATACCTAGCATTCAGATTCTCAGCAATTACATTCTCAGTAATGTATCAAATGCAATCTAAGAGTAAGTCAAGGTATTCTAGTAGACAAATGATCCTCAAATGTCCTTTTGGTAACAGGTCTAGTTACGGCTTGACTTTCATGGATTATCTTGTACTAAAAGTAATAGCGATGTGAAATACATACTCATATAGAGTAACGAAGTATCAACTTTTGGTATTAATTCTTTATAGTGATATGCAGTAGTTAGTAATTAACTTTATGAGTTTTTAATGTAAAGGATGCATTGGAGTGGCAACTGTAAACCATATAACTTATGTCATTACTTATAAAGTGTAAGCAATAAATTCAAACTCAATTATGAATTAAGAGAGGAGAGTAACCAAAGAGAGAAACTTTAAAAACTCATATATGATATTTTACACAATAATTTTATCAAGTGAAAATGTAAAATTTAAACGTTCCAATTCAAAGTTAGAACGTTCCTTTTTATGAAGTAAGAGTTATTGTTTATAGACTTTCAAGAATATAAAAAATTAAAATAATCACTATTTAAAATATAAATAAAAAAAACAAATGAGTATCGAATTTCTTAAATGTTTCTTTTGAGGTAACATGTCTTTAGGTGCTACGACATTGACAACATATTGAACAATGTGACATTACACTAAAAGGACATAACTTGGAAACAATTTATGAGGTTAGGCTTGAGAGTGAGGTTGCCACAGCCTGTGTACAAGTCAATGATACGAGGGTTTTTGCTATGTTTCTTGGTCCTCACGGTTCTTGTGCCGCAGTTGGACTAGACAAAGAATTGCAGCAGAAAATTTTCTTGGCCAGGGGTAACCCCAAATCCAGTGTCTGATCTTTGGTTATGGAGACTACAAGAAGACTACATTAAAAGTCCATGCATACATCAGTTTGGATGGAAAGATCAGCAACTTAGTTTATCTTTTTAGTAAGTTTCTTCTTAGTTTTGAAACTTAAATGGGTTTGAATTAAGTATTTACATTGATTTTTTTCTTTTATTAATTTTGTAAAATTGTGTTTTATTAGATATTTAGGTAATTTATCAATTTAATTGTGTCAATTGATTTGTGTTATCAAATTCAGTCATTGACTTTATATAATAGTCAAGATGAATATTTTATATTTTATTTGATTTGTGCTTTTTACTATTTATCTTTTTTTTATTTTTTATTTAATATTTTAAATAAAAAAAATATAATAACAAAATTTTAATCTAATTAAATCTTAATTATTATTATAAAGTCTCAATTTTAATCTAATATATATATTTTTTATATTTATATGTACAAATAGACGCTTATCTAAATTTTAAAAATATAAACTTTTTCTAGTCAAAAGTCTTAAAATGCTTATGATAATTTGTTTTTCGATTTTAAACATGTACAATGTAATAAAAATTGTGTTTGTTATTTTTAAAAGTAATTTAAATATTTTATTTTAGTGAAAATGTAATGATATTAAAATAAAAAATTATGTCAAATCAAAAAATTAATTAATTAAATTTATTTTATATTATTTCATTATAAAATTTATTTATTATGTATAAAAAAGTAAAGGGAAAAAACTACCTACTCCCGTATGGATGATTTACGAAATATGAATTATAATTTTGTGTATATCCCAAAAAATAAAAGGACGAAGCAGAGTTATGAGGTCACGGGTCCCCATGGAAGTGCCTTGGCCTTTAAGCTAACCATAGCTACCTCGTAGTACTCAAAAAGTACCGATGCTTCGTTTCTCTGTTCGGGTTTAAAGTTCGTTCTTTTCTGTTTTCGGCAAAAACACTTTTCCTTTCAAACCCCAGTCCCGCAAAATACCACAGCAATGGAGGGAGACGTTGATTCTGAGATGATTTTCAGTGAAGGCAGAGAGGTTGAAGTAACCTCTGATGAAGAAGGGTTTGAAGGGGCTTGGTTCACTGCTACTATTCTCGAACCCCCGAAGAACACAACTAAAGACAAGGCCTTGGTTCAATACAAGAACTTACTCGATGACGATGATCAAACGCCATTGACTGAACATATCAAACTTTCCTTCATTAGGCCTTTGCCTCCACAACCCAAAATCCCTGATGATCAGTGTTTTGAAGTAAACGAGGTCGTGGATGCGTTTTACCTTGATGGGTGGTGGACTGGCTTTGTTTCTAAAGTTTTTGACTACCCAAAGAGGTATTCTGTGTCTTTTGAACACCCGCCTGAAGAGATTGAGTTTTTTTCTTCTAATTTGAGGCCTCACTGGAAATGGGTTGATGGTAAATGGGTTAAACCCTCCAACTTTCAGGTTTTTTTTTTTCCGTTTATGTTTTTATGCTCTCTTCTAAATGCATTTGCTTCGTAGGTATCACATATATTAACAAGTTTATAACTTGATGAGAATGGATAATTGTTTTCCAATGGCAGTAGTTTTTGCATTTGCTTGTTTATAGCATTATATGTGTGATGTTTGATCTAGTATTTATTGATTTCTTATACTAGTAATTTTGTATCTTTTTCTTGTTGCTAATATTTGCTTGCTTACCCACTGATTCCTTGTGTTTTATAGTAGAACATTTGAGCATCATGTATAGGCTATGGCCATTAGCAGTGAAAGAGTTATACTCCTTTTATCAGTGCCTAAGCCGCATGCCACTTATGGTTGGCTAGTAGTCTTTGGTTTCTATTTCCTTTAGGATGACTAATAATGGCAACGATTCTTTCTTGCTCTGATTTGATTTTTGCCTGCTAATTTGAACTCAATGCAGCTCAACTAACTAAGCAACAATCCTAAACTAGTTGGGGCCAGATAAATGAATTATTTTGCTCCCTTTTACCCAATATAGTGCTATACTCTCATTTTTACGTGCTGTTGCTTTCTTAGGTCTATATCATGCACGTACTAACAATTTAAGTGTTACCTTTTAACTCATCTTCTTCAGGTGTAATATCCTAAACTAGACTTTTGTTTCTCTCTTTCTGCCATCTGTCAACTAGAATTGGAAGTCTTTTCTGAGAAAAAAAGTTAGGACTAGGAAAACAATACACTGTCTTTGGCTCTCTCTGTTACATAGCATAAGACAGAAGACAAAAATTAGCCCCTTAGCTTAGAGTTTTTTTTTTTTTATTTAAGCTTTGAGTCTACAAGTTCCTTTTGTAAGATCATGAGGTTTTTTTCATATTCTGATTTCAGTTGCTGTCCTGCTTCTGCTTATATCTATCTTGTAAGGGCTGCAAATATATTAGGGAGACTGTTACTATCTTTTAGCCTCCTCATCATTTGCTGCTTCCTAATCAGTGTGGCACTCAATTGTTGTCGGAACAAGCTCATTCACTTAACCACAAATATAACTACCATCTAGTGTCTTCTATCTAAAGTGATCATGTATTTACATAAGAAAGGGCCTAAAAATAAGTTATCTTAGTTGATGGGACATAGATTCTACTTGAACTTGGCTTCAGTATCATCTGAAAGTTTTATTTCTCCTCATTTATTTTTTCTTTTTGTAAGAAAAAATAAGACTGACCAAGGAGCTAAACAGAAACCTATATAGTTAAAAGTTATCAAAGTAGTCTATTTTACTATTATGAAGGCCACTGCCTTCTTCAAATCTTATGCCTGAGATCAACAGTGAATCATATGGATCCACTAACTGCGTGTGAAGAAAGTGTAGGCCAGTAAAGTTGAGACATAGACAACTTGAAAGGTGATGCTAAATTTCTAAAGTTGTTTCAAAAGACTAGAAGATGGAAACTTAGCAGACTTGATGTTTTTTTCCTGAACGTCTTCTGAAGGATTTATCAAGTAAAACGTAAAATAAGAAGTTACTCCTGCTTTCAGAATCTTCATTTATTTGTTTCTTTCTTTAGTTTCAAGAACAAATACATAGGGATACACAAATATCATAATTGATATGCTAACTAAAGGGGTGTTTGGTGGCATGAGCTTTTAGGGCATTAGACAGGGTAACTGTGTTGTAGATTTAAGTTGTGTCAACTGATTTTTATGTACGCAGCTATAAGTTCTAAATACTGCTTCGTGTTGACTTAAATATTGCTATGAAAAGTACTTGTTATAGCCATGAGAAATATAAAAAGACCCAAAACCTAGTGATGTGGGGAATTTAGTCAAAAGTCTGGCAGATTTTTTTCTTATGCTCAAGAATTTCCTGCATGCCTCACTTGATCATGACTTTGGAATGAGAACTTCAAGTGTTCCTTCCATCTTCTCTCTTCCTCATCCTTCTCATTGTCTGCTTTTGTACTCTATATTGTGTTTGCTTATTCTTTCCTGGGTAGCAGATAAGGATTTGTTATTGAGTTTCTCTCAATTATATAGCAAATGACGAGGGAGTTACTTTTCCAATTGACTTATCAAATCTCTCAAAGATTTGAAGAGTAATGAACAGTTTGTAATTCCTTATAATTTTTTAGATATCTCTTTTAAATTAAAGTGTAGAACATGGATAAAAAATTGTTTATCTATTGGTATTACTTCATTCTCTTCTTACTACTTTTCAATCCAAAGAGCAAAAGAGAAATCGAAGCATCATTTGATTTGCTTCGCTCCTATTCTTCTGATCATTTCTCCTTTTTTTTTTTCACCACTTTAAGATGAGAGTTTTAAGTACTGTGAAACTTGTATGGTTCAATTGTTTCTCTTCATCTTTTCAAAAGTCCTGAGGAAGGAAACCTTCCTCAATGATACTTGTTATAGCTGTTTTCTTCCTCCCCTCCCTCACCCCCTTCTTTTCTTGCTGAAGCTTTGGCCCATGTATGAGGCACATAATAGGCAAAATAGTGGCCGGCAAACTTTTGTGTGCTCAAATTGCTTCCTGCTGACTTAATTGGTGGACCTTTTGTTTCAGGAAGTTTTGATCTCTTCAGATTGTCAAGAACTGGTGGAGGTCTCTTGCAACAACACCAAAGATGCTGAGGCAACTATTCAGCTTGAAAGTTCAGATGCTGTAAAATGCAGCAACAAAAAGCGCAAACGTTCTTGTGTAAGTTCAAGAAAGAATGAGATGGGTCTGTCAACTGCATGTAAAGGAAAAGCAAAGGGTAAGCGTGTAAAGCGGGCAATGCCTGAAGGTGATGCTACACTTTTACATTCTTCCCAGAAGTTGAAAGATCGAAGCTTAGCAGAGTTATTAGTTTTACAAGAATCTAACATGAAGGATTTGCAAAGTGGAACACCAAACATAGCAGTGCCAGCAGCAACTATATTTCCTGAAAAAAATGTGGTTGGTGAGCAACCTGCTGTCAAAACCTCGAAGACTTATGTGAGAGAAGAAGTTGTGAGTCAAATCCCTTCTCTTTTCCCGCAGAATTCTCTATGATGATTTTATATTGGCTCTTTCATGGGGTAGAGAGGTGGGGAGTGGAAAGGAGAGTACAGTAGAGAAGAGTAAACTCTTCCTTAGTGTTTTTGAGTGGAGAGGAAAGTAGAGAAGTGATATGTGATATTAGCATTGCAAATCGATATGAATCATCATTATTGAAGTAAAATTTGAGGGGGTAAGTCTGTAAGAAAGGGATCAAAGGACTAAATCATTAAAGTGGAATACTTTGCTCTCAAGTCCTTATTTAGGTTTTGCAGGGGGTGGTTCGCCTCCTAACCTCTCCCTTTCTTAATAAAGGGAAGAAAAAGAAAAGAAGAAACTTCCAAATAGGATATACTAAACTGTTTACTTCCTTCCAGACATGCTATAAATGCGTTGAATTGCATTTAATAGTGTCAACTGACTTTTTTGCATCCAAGTTTTGGTTCGGTAGGGCCCTTCTTTGACTTTATATCTCTAAATAAAAGACTTGTATATAGCTGTGAGTGATTTAATAAAACTCGAATGATTGATCATCTAATGCATGGCGTTGTGTTTCCACAGTGTTTCTGTGGATTTGTTCTTGGAAACAGTTTCTATCATGTGCCGATTGACTATGATTTGTGAAGAAGCATTTCACTCCCTCTCTCTCTCTCAATTTCTTTTTTGTCTTTTGCGGTGGGGGGTGAGTGGGGAGGGGGAGGGGGGGTGTATTGTTGCATCTCTAAAAGGGTAATTCTAAACAAGCATGCGCCGTATTCTCATTCTGTTCTGTTTGCTTTCAAGGGAATGTTTCAGCAATGCTCATCCATTTATCTCCTCCTTTCCTCTTTCAAAAACTGGTGCTTCTAATCAATGTTTGTTTGTTTGCTTCTAATCAAACTATAAAGTGCAATCATCTATCATTTTCTTCCTATTTTCCTTAAAATTGTAAATGAAGCATGCATAAAAGAAATGTATAACTGTACAATTATCTTCCTTCTCTTCTGTCAAAACGGCTGAAAAGGAATTGAAGTGAACCTTAAGTCACTTCACTTCTGTTCTATCATCTTTTTCTTTCTTTTTTTTCCTTTGAACACAAAAAATGAAAACACTGTTTGTTTCAAATACCAACAAAGTTGTAGGAGCTGTTGTTTCTTCAAGTCAGCTTTAGAAATTTTTGCATGTATTTGATTCAATTTATGAACATTGGGGAAAACAAGCTTGTGATGCAATCTTAACATCCTTGCCTTGAAATTGACATAATAGAGTGCACTGTGCACCTTTATTTCTTTATGCTAAGTTCATTAGATATGCTAATTAGTTGATTGAATTTCTCAAATTTAAACATAAGGGAAAAACCTAATAAGGTACAACAGTCCTCTAAATTACAAGTCAAGGGCTGTGATCAAAGTCTAGGAATTTCGGTGTTGTTTTTGCTCCAGATATGACTCGTATGTTATTGATAGGATTTTGCTGCAAGCTATAACACAAGTTACAAGTACATAATTTTATATCAGTTTTGGGAAATTTCTAATGATTTTTCTTCATTCTTCCCTTTTCTCTACCCAACCTTATGAGGGACCAACCTCAGGTTCTAGCTAACTAATCATCAGGTGTGCCTGCATCAGCCTACTTAAGGTTTGTTGCTGAATGTAATGGAATTGCTTCCCGTACTTGTTTTTCTATCCATGCAGGAGATTCATCTGCAGAAAGAACATGATATGAGCAGATTTCAGAAAGAAGATGGTGCAAAAACTGGGATAAAGAGGAGAGAGCAACCCTGTATTGTGCTCAAAATCAAGCAACCTAAATTAGTGTTTCAGATGAGCCAATCTCCATCTGCTGGTATAAAATTAAGATGAAGCTATGAGCTGTGCTTATCATCTATTTTTGAAAGAACTAATTTCTTTTGTTTTATTTTGTTCAAGGACAAAATGATGCTGCAGGTGTTCTTGAAGAAATGTTTTCTAAAGAATACACAGCCACAGAAGTTGAGTCATCTGCGATCTCACAAATGGAGCAAGCAGGTTGGGCACAACTTGAAATACTCTTCAGCTTAAGGAATATCTGGTGTTTTGTAGGGTTTAGGAAGAATCTTCTGAATGAACCAGTCACTTAGTTGACTAGGGTTGAGATATTTGAACTCTGGAAGTAGTAGAATATCAGCTCCAAATTAAATTGTCTTTTGATGGTACTGATTTACTTGTACTAGTCATTACTTATGTGAAGTTATTAACCTGCCAGCAACTGTAGCCCTTTTCCTTGTCTGCTTAGGTACACATACAGTAGGAAGGAACATGGTAAAGGAAGGACTAAATTTAATACCTGTTTATTTCTTTTTGTTTTGATTTTCACACTGCATGTCTTTCCTGATTTAATACGTTCTTAAACTATATCAGTAGAGAGAACAGCTATAGTTTCTGCAACAGATTCTCAGAGAAAAGAAGTCGAGGTGACTGAAAAGTCTGGTGGAATTCTTCATGATAATGAAGAACAACCTCCATTAATATGCTACAAAAAAATGCATTCTGGCCTTGGAAAGATTCATTCTGTAGTGATGGAGGAAAACAACACAGGTAAATTATATGGCATATTATTGTGTCCCCTTTTTTCAATAATTTTTCTGATTCAGATATTATTGTTTATAGGACATATTCTGCATGGTTGTGCGAATCAATGGAATGATCCAAGGGAGAAATCACTTGAAATTATGGTGCAGTCCCCTTTACTCGGCATGACAGGCGACAATGAGCCAGAGGATGAAGCCTTACCCTTTGTGAAGAGCTTACCCATCTGGAAAGCAGTTCAATCTATGGAAATTTTCCAAGTCATTCCTCAAAACCCACATTTTCGCCCATTAGTTAAATTGAAAGAAATACTCCGCGAAGGAGTAGCTGTTGGTCACATGTTGACCTTTGCATCCTTGGTGCAGAGGACATCGAATTTGAGAGTTGCGGATCCCAGGAACCTTTTTACTAGCATTTTAGATGCTCTTCTTGACTTGGAAATGCTTGGATTTGATGTTAAGGCAGTAAGGGATCGCACAAGTGAGTTGCTGTTCATGAAAGATAGACATGGACATCTTCAAGACCAATCTAAAGAAGTTGAAGTGCAGGTCAAACAGCATGCTCATGAGTTGACCAAAATAAATGAAGAGATTGATATAAACAAGAAGATGTTGAAAGAACTAGAAGGAAAGCAGGCAATACTCGTCTCAATAAAGGAGTCTAAAATATCCAAAATAGCCTCATTGCAAGTATGTGCGGATGTTACTACTGAAGACATTCAAAGTGTAGAATTTGATTTTGAGAATCTAGCAGCTACTCCTTGGTAACTGGTCTGATACTCTGATGTGGTCTTTAACTGTTCTATTCCTCTGTTTAACAGTTGAATATTCTGTTCCACTGATGGTAAGTTTCGCAGTTACCCATATCGTTAGTCCTTTGAGACTAGACGTGCCAAATATGAGGTGGGGGGAATTTCGATTGTGAATATGGATTTGTATGGCCATTGCGCTGCTTCTATTAGTATTTCATGTAAGTAGATTCTGCTTGTTGAAGAATCATAGTTAAGCGTGTTAGCTAGCTAGTACCTATGTTAGTGTTTCTTTTTGTTTAATCTTTTGGGAAAGTTCTCCATTTGTGTTGTATGACACATAAGTGTATGCTGGACTTCTGGGACCAAAACATTGCACCAAGTTTAACTTTATCACCAAGTTGGTTACCGGAAATGGTACCAAATATTGGTTGGAGCAAGATGTTCATTGGTATTAACGGCCATTGGGTTGGGCAGGTTGTTTTTTTGTAAACAAAGCTTCAGATGCAGATTGAACAGATAACTAATTAAGAGCAGTGGACTCTGATGGTGTGATCATTTATGCAAGGGAGGGGAATGAGGATTGATTTCCTGAGGTTTGATCACTGACGCGAAAAATGTAGCATAGATGAGAACCATTTGTTGATCACGCCTGAGTGAATGTCCTCAACAAACATTGATTACAGGGTCATGTAACTCCCCCAAACTTGAACTCAATATATGAGGTAAAGCACAGACATATTTGAGGAAGGGTAAGCAGAAGTTTAAAAGATATGCACACTAAATTATATTTTGCCTAGCGTTATCAAAAATTTAAGGGGGAAAAACGTAACACAAGTCACTGTGATCACAGTTCCAAACAAGATTTCTTGGCAAAATCGGCAACGTCGCTGCTGTTGTTTCTGAAGATGGTAAACCGAAAGATTCTGGCAAACATCTTCTTCCTGCAAAGAAAATTTCCTCCAGCTGGAGAGTAACCTAGCAAATTCTGGGTGGTTAGCCATCTTCACATGCCATGTTTTATTGGAAACCTGAAGTTTTACGTTCGTCCTCATCAACAGACCAAAAAAAAAAAAAGAAAGTAAGTGCCTGGTTGATTGAAGACAACATAGCACATACGAGAGTACACATAAGAAGGCTGTATAATGACTTTGAAGAATGGATAATTGGAGTTGAGTTTTCTGGCAGCTTCAAGAATAGATCACTGCTTTTCTTCTGCAAAGAGGGTTGTGGATGGAGCCCTTTGTTCAGGCAAGTTTGCCTCATCAGTTTGATCATTACTAGCACCATCAGGTATTTCTAAATAATCAATTTCAGTACCCTTTCCAATTGCACATCCATTCAAAATCGAAGACCTCTCCTTCTTTTCCTTCTGGTTTTTTTAACAAATTTTTTTTTGAAAAGCTGATAATTCATTCAACATAAAGAACGTAGCTACAGCCATCAAGAAGGAAACCCAGCCTCCAATCCAACAGGAAGAGCTGCAGAGGAACAAAAAACTCATCTGCAGCATCTACACCACTCCTGCCATCCCCACAAAGGCAGCATATACATCCCCCATCAAACAGAAGAGGTTAGCAAAACCTCAAACAAACGCAGAGGTGAGTAGACGTGACATAACAAAACACCTATACCCACGGCTGTTACACAAACCTGCAAAGTAATAGGAAAGTATAAACCCTAACCCTTTACACTTTAAACATCTCTTCTGATCATTGGTTGTCAACACAAATCTCCACTCTTTCAGCCACGTGAGAGCCACCAGTCCAAAGCACCTCCAATGTCCTGTAAGACAAACGAGACAAACCACAATAGACAGCAATCAGCCCATAACCAGAAGACCAGTAGTCATTGTAATTCTGAAGCGCCCTCGACCCTTCATTCCACACAGTGCATATCGCATTTCAAGTTCACGAGGCTCTGTGTCTGAAAATTTTTATGCCTCTTCTTCTCATCAAATTGCAATGGTGGTTCAATTTCAAGCTCAAATTTGAAATTGCCATCATACCTGAAAACTAGAAGGTCTCCCAAAAATTGTGTTAAAAACTTTAGTCTTAATCACAGCTAAGAATATTTGTTTTCGTCAAGTTTAAGGATTTTTGCTGGAAGAGCTAATTAAAACCTAATGAAATTAACAATACTATGAGTTAAATATAAGAGTGGTTAGTTACTAGCAGGGTGGAGAAGTGGACTAAAATCTTGAAAAAGAAATGCTCTGAATGGTTATTGGAGCTAACTTCTAGCGTAGTTGATAAAAATATGAAATTTTCTTGTTTAATTGATTCAGGTGTATCTTTCATGTTACAAACAAGTTTAAAGAACTAACTTTCCTTAGATATGGTGTCTATATGCTCTTTGTTGGTGTGGCACAAATTATCTATCGCTCATATTGATTCTAATCTTTTTGCTCACCCATTTTCGTTAATAATGTTCTTTATGTTCCAAAAGCTAGCAAAACCCAATCTCATTTCAATCTCTAAATTCATTAATTCCACCAAAGTTAGTTTTTATCGAATTTTTCCCATCTTTTTTCTTGATTAAATAAAGGCCTAAATAAGCATGAAATATATGTTATTTTATGACACACCGTAACCCACCATTTTTTGACTTTGGTGAAGGGTCGTGCGTGTGTGGAGCTCTCGGGTGACAATCGAAACAAAGAGAGAGAGAGGAGAGGGCTACTTTGGAGGGCTCGGATCTCTCTCGTGGAGGAGGTGATTCTCACACGCCTGCGGATCCTTCACGGCGTGTTGAGGCGAGCTTGGAGAGCCCGGTCTTGGGCAGTGGTGTTGCCGGACGGCGGGATCCGGCGACCGAAACTTGGAGAGCTCGGTTTCACCGATCCGGGTATTTCAAGCGACGGTGGCGCGGAGAGCACCGCAAGGAGGGCTAACGCATCAGTTCTGGTCGCGTGTTTTGGTCGAGTTTGACCGAAAACCAGTTCGGAGAAGACGACCGGTGACGGATTCCGGCAACCTCCGGCGACCGACCCGGATTTCGACGGGGATGCTACCCCGGGGGTTTTGACGCGCTGCGGTTCCAACGGCGACGTCGGTTTCGTCATCCGACGCACGGTTTTGGAGATACGGGACAGCGGACTTCCGAGGCGCATTTCGGGCCGTCAGGAAGTCGGAAGTGATCGCGGATTGCACGTCCCGATCACAGGAGCATCGAGCACGCATCTGGAGCACGGGTGGTGGCGGGCGGCGCTTCCTGTCAGAGCCGATATTTCGGGATTTGTGGGCCCACTTTGTGTTCACTATTTCGCATTGTATTTCCCGAACAACATTTATTCGGTGTGACTAGTTTCCGCACTTAGTTGCATTGTTTCTCAGAGCGGTTTTCGCAGATCGAGTGTGTGGTGCAGTGAAAAGACACACACCCACAAAGTGGTATCAGAGCTTCAGTTGACGCTCAGAGTGTGTTAGAGCATGGCTTCTCGGAGTTCTGTGGAGGACCGTGTGGAACGGTTCAACGGAGCAAACTTCACTCTATGGCAGTTGAGGATCGGGACGAGCTTACGAAAGCTCGGGTGACGCGCGTGCTTTCAGGCATGAAACCAGCTACGATGGATCAGGCTGATTGGACGGATCTTGATGCCGCGGCTATGGCATCATCCGTTCATCTCTTGCGGACGAGGTTGTGTACGATGTGTCTTCGCTTACCACAGCGAAGACACTTTGGGAGAAGCTGAGGCAACTCTACATGGGGAAGACGATCACCAACAAACTGATGTTGATGCGAAGTATTACGGTATGCGATGCGTGAGGGAGGAGACTTGCGCACACACATCGCCAACTTCAACCAGATTCTCGGTGATTTGGGGAAGATTGGCGTCAAGCCAGGAGATGATGACCGATCTATGTGCTTTTGTGCTCGCTACGGACTCATACGATCATTTGGTGACAACTCTTATCCAGGGGAAAGAGTCGTTCGCAGTATGAGGAGATTATGACTGCGCTTCGCGACCAGGAGACTTGGGGTCGCTTGAAGCATGAGCAGTCGGACGCGTACTACACTAGTACGTCGGACAACTGGCCAGGGGAGAGGCCAACGGAGACGAGCGATCGTGGACGTGGAGATCGCGGGCAGAGATGGTAGCCGAGAGCGAGGCAGAGGGAAGGGAGAGACTTCCCCTAACCGATATACATGCTACCGATGCGGGAAGCAGGGACACATCAGGAGACATTGTCCGGAGCGCAGTGGCCGGTCAGATGTGTTGGAGTCGGATGTTGGTGCGAGGGACATGCCACCACTATTCAGGTCAGAGAGAGCGCTGACCTTGGCAGGTGGCAGGCAGTGATGACTGAGTTATGGACTCTGCATGTACGAAGCACTATACCTTTGATGGAGTGTTTCTTTGATTATCATCCAGTCGCATCAGGTACGGTTTCGCTCGTGACGGTACTCGTGTGCTATTGAGGGGATTGGCAGTGCCAGATTTCGTTACACGATGGTGCCATCAGGATCATCAGGGACTATATTTTGTTCCGACGCTTCGCAGGAACCTGGTATCTTTGGGGACCCTCGACAGAGACAGTTACGTTCCGGGGCGAGCTGGAGTTATGCTCGTGAGTAGAGGCGCCATGACGATGATGAGGCGAGGTTGTGCGTCAACAACCTCTATGCTTTGGATGGCAAGGCTCTACCGTCGGGGAGATGTCAGTTGCGACACATTCCGTTGCCAGGCAGTCCTTTGGCACATGCGGGTGGGCATGTCGGTGATCAGGGATTGCGGAGCGCTGCACCAGAGAGGCTTGTTGCCGGTATCAGGAGTTGTGAGATACCTTTGTGTCCAGCACTGTGTGATGGGAAGCAGCAGCTGTGTGAGCTTCCGGACACTCCGATATCGCAGCACAGAGAGGTTGCAGTGCCACACAGATGTATACGGGCCCACACCGTCTCATTCTATTGGAGGGGCCGATACTTTGTGACGTTATTGATGACTTCTCTCGCCGCGTGTGGGTATACATCATGAGAGAGAGACAGGTCTTCGCCATATTCAGAGAGTGGCTCGCC